AGTATTCATTTTCAAATTACATCATAGAGTTACGTTGAAAACGTTTATTGATTAAACTCCGTATACTGACTATTAAAGCAATGACAAAGAAGAATACTTCCGATGTTGTCATTGTTTTATTTAGCGTGCGGGTGTAAAAACAAAATTGCGTAATTAGTTTGATTTAGAACTTTCGGGTCACGTAAATAGCTACGCGAAATGCATAGTGAGAAAATATTGACCAATCAAATGTTGTCCTTTTTTAGTGCTTTTTCAGTACATATTTGCGAACGTTCTGATCAAAGAGCGAATCACGAAATGTAGAATTAACTTGTGGACCAGAGTGGATCAGTTACTATGAATAATTGCAATAGGTAGAGCTATTAGTGTAATATACACTGATCACATTTCAACACGATTTAAAGATTTTTAAGATAAGAAGACTACCATGAAAATAGGGACATACAGGCATTTTATTTATATACGTTTCGTATTAACTTAGTCTTGCTACAAGACGTTGGATCCTCGCTTATATATTTCACATAGGGAATGTGTCATTGGTCGCTCGCTTGTTTTGCGATCGTCTATTTGTACTTTTTTACTTTTATTCCAGACATCTCCAGTCTCAAAAGATAGGCAAAGTCAACGTTCGATCAACCCCGTAGGGGCCAGTGGAGAAACAGATCTTGCGGTCAAGGCGCAACTTATTGGTATGCTAATAGTTTCATTTTATTTGATGTTAGCAACGCATATAATGATTAATCAACTCATCGAAATACGTATACACTTTACAAATACACATTGGTATTCCTAAATGATTTTAAGATAATCAGAGAGAACACTTTTTGAAAAGAACGATAACATTATCATTACTGTATATTTGTACTGAATCAGTTTTTGAAGTTTTATCTCCTTGAAATTTTAACTTCGGTTATTTCCCATTTGGTCAATGCATACCATTGGTCTTACACATTTGAAAATAGCTGCCTAGCTGCAGTCTATAATAATTTTGTTCAACTCTGTTTAGGTGACTTCATCACAGTCCCAATTAGATGTTTGGAGTCTCCATCTGATGTGAACCGGGTACGAGACTTGCACAGTTCACAGGTGGAAAAGATCAGAAAATCAATTGAAGCTAGGCCAGATGCCAGCTTCACCATTATGCTGGGGAACATCACATCATCTGTTCCCATAGACAAAGCAGCTGTGGAGGAAGGGCTGCACACGGTCGAAGTGATAGGAGGGAATCACACTTTGGCTGCCCTCAAAGAACTTCATTTGAAAGATGGGTGCAGTGATGAGTCAAAATTTAGCAAATGGTGCATTAAGGTATACTAAATTTATATGATATTGAATATCAAATCGCAATGCCTTTTGCAATTCTAATTCTAAAAATAATAGAGTGAAAAATGTTAACATGTAAATATAACGTGTATTTTATTGATTTTATTCATATTTTAAATGTTAAAAGAGTATACTGGTCTTATAGCTGACATATGAGATTTAATGTAATCCACAGGTGTACTGGGGCTTGTCAAATACGCAGATCTTAAAACTTGGGATGGATCACAACGAGGTGATGGGGACACATCTGAAGAAAACTTATCCCGATATGGTTAAGCTTTTCAGAAGGCAGCTAGTGAAGATATTGGATACGGATATAATACCAGACGTATTGCCAAAAGAAGTTAACACGTTATGGCGGAATACGTTATGCTCAATTCTACGGATAGAGGTAACACTATGATTATATAGCTACCGTAAACGACAATCTTAATTACAATAAAAGATTATGGTATCTAAGATGTTGCACTCATACTTATCTATTATTTTAATAACCAATAAAAATGCATTATGCAACCAATATTCAGTATTATATGTACAGGTAGTGTTTTATGTTATAATTTACAATTGGATGTTGTATTTTAAGGACAAACAGAAGCTCGCAAGTAGTTACCAAAACTACACGCGAATTGCCGAGCTACCCAATGACAAATGGAACGCTGTCAATACGTTTATGAACAAATGGGAGAGGGGGGAAATTAAATCACAACCATCTGGCCAAATGAAGCAGACATCAATGATAAATGTAACAAAGGACTGCTGGCAACACGTTGTTAAGACCAACAATGGTGAAATGACATACAAAGAATTCCTTGCTGTCAAGAAACCGGGCCAGAAAAAAAGGTTGGTGTAAGTAGTCTCATCAGAATGCAATAATCTAGATATATGGTGATTTTAACCTTGCCAGAGGACATAAGTATAAATCAAACATTTCGTATACTGTATTTATAAGTCCCCTTCGTGTATCTAGCCGCGGATTGTAAGCGCAAAGCACAATTTGTATCAAGTTCATCGATGTATCCATGTACAAGGTGGTCAGAAAATGGAAACCCTGAATTTTCCTTATATCTTTGTCACTTTAAGGATTTACTTCCTGATATATCACACATTTGTGCATCATTCAATTTCCTACCACCCCTACAATATTTCATGACCATCAGACTGATAGTCACAATTTTACAGCACTTTGAATAGCATGCTTCAGATTTGGCCATTGTAGCGCTGTAGGCAAAACAGCACAGTTGTCAATGATCCGAATGGCCTGAATGACACAAATGATCTCACTTTTGAGGTTTGCAATTGTCCTGAGGTCATTCTCATAATTATACTCTATCTCTGTCATATCCCAACAGGAAGGGACAATTTAGACGATGAATACAGGTTTCCCCACAGCGCAAAAGTGGCTACTGGGCATGTTCTTTAAAGTACTGTAAAGTACTGTAACATTGTGACTATCAATCTGATGGTCATGAAATAAAGTAGGCTGGTAGAAAATGAAATGATGTACAAATGTGTAAAACATCAGGGAGTTATTTTCAAAATGACAAAGATATGAGGAAAATGGTATTAGGGTTTCCATTTTTTTTGACCACCCTGTATTTCAGATCAAATGCTTCTTTAGCGGCACAGTATAGGATGGAAGAAGGCCTGGATGACAGTCGCGAGTGTATTGATAATGGCAGACAACTGGTAAATGTTATCAAGTATCCTAGCATACCATAGTGACAATTCACAACCGGACAAATTATGCTGGACTTTTCAATTTTTTTTACTGAAACGTCCTGTTTTTATTCTTATTAATTTAAAGATGCACACAAACACGAAATAGTACTATTGGATCGGTTGTTCGCATGTTGAAATTTAGGTTTACTTCCGAGGTCTGATATAACGGTTCTCCATTAATATTGAATTAGTTCTTGTAAAAATCGCATCGAACACTCTACCTTTACTTCTTGTGCATTTTATGTTTAGGACAGTGTTATTATTTTAAAACAGACAAATGTAATTGGAAAGTTTAATCATGGACTTTCTGTACCGGTATGTCCATGGTTCAACAAGATAAATTGTATTTCCTTTTATGTTGATAAGCACAGCTGGGTACATAGACCTTCACAATTGTAAAATGCATATATTTCAGAGCGACTACGTCAATCAATCAATCGGGAAGGGTGCCACAGATAAACAGGTGCATGATATTCAGTCTGAGCTAAAGAAGAAAGAAGCTACCGTCAAAAAGGTAAGCATTGCATGGTAAGGTACATATTCTTGAAATCCTTTTAAAAGATAGGAGAGGAAAACTAACTCTTAAACCTATACATGTTGTGAGAACAGTGTTTACTTGCATTAATATATACTGTATTGTTAACAAGGCTAACGCTATATGCAATTTATTAGGATAAACATTATATTTACAGTAATATGCAAGTTCATCTCTCTGGTTTATATACATCGAAACACGCTTATTCTTTACTTCAGATTATATGTTTCATTTCATCGAGACTTTCGACTTTTATCTCCCAGTCTTTTTCAAGATTCTAAAAATATAATACATTTACATATTTTACAGTTAGAGGAACAGGTAGATGCAGCATTAGCAAGGGCGCGTACTGCAGAAAATCTAGCCAGTGAGATGGAACTCAAGATGAACAAAGTCAAAGACAAGTATGAAAGGGTATGGTTAACCATTATTTTACGAAAACGTAAGGATTCATGCAAGAATGTGTGCATGTTTGATCCTCAGGGGTCGATACCATGTCGATGGCTAAACATTAAATTTCCAATTTATTAATTTGTTAGATACGTCTATTTAACTATGGTTTCAAAACTGTGGTACAGTATATAGAATCAATCATACAAAATAAATAATCTAAAATGAGTAGATAAAAGTTAATATTTCTTAATGCATTCTCTCTTAAATTGATGCTTTCTAAAAATTTACCATGACAATTATCAACATATCTTGTTTTGTCATGTTCTGCCCTCAAACGTGTACATTGACATGTTCATTATTTACAGCAAATTGATGAACTAAAAAGCCATCATACCGCAAAGGAGGCAGAATTGCGTAGGAAGCTGAAGGAAAAGTGTGAAAGTATGGAGAAGGAAGCTATACGCTATGCACAAACCGTGGCCTTGTTAGAGCAGAAGCTGCGACAGGTAATTGCCTTTTACTTCCTATGTCATTTTTTGATCAAGTAAGGGCCAACTAGATGTTATGAAATATATCTTCTGGGACGAGGGGTAATTGTAGTATTTTCCCAAAAGGCAAACGCGGAACTAATTCGTATGCCATGGGATTTTCGTTCAGATTGTTCTATACTTGACTGTATCAGGTATGATAACAAGAGAATAAATAAAGGTAAAATATCTACTCCACAATCCCCCTACCTCCTGTTTGCCTGGACTTTTTGGTCTCAAGTAGTACTGCTGAACTTCTGATCATTAGCTTTTAATATATCTCATACAATTTACTGTTAGGTATACCTTGTTCCAAGTCTTCTCAAAGCAAGGTGGCCAGTAGGTCAGTTTAGTAAGTTGCTTTCTTGTTTGCAAATACTTTGTATGATAATCGTGATAATTTAATCCTAAAGTTCCACCCATCAATGACTATGACATTAATTTATCATTTTTAACTTCCAGATGAGAGAAAATACAACCACCCCCATCGAAGATACTCTTACAGTCACTTCTATTCCAGAGGATGATGATGCCCTATCTGTAGAAATACCTTACGGTAATAATCGAATCACTTTTCTGATATTTCCCAAAATATTTGTCAATGAAACATGTGACGACAAAAAAGACAATGGGTGTTATGAAGCATGCACAAGCCAATGGTTAGTCATTTGGTCACGCAGCTTCGAATAACTAGACTGGTGATATATCTGATTCATAAAACACATGCAAATATATACTTTGTGCTGATAATGTAGTCTCAGGGAGAATTGTGTAAAATATATCAACATTTCAATCACAATAATACTGTACCCAGGAGCAGCAAACCTGCAATTGAATACGTAACAGGTTTATATGATACGGTAACTTAACATTCAAGAGTAGAGTAATTGATGCTTTATTATGCTTTATTTACTAACTGCATCAATTGTGCATGCCTATTACATGTGATAATAACAATAACAATACAAATCATATTTTACAGAGTCCCATAGGAAACTAGGCCAAACTAAGAGAAACGTCCCTGGAGAGATATATGGGACATGTACGTGAGTTTTATTCGTTCATTCAGAACAACGAATGTCTTTGAATCATAATTCTTTAATTTAATATTTTCAAAAATGATGATATTATACTAACTAGTATTTCGATGAGTTGTGTGGGGATTTTTCTTGGTTAGCTCCGCGGAAAATGTCACATTGATTTATTATTATTAATTTTTTGTTACAAGGTGCGCCAGAAGATGCTAAGAGGAGGCGAACAGAAAAAATTGACAAACAGGTGAGTGAATTTACGTTTTAAAAGAAGAACTTAAGGTCTAAATATGTATTCTGAAAACCCTCTAGCGTTGGAAAACGTTCACGCAAATTCGTTTTTCTCAATTTAAAATCAGTATATAATAAGAATACTTGACTAAGCAAGCCGCATAATAATTTAGCTTATTTCGTATATTACAGCTATATTAACAAAATATGAATGTCCGGTAAATAGTGTAGCTGTTTTTATGTGTGCTCATTCATATGTGATATGGTAAGCCTTATTTCACATATGTAAAATGAACAATCATAAAATGCAATTTAATTTATTTATAGGCTACAAACAGCAGCGCGGAGCCACAGAGGAAAAGATACAGAGATGTATGTCCATATTTAGTTTACTCTGTTAATTTCCTTCAATTAATGATGATTAATGTTAAGATTTACACCAACAAATTATGTAGAATGATGAATATAATGATCCTTGATATAAATAACATAACACAAAATAATCTTGATGTTGTATATTGATTAAAGGTTAAATCTGAAATCATTAAGGATTAATTTCAAGGTTAAAATCGCATTAACTATAACACTTTTAATGGAATATTTGAAAACACTTTCGAACGCGTGAAATCGCGTCCATAATTTAAGACTAGTCTACTAGAGATTGAAATATGCTGCGATCTATATAACTTTTAAAAATGATATTTTTTATAATAACTTAAGTTCATTAACTTAATAGTAAAATGTTTTATTATCGATGTTTCCCTAATCATCCAACTAGCTTTATCAAGATTACATTTAAAGTGGAAGTACAAAGTTATATTATTTATGACGTAATAAATAATAAAATATTTTACTCTGAAATTGATGAACTTAAGTTAATATTTATATATCACCAGAGTGATAAATCTACACAGAAAATATATTTTTTATATTTATAGGTCATCTGTGCTAGGTGGCAGAGCGAAGTCTTTCTTGGAGTAAAGGAACGTGATACAGTATTTTATTGCAAGCAGGCACTTTCAACTATCAGTGATTTTAACAGTCTTATGAGGATAACAAACAAAATGAGAGTAATTAATAGAGGGGATTACGCCAAGATTGGTGAGGAAATACCCGATAATCATTATTTTGTCGTACAAGATAGATACCTCGATGCTCCAAAGAACAACTTGGTTATTCTTTTAAAAGAAAGTGAAGAACAAGTGTTATCATACCTCTCGTCTCTTGTAGCACAATTTTAATGTCTTTGAACCTCTCGCCAAATTTTAAATCACAAATAAAATATTTGGCACCCTCTCACAATCAAAAACCTATGACTTAATAAAAATCTTTGCCCAAAATTACTCACATAGTAGCAATGATGCGCCTAAACGGCCTAATGAAACAGTTACTTTACAATGTTCTTACCAGATAAACGGTGAACTCGAAATAATTTACTCTTGATTTATGTAGTCATTTTTATAATACTTAATTTTTACATTTTAAATACATTGTCTGAATTGATGTTTTCTGTAATTTTTGGCGAGGTACTTGCCTCGCCTGCCTCTTGCCTGGCTACATGCCAGTGTATATTTGGTGAGGTAGTTGCCTCGCTTGCCTTATGCCTGACTATATCCCAATGTATATTTGGTGAGGTAGTTGCCTAATGTCTGGCCATACCCAAGAAAATATGTATTTGAAAATGGTTTATAAACAATTTGTAAATTCCAAGACATTTATAAACAGACGGTTTTGCTGTTTAACATAGAAATATTGTAACATTCTATATACACTGTGAGCTTGCCTCGTATAGAAATTTCTATACGAATAGTCATCGAGTATGCTATAGAAATTTCTATACAGGTTGATATTTCCCTAATATAGATATCTATATACATTGTTGACTTGCCTCGTATAGAAATTTCTATACGGACAGTTATCGGGTATGCTATAGAAATTTCTATACAGGCTGACATTTCCCTAATATAGATATCTCTACATACATTGTTGACTTGACTCGTATAGAAATTTCTATATGGACAGTTATCGGTTATGATAGAAATCCTAAAGTTACAGTGAATCACTCCCGTAGTAAAGATATTTCTTTATACATTGTCAGCTTGCCTCGTATAGAAATTTCTATACGAACATGTACAATTACTTTAGACATTTCTCTACATGCATACATTTCTAGACTTTAGAAATTTCTATACGAATGGGTAGCTTGTTTCGTATAGAAATTTCTATACGGACAATTTCCGATCAGCTATAGACATTTCTATACATGCAGCCATTTCTCTTAAATAGAAATTTCTATAACTGACACATCAACTTTTTGATATATTTTTAGCTTTTATTGGCAGCAATAACTCAAATATTAACACTGGTGTACAAATATAAAATAAATGTTGTTATGCAATTTACTAATTGTCTATCTGAAATAAAGGAAATCATTTCTAAAATTACAGTTTACAATGGTCTTTTTCTATTTTTTGACTGAAATAAAAGGAACAAATGGTTTTTTCCTTTATTAAATAGTCAGGACTTAAAAACAAAAAATAAGTTGCCTGCTATTTGCAGATGATTTAGCCATAATTACTGCAAATAAAACTGATATGGACATAAAATTGAAAAAATTAAACAATTATTGTAAACAATGGAACTTAGATATCAATACTGATAAAACTAAAATTGTAATGTTTAATAAAAGTGGTAAACGATGTAATGATATATTCTACATTGGGGACCAGGTAATTGAAAACGTATCAAAGTATACTTATTTGGGTATGGAATTCCATGCCAACGGATCGATGAAACAAGCTGCAATCTTTATTAAAGAAAAAGCAGAAAAGGCGAAATTCAAATTGATAAGTATGCTTACACATAATGATATTAACCTAACTTTGTGCCTGAAATTATTTGACATATTAGTAAAACCAATTTTATTATATGGATGTGAAATCTGGGGTGCTGGTCTAATAACTAATAAAGATCTTCTGAAAAATAAAGATTTTGGCCTTGAAATGAAATATGACAAGTCACTTCCACCGGAATTACTACATCTATCTTTTTTGAAGTTTCTATTAGGGGTGCATAGAAAAACGAGTAATTTAGCTACGATGGGTGAGTTAGGTAGATTCCCTCTGTTTATCAATATATTTTACCAACAAGTTAAATACTTAGATCATATAGAAAATGAAGGAACGAGTTCATTACTAATTAATGCATATGCAGATAGTATTGAACTATCAAAAGTTCATAATCAACCATCATGGTACTATGATATTGATAAAATAATGGCATATGTTCAACCACAAGATAAAAATTACATTAAAAGTAAACCGCTTGATATTAAGAAAATCCTTGAAAAAAGATATATAAAATATTGGGAAAAAACTGTCAATGATAATAAAGGGAAATTAGAATTTTTGAATAATATCAAACAACGATGGGGAAAAGAACCATATTTGAATTTAATAAAGAACGCCGAACATAGGAAATATATGACGCGATTAAGAATAAGTGCACACAATTTAGAAATAGAGCGAGGAAGGTATACAAGACCAATAGTTCCGAGAGATCAAAGAAAATGCAAATTATGTAAAATCACCACTGGTACGGAAACTCATTTTATTTTTGAGTGCCAAAAATTGGAAAAAATGAGATATGAATACTTTGATACGTTTAACTCGATTTGCCCAAATCTAACTGTATTGACTACCGAAGAAAAGGCTAATTATATGTTTAATGCTGAGGGTAACATGTGTATCACCTTTGCAAAATACCTTTATGAAATAATTGAAAAGAGATCAACAACTATATTATCAATATAAATATATACATGTAGGTGTAGGCTAATAGTAGTTGTTGGTATATATCTAAGGATCAGTCAATCACATTATATTGTCATTATATGCCATGTAAAATTTGCATTGTATGTTATTGTAATTGTATGTATAGTTTTAGTTTTATTTTATCATGTTTATTTGCTGTACACTCACCCGAAAGGGATTTTTAGTACAATAAAGCATTGAATATATAGAATATTTGAAAAACATTTCGTAAACGTCAACATATATGTATAAAATGGATGCACCTATGTATCATTTGGATTCAGAACGGTAACAAATGGATGCTTTAATAAATTATACTTTTATCACGATGATTTATTTACTGATGGACAACTGGCCAGATTTTCTTTGTATCCATTGTTTGGATAAACATTCCTCATTCAGTAAAGTAATTAGCCACCCCATTACAAGTAGTCTAAAGGCACCCTCATGAAAATACTATATATAAACCCATCAACTGGAAAATGCCATTACAGATGAAATAAAGGACCCACGGTCCTGTGCTCACACAGTGTAGAACCTACAGAGGAATGTATATCCTGATTTACAAACAAAAGTATTGGTAAATATGAGATCAATCAAAGATGATTTGTTGTAGTCAAAAGAAAAACTATGAATTTGACCTAGATTTTGACCTGGGCCTTTTAGTGTTCAAATTTTGAAGGAAAGTAGATTTTGAGGGACGGCTTCTATTGTAGATTCTTATTAAGTTGGCTGCATGCAAGCTGTATCTAGTGTTGTGTTGTTACAATTGATAATTTTCTCAAGCCCCATTGACTTAACATGGGATACCAAAATAGCGATTTTTGAGATTTCAAAATGCCATAACTTCCGAACCGGAAGTCGGATCAAAATCTGGTTTGCAGATTCGGATACCTTGGACAATTTTACACATATTTCATAACTTATACATTGAATTCTAAGAACTTTTTATTGTGTATCGCTGATACTGTTAATTTGAAAAACGGGTCCCTAACATGTAAGGATGACAATGAAAATGTTGAAATTAGGTACGCTAATGAAGTGAATTCAGAGCAAAAGACCCATCGACCCACTGGAATACCCACAAATCAAGTTTCATAGCCTTGCCAAAGTTTCCATCGCGAATTCAGTTTTGATTTTGAATCAACATTGAATTGCATGATTTCATTTAGACGAGTATTAATGACTGCTTACATTCCAATGTACATTTAATAACATAATATATTGTAACTCTCAAGAAACACTCGATCAGATCATTGAATTTCAAGTCCTAGACGGGTAGTTTGCTTTTTTATGCAGGTCAACCTGATAACGTTTTGATTGGTCAATCAGCCTGAAGTCACACGTTGTGTCCATGTTCATATTGTCAATCAATATGGTTTTGCAATACCCTTAGGTAGCTTAGGTTTTATGGGAATCTCGGAACCGCTGAATAAGTTAGCATAATATCAGCGATGATACATTGGATTGTACAAGGTGGTAATAATTCAAGATCAGATAAGTAAATAAATACCGACTTGGGCAAGGCTACCAGTTTCAGAGCCATTAACATTCCTTGAAGGTGACAATGAGCAGCCAACAGATGGACCATCCGTAAATCTTGATGATTTTGTCAGCTCAGCTGAACGAGCCTCCAGATTCCTTGAAACAAATGACCATCATTCAAGAATAGTATTATCTATTTACAATTTTTTGAAATCGTGGTAAGTGGAATTTTTCCAATTACCAATATAGCATTATTATTGTTTTCGGACACTGTGGATTAAAATATTAAAAATACACACATTCAAAATGATTCAACTGAAACCTAGCCAGTATGTTCAATAAATCCAATCAGAACGTCTACTAATCCACATGATACATCATAATTAAATTGCTTTTTTAAAGCTGATATTTCATACCATAACTCCAAAAATATTATAGAACGCATTGTATTTGTATTTTACTTTACACAGACATATTTGTGTATGTGAAATAATTATATTACTTGAATTTTTTATTCCCAATTACAAGGTAAACCTATGGCAAATTATACATACCTTCTCACAGCTATGAGCGAGGTGATAAAACTGGTCGAGTGAATTCGTTTGAGTTATCTATTCTCCGTAAAAATATCAGAGAATGTGTGTTTATAGCGTAGCTTTGGTTTTGTAAATCAATGAAGTATGATATACACGGATGAGTAAATATAGATTATTTAAACAGAAGTGAAAAATTCTTCCATTGAAAAGTACAGAGGCGGGTACTCACGAAACATTACATGTGCCTGACTGCATCCACATAGATCGACTAGCCACAGTGCCTTTAGGCTACCCAACCATGCCACTACCAAATACCTGAACTCCTGCATGCCAAATGCAATCTCCCATTGGCTATCTAGTGTACCAAAGAATAGTACCAAAGAATATTCAAACAAGTAAAACCCTCATTGCCTTTAAGAACAACAATCGCAAGCACCTTCTCAACCTTGACATAAACATAATCCCTACCTCAATGCTAAATATTTCTAGAAATGAAGAAACACTTATTAATAGGTTAAGGGTAGACCTGCTCTTCAGGGCTCAACTCTTTGCCCACAATTAGACCTTCATCAGCTCTCCTAATTGTTCTTGTGGTCTACCCGAAACTCCAAAACACTTCTTTTTTCACTGCCCTCTGAATGAAAATGCAAGAACCATCTTTTTCAATACTCTCTATACTGAAACTCCTTTGGTCCCCACTAACCAATCTACACTTTTAGAATACCTAGCCTTTGGCAATCGTAATTTTAGCAAGGATGAAAACAGAAAAAATCTTTACTCTGACTTCTGCCTTTATTAAAGCTACGTTCACACCAATGGCGCTTTGATGGCGCTTTAAAGCGGCTTGTAAAGCGGCACCAAAGCGCAACAAAGCTTGATTAAAGCGTCGGGGTCGTAATGGGTCGTAGAAAGGCTCGGAGTAAAGCGAGATAATCGGCAAGAGCGCCAAAATTTTTTAAACTGTTTAAAAATTTTGGGCGCTCAGTTACGAATTGATAAAAGCGCCGAGAGCGTATCAAAGCTTAACAAACCGTAACAAAGCTCAGCAAAGCTTGACCCAAAGCGTAGGAAAGCTTTACAGAGCTTGGTTCAAAGCGGGGACCCCAGTCTCTTCACTGTCTGTAACCACTTGATACGCTTCGTTAAGATGTCTTAAGATTTGCTACGATCTGGCATGAAGATCTGACACGAGGTCAGACGCTTTCATCAATATCTGACACTCTTTGTTACATTTTCATGAAGGACTCTCAAGCTTTCCAACGAATTGAGACGCTTTAATCAAGGATTGAAACGCTTTGCTAGGCTTTGTTACGCTTGACAAGTTTCCACACGCTATATCACGCCGTGCGACAAACATCATGTCTTCTTCAGATAGGTCATGCTCTGGTCCATCTGGAATTTCTGGATCTAGTTGTTCTGCCATCGTGTTCTCGAGTCAAAGATGCAATGGTTTTATGGATCTACTGCATCTTTATATAGTTATTGGATCAAAAGTGGCATGAAATCGGCGATCTCGACATTTTCCAATGCGTGACAGAGCTTAACAGAGCGTAACAATGCACAACAGAGCTTGGTAATCGTATCAGAGCCTGATTTAAAGCGTCATTATCGAATCAAAGCGTAATAATGCTTATCAAAGCGTGATTTCAAGCGTAACAAAGCCTGGTCAAAGCGGGATCAAAGCGTGAGGAACCTATCAGAGCTATGTTAAGCTTTCCTACGCTTTGGATCAAGCTTTTCTGAGCTTTGTTACGGTTTGTTAAGCTTTGATACGCTCTCGGCACTTTAATCAATTCGTAACAGAGCGCCCAAAATTTTTAAACAGTTTAAAATTTGTTGGCGCTCTTGCCGAATATCCCGCTTTACTCCGAGCTTTTCTACGACCTATTACGACCCCGACGCTTTAATCAAGCTTTGTTACGCGTTGGTGCCGCTTTACAAGCCGCTTTAAAGCGCCATCAAAGCGCCGTTGGTATGAACAAAAATGACAAAAATGACGGCGCTTTGCTCGCCGATTTAAAGCGTGGCATTCGCCGTTGGTGTGAACGTAGCTTTAGAGATGGCTTACCCCATATTGAACAAGACTGAACAAGACTATCTTAGAACCTATTGTACCCTGCCTTGTCTTGCAAATATAAATTACATTGTCCCTCTGCCCTGTATTTCCCCCAGTCCCAACCCAGCTCAGACCCCCCCCCCCTTCCACCCCTCTTCATCTTTTTCCCCGCTTGGCTAGAGTGCTTATAATGCCAAAATGGTGATTAGCACTTGAATATGCTCTCTTGTATTTACTATATTACCCCATGTACATCTATTTTATATAAATAAATAAATAAAAAAAAGTCTTGATCCTCAGAGATTGATCTTGATCCTGAATAATTTATTATTGTAAGTGCATTTTGTATTTATTATCATAAGTGCTTTTTCTTGATCCCAAGTGCTTGTTTTTGTTCCTTAGTGATAGTTCTTGATCATAAGTGATTAGTCTTGATCCCAAGTGATTGGTTTTGATCCTAAGTAATTTGTCTTGTTCTTGTTCTCAGAGATTGATCTTGATCCTAAATTATTTGCTATTTATACCATGTTGTCTCGATCTTAGGTGATAGTTTTTATTCATATATAGTCATCCTTTAAAGAGATCGGAAAAGCGAAATCTCACTAAGATAGCCATTTTGAATTTAGGAGGCCCAAATTACAAAACCAATACAATATTTGCAATCTACTCTAAATTGTTTTTCATTTGAGTATAATAGAGCTATACTTTAGTAAGATCTAAACATTAACGTAAATATCCGTTCATGGCCCCTGGGGATCAGGGTGAAAATATATATATATGTTGTAAATATACTACCGACATTTCAAACAATAATACTTTAAAATGAAAATATAAAAATGCAAACACAAACTCTCAGGCGCACACATACAAATAGAAAAGGTATTCGAATTGGTATCTTACTTCCTCAAGCCAGACGCAACAAAATTTAAGAAGTCAGCTGACCAGGGTGCCTTAAACTATCGTCATATACTCAATCCAAGAAGGAAGGAAAATGTACCTGACGTTATCACTCACAGATATGCAGCTTGTTTTTCATTACATAATTAAACTGTAAATCTGACGACTATTGTTGATATTGGTGAGGCTAACTACATACTTTCAAAAGAACTTGAACGTAAACTTGTAAAATCCTAGTATTTACTAGGCCGATTAAGTTCAAAGATAAAAGGGAAAAAATTATGATTACGAATTTCATAAAGTTACGAATTACGAATTCGTAACTTTGCGAAAGTTCTGTTAATGACCCCCAGCTGGAAGCTGAGAGGGAGACAGTAAGCATTTTGTGCTTCCATTTAATAAAGCGAAATCAATCAAGCGATATGTTACAAAACAATGATGAATAAAGTTTGCACTTGTAAACTGGTATATTTAGAGTGACTAATTATTTCAAAGTATCTTGACTAGATTGTTGATCTGTACAATCCACGGTTCGTACAATCTGCGGATCTATCAATGAAATGTAAAGTTAAAGCAAAAACTATACGCGTTTCGTAATTTTATAGCGAATTGGGTATATGGAATGATGAGCGTTTGATGGTTGTTGATATACCTATATTTTAAAAGTTTAAATGAAATGTTTAAAAGCAAAATAAATAAGCAAAATTGCACTACTTGCCATTTGTTACATACGCCACAACCTCATATAAGCCTTAATTCTAAAATTCAAATTGCTCGGTATTTGATGACCTAAAAAGCGTTTCTAAATATTGTAATTCATTTTAGCGTTCGTGCTTATATATGTGAAGGAGTAAGTGCTATCAGCTATTTCTGGACCTCTCATATTAGCTGTATCTTTATTAATATGGTATATCCAACTACTGTATAATTTGCAATTATGATGAAACAAGACATTGATATGATATTTGCGCTGGTTAAAGCCATAACATCGCTTCATATGCCCTTCATTCTATCTCAGTTAACCCGTCGTAATAGACACAATTTACGATACAAAAACCGCGCTCGGTGAGCTGGGATATATTAAATTTTTATTGAGCTGCAATTAAGGACGAATAACTTGTATAATACGATTTCCTAAGTATGTGGATTTGGAAAATCTCCAAGTAAATCATTAGTAAACATGTACAACTCTATAATCCGATGAGTAAAGTCTATGAAATGAGCTATTTTAAATAACACTTAATTTTATTCTTTATAGGAAGAAAATGCAAATCTCTTTAGTGATAATCGAAGCTTGTTTAAGGATGAGATATTGGAAGTTTGCCATTTAGAACATGAATAAGAATATTTTATAGGATAGGTTTACCTGATTGATGTTGGATATTTACGGGATAGTTTCAGGCAGTGCGTGTTTGATTAGGTAAGTTTATATCAGAATCATTTCATGTTTTATATTTATTACGTTGATAGTTATGGTGAATTTGATTATTTTTAATTTGATTAAATTTATTCAGAATTTGTTTTTATGCACCAATTGTCATTTTCTTAAACATTAACAATTGATAACACATTAAAGGGATACACTAAAATAAGTTACGTTGTGTTTACATTTTCGGATTAGAAGCGTTTATTTGTTTTGAAGGGGTGTATGTATTGAACATTTCACGCAATACAAAATAATTCACGGTTTTCCCAAATGCGCGCGACTTCATTGTTTCGTTGCTTCCGTAATCCTAGCTGACCTGTCAGTCTGTTGGCAGAATTGTACATATACATGTACCTAGTAAGTTGTGTGTGTAATCATGTACCTCGGTGTACATCCACGACATTTTGATGTTTTATATGTATTGGTCTGATAAAAAATGCAGTATACGTTTTCAATAATTATCCGAAATATATACTCAAAACTACGTCAAAACATGAAAATTTAACTTACGAGTAACATCTTGAATAAGTATTTGCATTTTAAATATGTTACAAATGTAGACTTGCAAATATATAGCTTATTTAACATGTGTTTCGAACGTCCTCCTACACCTATCTGAGCCAAACTTTGGCTGAGTCTATTTATAGTCCCCCAGCACGGACACCCCAGTCACTCTATATAGTTTCGCACACACTTTAACATTGACATTCTAATCTATGCCAAGGGGGGGGGGGGTAGGCTAGGCGCAAATAAGATTTTTAAAAACAACTTTATTGATTTGATAAAAAAATATTGTATTACTTCAATGGGAAAGATGTTAAAGATGATACTCATTTTGAAGATTTCATAATTATTTTGATTCTGCACAAACAAGTCTGTCCTTTCAAGTTATCGAATCCAATTGTCTACTGGGATGAATGAGTACACTGTAATTGCGGTAATTTTTATTAACATGAAACGAGATTTTCAAAAACTGAAAGAGAAGTTTGAGCAAAGATAGTATTCTCAGAACTGGTTATGCGCGAAGTAAATGCATTCTTTCGAAACGTTGGAATCTTGGTTACTTAAATCCTTATCATACAGGGTGATCAAAAAAATGGAAACCCTGTTGCCATTTTCCTCATATCTTTGTCATTTTTGGAAATTACTCCCTGATATTTAGCACATTTGTACATCATTCAATTTCCTACCAGCCTTCCATATTTCATAGTCACAATATCACAGCACTTTAAACAACATGCTCCATTGGCCAATATTGCACTTTCGGCAAACCTGCACCTATCATCCAAAATGTCCCTACCTAACTTCAACCTGTGGTGATACACAAAAAAGAGTGTACGAGAATAACCCCAGGACAACTGCAGACCTCAAAAAGCAGATCATCCATGTCATTCAGGCCATACCTGCTGAAAAATGTAGTCAAATCATTGACAACCTGTTCAGATTTGCCAATAGTGCGATGGTGGCCACACTGGGTCATCTTGTTCAAAGTGCTGTACCATTGTGACTATCAAGCTGATGTTCATGAATTTTGGTTAGCTGGTAGGAAATTGAACGTTGTACATGTGTGTAAAATTTCAGGGAATAATTACGAAGATATGAGAAAAATCCAGGGTTTCCTTTTTTTTGACCACCCTTTATTTTTCTACTTTTTCTTAACGCATCGATTCTGTAAAACAAATTAATGATCCGCAAACAATACAGTGTGAGGTTTTATGGCACTTCATGAATACGATCATCAGACGTGCCAATGATTCCGTCATACAAGCATACTTTAAACACACAGGTGTGATTTTTCTAATCGTGGTAAACAAACCTCATATGTTCTAGTGGTAGTGGGAAATTGTTTCAGAAGTTATTAGTTCGATTAATCACTACACTCTACTTGCCATGACTGAATTAATTATCTTGTGAGATATGTTAGTTATCTTATCCTAATTATTCTTGTCCATTCGAAGAAACGATACGTACATCCTTCGTTATCAAAGTATGGCGTTTTCATATGTGACGTTTTTCACATTTTCCATGATTGAAAATCAAACAGATGAGTATGCGCTCACTGTGCAGTTAACAGTTTCGCTTGGTGCCATTCTTTTCTGTTATACTTAATTTCTTGCAGTTTGAGTTGAGCTATTAAACTGGATACGTAATAACAAAAAAAATTATTTCAATCAAATGGCGTAATTACATTAATTATATTAATGAATATGTTTAGTGTCAAGCTACACGCCACTAATAGAATAATGTGATTTGCATTAGCTTACTATAGGGTTCCAGCCTAATGTAGCCCCGGGTATAGGGTGGTAATGGACACCTCAAAGGTTGATATAGGGTTGTAGCCTAATGTAGCCCCGGTTATAGGGTGGTATGGGACACCTCAAAGGTTGATATAGGGTTGCAGCCTAATGTAGCCCCGGTTATAGGGTTGTATGGGACACCTCACAAGTTGATATAGGGCTGCAGCCTAATGTAGACCTGGGAATAGGGTGGTATGGGACACCTCATAAGTAATATAGGGCTGCAACCTCATGTAGCCCTGGGTATACGGTGGTATGGGACACCTCACGAGTTGATATAGGGTTGCAGCCTAATGTTGCCCCGGGTATAGGGTGTTATGGGACACCTCACAAGTAAAATAGGGTTGCAGCCTAATGTAGCCTCGGACCAAGGTTGGTATGGGACATCTAACTAGTCACTATAGGGTTGCAGCCCAATGTAGCCTCGGACAAAGGGTGGTATGGGACACCTTACTAGTCATATAGGGTTGCATCCCAATGTAGCCTCGGACAAAGGGTGGTATGGGACACCTTACTAGTCATATAGGGTTGCAGCCCAATGTAGCCTCGGACAAAGGGTGGTATGGGACACCTTACTAGTCATATAGGGTTGCAGCCTAATGTAGCCTCGGACCAAGGTTGGTATGGGACATCTAACTAGTCACTATAGGGTTGCATCCCAATGTAGCCTCGGTCCAAGGGTTGTATGGGACACCTGACTAGTTACTGTAGGGTTGCAGCCAAATGTATCCTCAGACCAAGGTGGTATGGGACACCTTACTAGTCACTATAGGGTTGCGGCCCAATGTAGCCTCGGACTAAGGGTGGTATGGGACACCTAACTAGTTACTATATGGTTGCAGTCTAATGTAGCATCAGACCAAGGGTGGTATGGGACACCTTACTAGTCACTATAGGTTTGCAGCCCAATGTAGCCTCGGACCAAGGGTGGCATGGGACACCTAACTAGTTACTATATGGCTGCAGCCCAATGTAGCCAGTGGGGAGGGGTCAGCCCGGTCACATATATTCACACACCAATTGTGTAGCCACTTGTGGCTCGTATGTGGGAAAGTGCAAATGTGAGGGGGGCTGTAAGGGTCTAACACAATAAAACAACATAATAAAAGCAATTAAAGATTAACATTAATTTATTCTATTGATATTAGAAATCATTCATTAATACAAGTTAAGTTACATAGAGAATAAGATCTGTATAGTGTAAAATATACCCAAATACCACAGAACTCCTACATGGCTGCAAATGACTCCAACTAGAGCCTGGTTGCACGAGTCTAACCTAGCCTGAGAGCGATTTGCTCTAATAACAAATGAATCAGTTAACGATATGCGTTGAAACCTCTTGACAAATTAAATAACTACTTCATAATTACCTTAGAACACCATTTACCCCATGTATCAACGAAAACTGCTATAAATCTAAAGTAATTGAAGAGAAATGAGCAACCTGTGTTCCACCATTTTGAGATTTCCAAGAGACTGATCACACAATGTGTGTACATATCACTGCTCACATAACAAGATGAATTACAATTTAAAATAAGACAATTTGAAGCACAGTTAAGTTATGTACATATATATAAACATGTATACATCAAATTAGACACACTTAAAGGGGACCACCACCATGGTCAAATGATCAGTCGTGTGGAGGTAAGCTCCCAGTTGAAATAAAAGCACTGTCCTCCTTTAGTTTATGTGAAAAGTAGCTAATACCCTCATGTATTGGTCAGTTTGTGTGTCACACGACTAATCCACACCATATGCTTCATTCAACATATTTTATGCTATTAAGCTGCATATAAAAACACTACTTTGCAGTAAAAACGTACTACTGGATGAACTAAGGTTAGGGTAATTAAATTAGTTGTTTCTCATTCTTGCCCGCGTGTGGCCTAATCCCCCTCCACCTTTTTTCTGCCATTTCTGAGAAAAAAACACCGTACCTCGCGCGCATCCATGGCGTGTGAAACACTTTTTTAAAACTTTTTATGGATCAGGATCATTGACAATATCGTGGTACGGATATATGATCAAATATACCAGTAAAGTAGGCTAAATTCAACATATAAATTCAACATAAACTCAGTTTATTTCCTTCAAAATAAGTTATTTGTTTTTACAGTTACTTTAAAGAAAAAAATCATCCCGTCCTTCATCAGCATTTTAGATAGACAAAAAGGGTAATATAAAAACCGTCATTCCCGTATCAATTTTGAAAAATAGAAGAAAGAGAAACAACTTATTTAATTACCCTGGCCTAACATAAAATACAAAGCCACTAGCTAGCTCATACAGTATACTTACCCCTTGCAAATTGTAATTTATTGAATTCACAGTCAACCCATCAATTTAAAAAAAAAAGAATTTTGTTCTCATGGATCTATTATTCATGTTAAACTAACTATGAAAATATAAATATGAAATGACATGTTAGCTTGAAGTCATATATAAGATGAAAATATATATTCACGCATTTGCATTTTTCCAAAGGGAATATATTCCCATGTAAGTAAATACAGGTGCAATATATAATTTATATGTATATCTATGTCATCTGTCTATACATGCGCGTATAGTGATACATTTGAACAAGATGATGGTTCTGGAAAGAAATGAGCGTGGCAGATTTGCTAAAAAGCCACATACACCACAAAAGCAAGACCAATTTGAAAGTAAGTTCATTAGTCTCGAAGCTAAATATAATATCTTGAGCAGATGGAAATACATTCCCATGAGATATGTATATACAGATAACTATTTATTGAGTGTAATGAAACGTATCCTTCCCCAACTGCTTTTGTTTGAGATAATTATCATGAAATATTTTTAAATTAATTTTTATGTGTGTCATTGATCCTAATCCACCCTGTAGTCTGGTGTTTGTAGAGCATTGCACCTCGTACAACTTATTCTCACATATATCAAACCTCATTTACTAATAAATTTTTTGTGTGAATATGAAGAGTCGAAGCATTGCTTTTTTATGTTTACTGTATAGCTATATTTAGCCTTGGTATCCATGATTTTTTAAAACAAAATCTCACCGTTAGATTTCGAGCTATTCATGTTTACTCATTTTTCTAATTGGAAAACAATGCAAATCTCATTTTTTCAAAGGAAAAAATAGAAATTCTAAGACGGTGAAAAATCATTAAAAAATACACAGATTCAGAATCCGGCAAGCATTTCCCCTTATTCCTCTCCGTTAAGAAGTTTTGTAAGGGTGGATCCCTTTAGGTCAAAATAATCACAATAAGACAAGATAAACAATGAAACTATATCCTTAAGCCGAGTAACTGCAGACACTGCAGTAGTGGACTGGCTACACAGCCTATGGCTCATGGTGACTTACCAAAGTTAATAGACAAAATTCATACAATTCACAAGACAATACCCTGTCACTACAGGCTTAGCCAGCAAAGTACAGATGCACTCTGCATTAACTGTAAACAAAACTAGCATTGGCGCACTGAAGGCGCTGGTCACAGAATACAAGCAAGTACAGGACATATATGATACAGTAAAACTCCATACTGGTGAACAGTAAAATTGTTAGTTATTTTGACTAAAGCAATGCAATCAGAAGGCTCAGTAACGGCACATCAGGCCAGATATAAGCCATTGAAAATAGGCTGATGGGTCGTTACAATATAGTAGCTCTCTAAATGCAACCGACAGCCCCCACGTGCAAAATTGGCTTATGTGATTGGTTTAACCTATAATGTTATGATCAACAAATAACGCAAATATATATAGAGTCCTATCTCAGAAACTAATTGGAGTAAGAACACCAAATTTGATACATAGTATCGCCAATCATTCATTATTATTGCAACAAAATCTGAGGCACAAAGATAACTTTACGTCAGAGTTACGGTTGCCATAGAAACCCATGGTATGGGCATTTGAAGCAGGTCTTGAATCATAACAATAAGGTATTGAAGGTCTGTCCAAAATGAGTTTGAAAGACATTGTTAAGTCATACACATTTGATGTTTTTTGAGTGTAAATCAATTCTGAAAACGTTCTGTTCATTGATGTGATCTACTTTTAATTGTTATTTCATAATGCCTAACCATCAATAGGTTTGTCATTAGGCTATACATGTCGTACATACACACACCCAACAATAGGATCACAAAAACACAGGCATTTTGTAAATCAAAGTCAAGTCAGCCATACTGAAAAATGGTAGAATTGAAAACTTCTGTCATCATACCCAGTGGCGGATCCAGGAACCAACAGGGGGGCCAAAAATTGAAAATTTGAGGCCCATTTTCTTCTAAATTTGGCCTAAAATTTAAAAAATAAGGCCTTAGAAGGCCCAATAATGACCAAAAGGCCTTTTTTGGGCTCAACTTTTTTTCTGGGCCAACCTTAGGGGGGGGGGGGGAGGGCACAAAGAGAACTGAAATAATGCTAGATTTTGAATGAAATGTCACTGTAAAAACTAATGAGATACTAGAGGAGTGATTTGGTAATGAAATTGGACAAAGCAATGTCTACAGATGGTACAGAACGATTTCTGAAAAACCAAGATGATCTGCTGAGGATGCTTCCTATACAGGTGCTCCAAAAACAACACGCACAGCAGAGATGCTTTAAGAAGTAGAGCAGCTGGTTATGGTTGATAGGACTGTCACTTAGATGAACTGGGCATGAGTTATGAGTCTGGAAAATGATAATTAAAAAAATTGTGACATCATAAATTTGAGGTGTTTCAGGTGCTCACGACTTAAGGTACCGTGTGTTATATCCTTGCTGTTACTCAATAATGTTTCTGAGATAGGGCTCTATTTGCGTTATTTGTTGATCACCCCTTGTACCTCAACTTTAAATGGTAGTTCACGAATTTAAACACCTTTATCTTCCAATAAAATCAATGGAAATAGCGAGGATTAAATTTCGCAATCTAAATTCAAACAACATATCTTCTTCGTACTTATGGTATGTAAAGAAAGTGGTAAAGAGAAAGCAATAGGTGTCTCTATCGTGCTTTATTGTATAACACGACGTCACTTATTTTAGCAGTTTTTTGAATCCCTGTCAAAGTTGGAATTGTAGCAACGTGTGAATGAATTATTTATTTTTAGATAAATTTACGTTTACCCTGAAGAGTTAAGACGGTATATGACTTTTTAGATATAAATGTACATATTCTAAACATACATGTAATGTGTGTATATTTTCAGACGGATAACAAAAACGTGTGGATTTTACACAAAGCTGTTATGTTGCTAAACATCGTCCAACTTAGGTCACGCAGCCTCAACCGTAACTCAGAGGCTGCCCTGCACAATCTGAATATCTCGCCTGGATTAACGGGGATGTATCAACAAAAAACAATGGACAAACCCAATGTTACTCAATATGATGAATTACGGGGAGTAAACACAACTGTTGAAAGTGTCAGTATGGAGTACAAGGAGTACGGTGAATATCACGCGGTGCAGTTTATTGTAAAGTACATACCCCCTATATTGATAATAATTGGACTTTTTGGAAATATTATGACAATATTTGTGTTAGCAAGATCAAGACTAAAGTACACATCATGCTCAAGATACCTCATCCTCTTATCTGCCTCAGACTCGATCATCTTGCTCATCGGTCTCGGCCATTTCTGGCTGACGTTCGCATTCCAAACAGATATCCGCAATTTATACCCGTGGATGTGTAAAGTACAACCGTTTTTGCTCTACAGTGCTAACCATTTTTCAGTCTGGCTATTGGTGTCAGTGACAGTGGAAAGGGTTGTAACAATATATATGCCTCTTAGAGCAAAGACTATCATCACAAAAAAGAAGGTTTGGGGTATAATCGCAGTAATCGGGAGCTGCGCTGTTTTAGTCAACGTCCATACGCTAGTCACGTATGATCTCGTGTCAGTCAACGTTCCTGAAGGCGAAGTGGTAATTTGTTTGTGCCCTGCTAGATATTGTCACTTTGCGAGATATGTGGCAGTGTGGATTGACGCCATATTTGCGTCATATCTCCCATTTACCATCCTGATAATATCTAACATCTTTATCATTAAGGAAATCACGAAAACATCAACGAAAAAGAAGAGATTAGCCCGCGGATCTTCGCAGAGCTCAATAAAAGCGAACGATGATCAAACGAGGTCATTAACCATCATGCTTTTGGCTATCAGTGTAATTTTTCTACTCCTTACAAGTCCAGTTACAGTATTTTTAGGAGGATACGACCATTTCAAACGACAGCTTAACGGTGACCAAAAGCTTAAACTACAATTCCAACTAACAAATGTGGTGGTTCACATAATTTGGTACTTAAATAGTTCTGTGAATTTTCTCATGTATTGCGTCAGCGGAAGTAGATTCAGGCAAGAGTTATTCGTGTTACTTTGCCGCCAAAAACGCAAACGACATTTCGACTTCCGGGAGAATTCGATTGATAATAGCTACAGATGCAATGACGAACCTGCAGAAAGTGACCGCTCGTTAGTAAAATCAAACGCTGGACATATCCGGGCATCGAATGGATTGGGGAAAATTGACCAATCAAGCGCCACAACTGGAAGTAGTTCCGAACAGAGTCAAGCAAGAGGGTCACTTATTCAAATGAACCAACAGATTATATAGTATTCAAATTATCTTTATGCTCAATTTAAAATCAAGGATATGATTGGAAAAACTTTAATATTTCAAAACAGCATAACACGGAGTATTTAAGGCTATTTCAGACATGTAACATATATTTAAATAAGTCTTTATTACATAGTACAGGTTATTTTTCATGTCGAGGAACTACAATCTTTGGATTAAAATTTGAGGACCAATTATTTACACATACACTCAATATTCTTCTTACTTTGGTCAATTAGCTGCATTTTGTGAGTATAGAAGCTGAGATCATTAATGAGGTAATTGACCATCTTTAGGCACGGCTGCACCTTCTGAGTGATATTTTGGAACTACGTTCAGTGCATTCGCACAAAGTGCTTTCAGGTGTTCTCGACGATCATTGTTTCCATTCAGGTTTTAAACAGTTTCTCCTTTCTTCCTTTTCCAGCTCATTATTAATATATGACTTTAAAGTTTCATGTTATGCTTTGCTCTTGCCTGTTCATATCATCCAATAGCATTTCATAGAGCGTTTGAGATGTTTTTGCTCAGAGGCCAGGAATTTAAGTCATCTGATTTTCACTAGGTATTTAACCATTGTCTATTTTTTATTTTTCATATATCTCCATATATATGAGCAACCATGTATTACTATAAATAATATAAAATAGCATATTAATAGGAACATGAAACCAAGTAATTTCAGCCACAATTGCTGTCTAACATTCCCCACATCCCGCTCCAAATCGATAAAGTTGAGTAATTGGTGATACGAGGTGGCTTCGTGAGAATGCAAAAAACGTTTTAAGGCCATGGGCAACAGCTACGGGCAAGTTTAAAAAGGAATAGTCATTAGCCAGAAGCATGGTATTCCACCTGCGTTGGCGACAGCGCTACAAACTTCTTTTATCAGGTTATAAAGGCAATAAACATATGCCTTTTCAATTAGACCAGTTCCTCGTTTTTGTTTCCAATTTCATTTCTATTCAGTTTCCGGGCGAGGGCCGCCTGAGTGCGCAATGTACGTGTGCGGATGCTTTTCTAAGGTTGGCGGACATAATAATTGATTTAACGCCTGTGTAAATGAAGAGTAATATTACAAATATGTCTGAATGAGGAGATTCCACGTCCATAACATTATAACATTATCTATAAATATCCTACCAATATAATAGAATTATCAATATTGTGATAGAATTGTCACATTTGAACATAAATTAATAGCGTTACCCCCAACACTCCCATAAAACGGTAAATATAACTAGCTACGTGTACATTCCCATAACAAACGAGTATGTGAGGTATCATTTGCAATATACTCGGGTGTACATTCCCATAACAAACGAGTATGCGAAGTATCATTTGCAATATTCTCGGGAGTCTTGGCATGGTTCAAGTGATTTTATAACCAATGCATTATTTAAGGATTTAAGCCCTGGACTCAGTGCATTGTTTGCTGAATCATACCATGAAGGTGTTGTTTCTAAACCTTTGCAAAGTTTAGTAATAGCGCCTGAGTGGAATGAAGCAGCTACAATGCATTGTGTCTTGGGCTTAAATTCTTTTCACACATTGCTTTTTTTTTTTATAAAATCATCCAAAAGGAACGAGATCACTAAAAGAACACATTTTCTTTGGATAATAATACCGACATCGAGGGAATCGACGGTATGGTGCACTTTTCCCTTGCTAAGGCTCAAATAATGAAATAAGTACCGGAAGTAAGGTGCTAACTTATATAAAGCAAATAAGGATGATAAATTAAATAAACTGAATAATGAGATAAATAAAGTAAATTACTTAAATAAATTAAAGTACATTAAGTAAATAGTACCCCACACAAGTTTTTGATAATAACTTTGACCCCTGATTTGAACACTCTATCCTGAACTATTTGTTATTAAATTTAGCACACATAAACTAGAGGAAATTTCCAACATTGGAAATTTTTTATTAAGCCATATGATTAATAATGGTTAAATGGCAGTAAGTTCAAAATGCTACACAGTTACCAGTGTTTTACCAAATTGCTACATTGTTTGAATGACTATGACGTTACAGCTGTACAGAACATTTACTTGTATATAGTTAAGTTCATTAGAGTCTTCTGAGTACAGAAATGCAAGGATTTGCAAGTGGTGAGGCTAACCCAAGTAAAACATATACTATTCATAAGTACCATAAATACAGGACTGTTTTGAGATGAAATTCAATAAGATGAATATTGATCAGATAATGAGATAAAAGTCAATAAAATTGTTAAAATGAACAATTCATAGAATGATTTTATGACGTCAATTTGGTGAAAACCCATTAATGACACCTTTGATTTGATTACTTGTAATTTTATTGTTATTGAAGTAAAATAAAAACAAAATATTTCCAATGTTGGAAATTTCCTTTAGTTTATGTGTGCTAAATTTAATAACAAATAGTCAAGGATAGAGTGTTCAAATCACGGGTCAAAGTTATTATCAAAAACTTGTGTGGGGTACTATGAACTAGGTAACATGAGCTACACGTATGTTACTTGTATGAGGACGTCTGACGTCATATACTGGTTATTTGTCTCCTTCGTAGTTTTCTTTACCCGATTTATTATTAAAAAGATAATAGGAAAGTTGTATAGTTCTAGTTTAAGGTACGAGAGTTGGATAATAATCCTCGTTCCAGGTATCCTCGGAGATCATAACATTACGCGTTCATTTAAAATTTCTCTCAGAAACGAGTGGCTTGACTCCCTAATATGTTTATATTGATATGTGTACACGAAATGTGTAAAATTATGGTTCTATGTGGACTATTTTCACCCCATTTGTCTCAATTGTCCCCATTGAGTATGACGGTGTGAGACATTGTTATAATTAGTTAATTTCCTTATTGAGAAGTGGACAACAATTCCTGGGTGTCAAAAGTACAGAATGACACAAAAATGCCACCCTCATCCTGTCTGCATAAATTCTGACTTCTTTCTTAGAACAGTAAAACCATACTCCATTGAACAATTGTACAAGATGTCCATTCAGAAAGAAGAAAAAAAAAATCAGAAACCATACAGACAAAAAAGTCATACACCATTATATGGATAGCACGTTTTACAAGTGTCACCCTGTATTACACATTTCCGTTCAAGTTCTCTTATGATCCATCGGATAGAACGTCATTATCTTCACATTACAAAGATAAAAAATAAGTGATGTGAAAACGACAGATTTTTACTGAGCTTAGAAAACCTGAAATCAATTAAGTTGTCTATAGTCTTGTGATTTATGCCCTATGTCACTTTGACCTACAGGCAAGACAAAAAAATTAACAGCCACGTATTTACTAATTGGACTTTTATTTATATCTGTCTACGCGCATTACAAATAATTGTTAGCGCTTTTAGTAAATGGCTGTTTTATTGGGATAGAGATTGCTCAGTTATATTGCAAAATAGATAAGACTGATACATTAATTATTATTTATTTTGATGATTACCGAAGTACAATTTTTAACAGCGGTACAGGATGTTAACAAGTGCGTTAATATCCTGACCAGCCTCGCATTTTTCCATATTAGAAAATCGAACATTATTTACTGAATGTCTTTGCATCTCATAGCGGCTGATGCATGCACCTCCTCTCCATAAGTTTTGCAACCGGAAGTTTTGATTGGTCTAAATTCTGTTCCTTTACAACAGTTTGGAAAATTGGTCATAAACATAAAGCTTAAAGGTGACTCAAAGGGATTTCCAATTTTACTTGCAGGCCTAGACTGATATAATATGGTGGAACGTTTATTAAACATTTTTACAAGTTACTTTTACTATGCATCCATTACTTTTAGATATCACCAGCAAAATTCGCGAAACGTCAAAATATGTTATTGAGTTGGTTATTTTCAAGATGGCTTCGTTCAGGAAGTCGAATGATCTTGCAAATACGCATGCGTGTCCGCATGCGCCTACGTGCTTAGAGATTCGACTTCTGGCTAATGCGTCCCCATGCGTATTAACGAGATAATTAGAACCATGTAAGAAGTCATCTTTAAAATAACCCACTCGATAACATTTTTCGTCAATAAATTCCCTACAACGATACTTTAGGATGTCATACATCGATTGAAGTAGTGTACGTGTTTTCATGATTTCTTTGATTTGTTTGAAAGATGATGAATGTAGACAGGGAATATCAAGATTTTTTGCTTTGTGCAAATAAAGTAAGCGATAGATCACCAAACGACGTTTCAACGTTTACCAACACGAACGTTTACCTTATGCAGTCGAACTGATTCCGGTAGGTTATAGCTAAAAAAGTTACAACTTAATGTGGCGTTGGATCACCAAAAGCTGATTTACACACCCCTTTTCACTCCCCTTTTGGATAAATTAAATAAACTGTTCATGTGTTACGAATTAAAAACATTATCCAATTTGTCAATAATACACAATTAAGATTTCATTATTTCAAGGCTTAAATAACCCGCTTTCAAAAAAGACTCCCAGTGTGAAAGAAATGATGGTCCTCTGGGGATTATGGTCCCCTTTCTAAACGGCCCTTGCTGGCCCTGATTGTGTATAAGATAATAAGGGAAAGAGTTGTATTTAGGTCACCATATACATCAATGGAGAGTAGGACCATAATTTGATAGGACCTCCTACCCTTTTACACCTGCTGTTAGATTTATCGAGAGGGATGTACTGTATACCCGATTGTAGCAGAAGATCATAGAAACTAACTCAAGGTAAGTAATTAACAACTTATGGAGGGGAGTGTTTACCTGAATGTAGCAGTAGATCACAGAAACTAACTCAATGTAAGTAATTTAGAAATTATGGAGGTGAGTGTATACCTGAATGTAGCAATAGATCACAGAAACTAACACAATGTAAGTAATTTAGAACTTATGGAGGGGAGTGTTTACCTGAATGTAGCAGTAGATCACAGAAACTAACTCAATGTAAGTAATTTAGAACTTATGGAGGGGAGTGTTTACCTGAATGTAGCAGTAGATCACAGAAACTAACTCAATGTAAGTAATTAACAACTTATGGAGGGGAGTGTATACCTGAATGTAGCAGTAGATCACAGAAACTAACTCAATGTAAGTAATTAACAACTTATGGAGGGGAGTGTTTACCTGAATGTAGCAGTAGATCACAGAAACTAACTCAATGTAAGTAATTAACAACTTATGGAGGGGAGTGTATACCTGAATGTAGCAGTAGATCACAGAAACTAACTCAATGTAAGTAATTAACAACTTATGGAGGGGAGTGTTTACCTGAATGTAGCAGTAGATCACAGAAACTAACTCAATGTATGTAATTTAGAACTTATGGAGGGGAGTGTTTACCTGAATGTAGCAGAAGATCACAGAAACTAACTCAAGTAATAAAGAAAGTAATTAGGATTGCGTACATTACTAAAATATATTGTTTTAATATATCATTCATGGTAAATTAGCACTTTCAATAAGATTTATTTCTACTTAATACAGCGAAAAAGTTGAATCGAAACACGCTATCTTTGAAATATTTATTAAGGATCGGAGGTTGACAAATTCCAAAATTCACAAGGGAGTTATTATTATTAATAACTCAATGTTAAATTTTCTCTAGAGTTTTTGGAACTCTAGAGAAAATTTACTGGATTTAGCAGTGTCGTGGAGCCTTGTGAATGTATACAGACTCACTAGGGCAGTCATTTATGAAACAAGAAACACTCGGAATCGTACAATTTTGGACGAAACTAAAATCTAACCGTTGGATTTCATACGACGCCATCTTGGTGAATAATTTACATCCTGTTTGGGATTATTTGTGACTTCCTAAATTAGGATATTTGGATATTTAGGAGAACCTGCACTGGATTGAACCTTTTGGAGTAAATTTTTAAAAACGCTAGCTTTTATTCATGTAAGTGTTTTTCATGTAGTGTTTGTCAGAACTTATTCTCGTCGCTTAAATCGAACTATACAAAACTATCATAGTACTGCCATGCAGCGACATCTTTTAATGAAGTTATAAGTTACGTGGACACTATGAGTCTCGCAAACGCCCTTGCAGAAGGAATGAACACTTACTATGACTTAGATGGCCCAGCAAGCCCGAACGGCTCGCCTATGGACTCGACTATACATATTGATGATAGTCAACCTCCCCCTGGGCAACAGTCACTGTTGAGGCTAGATGGCATGTTGTCTAACCTTCCCATGGACTTATACATTGAAAAACTACTAGATTCCTGCACTGATACAGGTTTATCCGTCCTTTGCTACCGTGATCACTTGGAAACAAAAGCCCGTCTTTTACAAGACTGCCCCGACGGAGATCTCATTCAACGCGTAGGAGGTAAGAAACAGCCTAGGGACCTTAAACTAGCGAAGGACTGTTTCCTTCTTTGGTCGTTTCTTAATGGTGAATCTTCTTCCGAAGTTGCGCACATTTTTAAGAAAACTCTTACGTCTCCCTCGAGTCAACGTCAGAGTACGTCTAGCACCCCAATCAGGCAGCTGAATCAACGTTGCACCCAGCCATCTACTGCAAACGTTCAACAAACTCTGACGCGTCAAGCAAGCTTATCTCATGCCGAGTGCAATTCGAAAATTACCATGCTCCAAGAAAATGTACTTAAACTTGAGGCCGATGTAGATTCTTGCAAAAGCAAGATATCTTCCCTTGATAAACGCCTACAGGATGTATCCCTGAAACTCGCTGATGTGGAGAATAGACCTAAACCATCCTCAGTGTCGGAATGCTCTCACAAGGATAACGACTCCTTGTCAGCTAGTCTACAGGCAATGACAGAGAAAATAGCAAAAATAAACACTGAAGTTGCGTCAATGAAAACCTCTATAGATGTCCTTTCCATTGCAAAAATACTCGAAAATCCTAAGTCAATTCCTTTATCGAGCACTGCTGTTACCGTCCCAAAGTCTGTATGGGGCCCACCCACGCCTACGACCACGGATCCAGCTAAGCAAAGCTGTACAATTACACAAAGTGCAAAAACTGCCGGAACTTCCGTAAGGAGCCAGCCAAACAAAGACATTCATATTGTAGCCTCCAAACCTGGAAAGACACAGGGAAAATCGACGTGTGAGATTAACGTAAATACAACCCCTTCATGTAATCTTGAACCAGTGCCATCCTCTTCAAATTCAACATCAAAGAATGTCTGGAAAAAGGCTTCACAACTTAACCCTCAAAAGGAGAACGCCCTGGATCGAATGAAACTTTCATCTAAACCTCAGGAGTCTACAACAACTTTGTCCCATTGTAGCATTAACTCGAGCGATGACGATTTTCGTGCTGTCTCACGTCAACGCCGAACACGCAGTTTTCACATTAGCAGAATTGATCCGAATGTATCTGAACAAAAGGTAAAACAATACCTAGCAGACAAGAACATCACGGTTACAATGTTCAGGTTCCTTAACACCACAAACACTCGCTCAAAAACTGCTAAAGTTAACGTTGATGCTCACGATGCTAAGCACCTTTCAGAATCTACGTTCTGGCCAGAGGGCATACGTTGTCGTCAATGGCTCTCGAACAACCGATATTATGATGAATTCGGCTATGATACATACCGATATAACCAGGACCAGCAAGAATCTCATTATGAATAGAACTGTTTTCCTGTTGTTTTTCACATACTCGATCTGCATTCTCTCGCCTCATTTTATGAAATCACATCTTAACTTGTTCTCTTGGAATACGAATGGTATTATGACTAGCGCTGTTCTTCTTGATGAACATCTTTTGAATTTCAACATTGACGTGTGTGCTTTTTCGGAGCACAAGCTATTCAACGATAACCTTTATTTCCTGAATTCGATCAATGCAAAATTTGATTGTTTTGCAAAATCAGATGCTAGTCTTGATCCATTCAATCCATGTAGAATCGGAAAAGGAGGCGTTGCACTTTTATGGAAAAAATCTTTGACACCGAATGTTTCTCGACTTCATAACATTGAATCAGACAGGATTGTTGGCATTGAGTTAAAACTAAATGATAACGCTTCCTTGTACATTTTTAGTGTGTATTTGCCATCTGCTAATTATCCTTCAACCTTTTTCAGGGAACACCTAGACCAATTATCAGACTGCATAACATATTTCTCCACGTTAGGTACTGTGGTGGTACTAGGCGATATGAATGCCCACGTTAACGGTCCAAGATGGCTGAAAAAAGATCTCAATACTCAAAGTAGAATGCTAAATAACATGCTCAATCAAAACGGGTTATGCTCTTTGACTACTTTAGATAGTTGTACTGGGCCTTCATTTTCATGTTTACCTAGAAATAAAAGTCCACCCTCTTTAATTGATCACATATGTATTGATAATGCCAAACTTGATATGGTGGAATTTTGCCAAATTATTGCTGGTGACTGTGAACTTTGTTCTGATCATTTATGTATATTTGCATCATTTAACATTGACATTTATGTGGTGGATAAATTGCTTACTAAGCCAGCTTTAGCTTGGAATAAATTAAAATACGAGCAGATAGTAAATGGCTACTCTAACTGTGTATCTTTATCGTTGCAGGGAGTTCTTGAGAAAACACAGAGAGGCCTTTACACTGACACATCACAGCTAAATGACGACATTACACGTACATTGAAAAATGCTTCAGATAAACACATTCCTGTTAAAAAATTTGTACCCTATCTTAAGCCCTATTGGAACTCTGAATTAAAACGTATTCACAAAGACCAGAAAGTCGCCCGTGCCAGATGGTTACGCGATGGACGTCCAAGGGGTATGACATTCGAATCTTTTGCCATGTATAAGTCTGCCAAATCCAAGTTCAGGAAAGAGCAGCGTAAACAGCAAGATGAGTGGATCGAATCCGTTTACGCCGAAATAGACACGGCTGATGAGTTTAATCAGAAACTTATGTGGGCAATTATGAAGCGGAGGCGAAAACGTTCTGTCCCTATTTGCCAAGAACTCGAGGTCGATGGAATTCTCACGCGTAAGCCACAAGAAATCGTGAACCGGTTTAAAGATTACTCTGAATTGTTATTTACCGAATTGTGCGATCCAGAATTCAATGATGATTTTAAGCAAGAAATCTCTGATGAAGTAAGATCCTTTTTACAAATCCCGGTTGTTAAGGAAGACCCAATACTCGGCGAGCCAATTTCCGCATATGAAGTAAAGTCTGTTATAAAAAGCTTAAAAACCAAGAAAGCCGGTGGTGTTGACAGTTTAACAAACGAACATCTCCTTTACGGTGGAGAAGTTCTGTCCCAAGTATTGGCCTTTTTGTTTAATCTGATTTCTGAAACGCTGTCCACTCCAGCAGTTTTCAAAGATGGCGTTATTTCTAAATTATTCAAAGCGGGCGGAAAACGTCGTTCTCGTGTTGAAAATTATAGGGATATAACCTTACTCCCGGTTATTGAAAAATTATGGGAAAGAATCATTAAAAGTAGAATCCAAATGTTCGAAATACGTAGAGGTTTTCCTATCCTTAAAAGTGTCCAACAAAATGCTCACCAAGAACAGTTGTGTAGCTTAACGTGCAGTTTCAACTTTACAGAGACTCTTTACAACAATTTAGAACTCGGTAGCAAGGTTTTCATAGCGTGCATCGACACGAAACGTGCATTCGATACCGTGTGGCATGACGGGCTTTTCTGGAAGATGTACAGGGCAGGTATCACTGGAAAACTCTTTAGAATCCTCTACGATCTTTTTAAGAACATGAGAGCTAAAATTCAACTTAGTGGGTACTCATCTGAGTGGTTTAAACTACAGCAATCAATAAGGCAAGGGGGCGTGCTGTCTGGTTGGTACTATCTAGTCTTCATAGACGAACTGCTCCTACAACTGGAGGAGTCTGGACTTGCGGCGTCAATTGGAAGTCTGTGCACGGGGTGCCCGACCCTTGCAGATGACCTGACTTTAATCGCCATCTCGAAAGGTCATTTACAAACACTTATTGAAATTACCATGAAGTATGCTAACAAATGGAGATTTAAGTTCAACCTTGAAAAAAGTACAATCATGACATTAGGTGAATCTTTACAAACACATTTGAAACTTAAGAAGATTAGAAACTGGGACTTTTCCGGCGGGCAAAGTCTTCAAGAAGTTGACGAAGTAAAACACTTGGGAAACCTTTATAACTCCACACTTTCTGCTGAAGTTAAAGTCAACAAGGCGTGTCAAACTTTACGCTCGAGTTTTGCCAGTTTAGTAGGTGTTGGTGTACACCCCCGTGGACTAAACCCCTTAACAGGAGCTAAACTCGCTCGATGCATTTGTATTCCCACAGCCTTATATGGTGCCGAGCTTTGGTATGAAATGACAAAAACACAAACCCTCCAGCTTGAAAAAGGTCTCAGATTCATCGCTAAAACGCTGCAAGACCAATCCAAATGGACAAGAACAGACTTAACCTTAGGAATGCTTGGTCTAAACAACATTGAATCAATGATAGATAGTAAAAAATTACTCTTTTTAGGACGCCTTATACATCTGAAGCACACTCATTTGGCGAAACGTGTGTTTCTTACCAGACTACATTTAAATGAGACGTCCCCTTCCCAGAAGGGGTTTATTCCTGATATTCACAGAATATTAAATAAATACAGTCTAGATTCATTACGCGAATACTTAGTTAGTGGGTATTTTCCGCCACAAAGAATTTGGAAAAACATTGTAAAACATACAATAAATTCAGTACAAAACTCCGAATGGCAAGATAGAACTTCTAATGATGTTAGTTTTAGTCGACTGAGACAAATACAAGATTCAATAGAACCGTGTCCACTTTGGAAACACTCAAAGGTCGTCCCTGGTCTGCTAAAGTTTGCCACCGTAGCCTCAAAACTGTTAACAATCCCGTTAAGTAATGATGAAAACCTGTGTGAGCACTGTGGCGTGCTAACTCCGGATTCGGTTTCACATGGACTGTTGGATTGTTCCAAAACTGAAGATGCTCGCAATGAAATGCTTCACAACTTAAGCGATGTCTTGAACCTTAACAGAATTGGGCTTAAGATAGAGTCGTTCAAAAAGGATTTTCGAGAAAACCCCTTTTGTGTGTCAGTGAAAGGCCTCTCCAGCTTATATTTTACAGACAATTCAAAGGTCTTGGCAATTCTCCTTCCTTTCTTGTGTACTGTTGTAGAACTTTTAAATATTGATCTTACCACTCCATTTTAGAGTGATGCAAATATTTTTTAGAAATGTGACTTTCCACCACTGTTTGTGATTTTTTAATATATACTTTATTACTTGTCATTGACATTTTAGATGTGGATTGTTCTTGTTGTTTTGTGTACTTGTGTTTTTTGTTATTGTCTTAAATTTTTAGATGTGTTTTTATGTCGTTGTTTTTGGTTAATTTTCACTGTTGTGTTAAATGTTTAAATTTTTGTACTCCATGCTAAATGGGAAATAAAGAGATATAATAATAAAATGATCAAACAACTGGAACATATGAATCTACCCTTATCTATCAGTAGTCACTGGTCAGTCTTAGTTATTTTATACTGTACAGGAATTTGCAGGATAATGCTCATGAAACAGAAAAAAGTTTATTTACAAATCTAAAGATGGCAACATGTTTTGTCACAAGCGTGCTATAAGTAACATATACAGTAGAGTATAGAGTATGGATCTTAATACAATATACAATATTTTAGACTTCAAACTGTAAGGTCAAGGCTATACTTTAGAAAGCTCAATTAATGCTTTCTGGGCTTTGCTGTAAAGATAGATCTTTAATTCGAATTTTCAAGTTTTACCACTGGAGATACTGTTACAGTAGCATGTTGACATTGGTTAGCAAATCGGAATAGGAACTCACAATGTTTTCACTTGGCACCTTAAAGTGGATCCCAGCTTAAGCATTTACGGTTTAGAAATAGGGATCGAAACCTGCTATAGTTTTCTCCTGATGACCTTCGTGGATTATTGTGTTTTATGGATTACGGCTACGTTTTTTTTACATTTTAAAGAAAGCCATTACTTTTATAGCAAATCCAAGGAAGTGTTTCAACACAGTGTTAAAAGCTTTTTACAAGTATAACCTTGATCCTACAGTGACTTGATTTGAAATCTATAAAGAGAATAATAGTGCATTTTTATGATGATCAGTATAATGATATTACATTTTAAACACACAATTAATCTTTCCAATAAGTTAATTGATCAGGTTGTCTGAGAGAAATAATATTTGGAGTATTATATTAATACTAATGGCGTGATATGATATTTTGTTTTAATTTTGTAAATGTATTATGTCAATCCCTTTCTAATTAATATCCATGATATAATATCATTGTGAATGTTTAACTGTAGGTTGTATATTTATGAGAGAAGCAGCCTTAAGACCAAAAAAAATTTGCGAATAATCATTTATTATCACAAATCCGAATACGTAATGACATCAAGTAAATAACATTTACATATACTATTGTAGGGCGCCCATTAAATTACTTGGCCCCTCCTTACAAACCCCCACTCACAATATGAGCAGTGGCAGTACCAATACAGTAACATATCGAAGGTAGGTTGGAGACATTTTAAATGACACATTCGTAACGGGGTGGCTCAAATTAGTAAGAGTCGGCTTGAACAGATATATGAATGGCCCAGCTCTTTAGTTACGTCATTGGCTGTTCTCCTAACCAAACGCCCAATTGGAGCAATGTAAATTATTGTAGAGGGGCCAATAAAGGCGGAACTGAAAAAGGCACATTATCATTATAAGAATAAGCTAGGAATATTAAAAACCATTTTATTGCAAGGAGTAAGTAGACATAGAAAGACCGCGGCACAAAGTCAGTAGACATAAACAATTAGTAAAATAAATTTCATTTAATACACAAGGTACAACATTTGAATCCGAAATAACAAGACATAAACGAGTAGATACTGTTGGGCAGCTAAGGCACGATTCAACGGAAATATTGAACGAAAATGTCGACTATTTTGGTATTTGGACTTATGTGGTGCTTGTTTATTCACATTACACGAGCTCAAATAAGCACAAGTAAGTACATTACTTTACACTTATGTCTTTTCATTATCCTAAATGATATTTGCCTTATGTTTAAACATAATTAACAAGCACAGGTGTCAGAGGGAAATGACTGGAATTGTAAAGAAACTTTAGTGTAAACCTATCATCAGAAAAATATATCCAAAAACCATGATCTAACTCGAAAAGAAAGAATGTCTTGCGCAGCCCACACTTCAAATCGAGAGCCACTTTCACAATCCAGGACAAGAACATCAGGGTATATTTCATTCATATTGAAGTCATTATTACAATATATGTTAAAGAAAAATTGAAAACATGGATAGTCAATACTCAAAAAATCAATATTTAGATTTTTATCGTAAATGAAATTTGCCGAAATGTTTTCAAAATTCAATGAATCGGAATATTCCTGGACGAATAATGATCCACTCTATTCTATGATGTCTTATCGTACGCGTGTATTAACGGCATGGGTTATGGCTTGTAGGTAGTCCCTACTTTGAGACTTGATTTCGTCTATCCCACATCATTTGCGACTGAATGGTTGCATTAATCTTTATGAATCGTATATGAGTACTAGAATGGTATTTTTTCACCCATTTCTGAAGTTATGAGTATATTGGCTATCGCTTCTTTATTCAACTTGCATTTCAATGACTTCAGCATGAATGAAATTTCCCCTTGGTGTTGTGGTCCTTGATCGTGTTATTGAATCTCGATTAGAGGGAGGATGCGGTGTAAGACAATATTTGTCACATCAGAAATTAATTATCCTATCATATCTCTAAATTCGTTACATTTCTTTAAAAACAAATGATATTATTAAGACTCCGGAGCAATATGTTATGAAGTACAGTTTAAGCAAATACAGAGGATAAACGCAATGTAATAACGTTAAATTGTTTTGTGAACTGTTTGAGTGCAATTATATTTTGATATTATATATTATATCATCATTAAGTTATATTTTAAACATCGTCGAGTTAAGATTATATAGATTTAAAAGTGAATGATAAGCTTCCTGATAAGATATTACACTGCTTAGTCTAAAATTAAAATCAGCGAAACTTGAAAATATGAAAAATCAGCGATGCAGACGCACAAACGAGCTAGCATTGCGTGTGAAGATTAATGAAAGTATGTCTATTTTGTTTACATCAAAAGCTACTACAACTGATCAATTTGAAATCAAGTTAGATAGATCAAATGGAGTCGTATCTATATTATATGGCCAGACAGTGCTAATTTTAATGTTCAGAATGTTCTTAGGTCATTCGGGGGTATAGTCCACTTCAAGGAGGATATATTTAATGCAAACAACATTTTCAAGTTGAAGTGCCATGGAACTGTGAATCATCAGTGCTCAATATTTCAAAAGGCCATGAAAATAATATGTACATCAATGTTTATTTTCGAAATAGCTCATGGCTTTTAGGTAATTATATACTAATATCTTTAATATATCAATTGCCTCGAAATGCTCGTTACTTGACATTCTGCAAATGGCAGAATTTAAGTATTAAACAATCCAATGTAAAGCTCATTTTGTAAAACTATACTATGTTTTTTTTATTTGGCGAGGTATCGTTAGAACATACCTTAGATCATTGGTTTTAAATGGTACAATCATAATTAAAATCCCTGATTTAACAAAATCGCAGTTCCCTCATCACGCCCGGTGATCGTACAAAATGGATGGAGGGGGATTAGGCTATTTCTGCAAGAAAACTCAACAAAATTGGAAATATGTAAGCACAAATGCCAAAAGGGAAGGGTGACTAAAAACTTTAAGGAAACCCAACAGTCTCGAAGTCCAATTCAAAGCGTCAACATCCGTTCGAAAAGCCATCAGCATAATTCATAGAACACAATAATTCACAATGGTCATCAGGAGAAAACTATGGCTGGTTTCGATTCCTATTCCTCAACCATTATTGCCATAGCCGGGATCCACCTCAAAAGGTGCCAAGTGAAAAAATTGTGAGTTCATTGCCAATGTCTTATAACAGTTCCTACATTTTTCAGCATCTCAAGTTGTAAAATTTGAAATTTCAAAATTAATGACTTGTACTTTTCAGCAAAGCCCAGAAAGGATTTCTTAAGTTTTTTACAAGTATAACCTTGTCCTAGTTATCACGGGGTACCATCGAATAATTTTGGCAACGTACCGGAGAACGACATTTTACTAAGTTATTGAAATCGGCGCAGTCAGACTTTACTCCGAAAGATGGTTTTTCGATTATAACTTTTTACAACATTTAAGTATAGACTTTTGAAAAAAGTACAGAATAGTCCTTATACTATTGAATAATTCTGTTATTTCTGATTCACACGACTCTGATTTGTTTAATTAAAAAAAAAGTTCAAAAAATATTACTTAGGAACGTAACCGGAGCTGGGAACGTAACCGGAGCAGATCAGTTGAATTATATAATTTAAAAAAATAAAATATATGATTTAAAGCATATATATTAATAAATACGCATTCGAACAATCCCGTATGTTTTTAAATTAGTATATGTGCTTTAAATCATATATTTTAATTTTTGGGATTAAATAATTCAACTGAAAAGTCTCAAAAGTCTATACTTAAATGTTGTGAAAAGTTATAATCGAAAAACCATCTTTCGGAGTAAAGTCCGTCTGCGCCGATTTCAATAACTTCGTACTTGATCAGAACTGGGTTCCAACAGAATTCCTACAAACTCATGAATGAAATAGTTATTGCATGGAATACTTACTTTTGTCAAAATCAAAATAGAACTCTAGTTAAAAAACATATTGTGCTAAATTATTGCCATTTCTTAGTAAAATGTCGTTCTCCGGTACGTTGCCAAAATTATTCGATGGTACCCCGTGGTTATACTTTTTATATATTCGTAAACTTTCCTCTGAAAAATTAGTTGTGTAGATTTGAATTTCCTTCAGCAGAAATCGCCGAATCCTCCATTCGTTCATTTTTCTGATGTCCGTGCTTGCTGAACCAATTTTTTAAGTTCAATTTACAACTATTAAATAGGTTCCAGATTTTCAAAGTAAAATTTAAATCCAGTAAATCAGTGTGTTGCTGTCTGTTAATAAATACTGATTGACAGGATATTTAATATTTAGCACTTTTCACCAAGGTACGATGTAAACTGAATGTAAATGAAGTGTAAACTAGATGTTAACTTAATTTCATTTTTGTTTGGGTTGACATCGTTATCACAATTTATTTTAAACACATTTTGTCAATAAACAATATGATGTCTGCCAAAGAATATGTATATTATGTACTTGCCCTCAATCTGCAAAACGTCTATAACTTACAAGTATTCATGTATTTATGTCATCTTTAGATACTTTTTAGGATGTGTTGTCCTCAGCTTGTTTTAAAAAAGCCTGATTTGAAACAAGCTAAACGTCGTAACTAAGCCCCATTTTGGCGCAGAACCCCTGGTTTTAATGTATTTTCCCAAATGATAACAATTCCTGTCGGGTAAATAGTATATTAAAAAGTCACAAGTATATTAATAATATTTCACTTTCATATTTCATTTTTTAAGAGTTCCAACATGTTCTGGTGGTTGAAGGATTTATTTAAACATATCAAGTCTTCATTAACATTGGAACTACATGTATGCACCAATTATATTCAAGGCAGTTAGAGTAGGCATGTTATACAGTAAAAGGAGAAGTCCCCCGGCCGTATAAGAACACATTTTCTCCTTTTTTTCCAGATGACTGTAAGGCTAATGGCAAAGTATACCGCCCTGGGAGCATCACAAAAGTCTACTGCCAGGAATGGTAAGTAGTCCCCATTTCATTAGATGAAATGGACCATGGTCATGATTGGCACCGGCTCTTACTGTGGAATGTGAAGCAATTAGACTATCCAAAATAACATTTTCTATCCTTATTCAAATTTAGTTTTTTCAAATTATAAGATTCAGCAAGAAGTAGTGTAGTGAACAAGCCATTATTTTATAACAAAATATTGTAATTAAATGCTTTATCCAGAAGGATATCAAGTTGAATAGTATATTGTATTAAATGTATGTAATATTACTACTGAATAAATAAAACAATTCAGCCTCTCGAGCAGAGTTCCTTTTCCCAAGGTTACATCATATAAATCCGCATATAATATTTGAACAAAACCCATCGACTGGTATTTAATGTATCAAAGATAACAGTTGTTCACAAAATGGCGGCATTTTGAAACTCAGCTGTCATCTTAAACAAAACTTATATGCCCCTTGGCATCGACATAAAACATCTGAATCAAAGCTCTCATTTTGCATTAGAGGTTATCAATGATTACTTTTTTTACGAAAGATTACGAAAGCGTCCATTTTGAAATTCAATCGCCATCTTGAAAATTCTGTCTCAAACAGAGCTATATATATATAGTGTTTCTTTGTTATCAGCATATACATTTTGAACCAAATCAACTGGTATTTGGGTTATCAAAGATTATGTTTCTCCGAAACGTGGCAGCATTTTGAAATTCAGCTGGCGCCATCTTGAGTTATCAAACATTACGATATACGAAAAATTACGAAAAATGATGGTCATTTTGGAATTCAACTGCCATCTTAAAAAGTAGGGTAGCTTGTCCTTAGGCACCAGCATATAAAATTAGATCCAAAGCCGTTTCCTGGTATTTTAGTAATCAAATATTTTTTAGCAAGAAAAACAGAAATCATGAATTTCTTTTCATGTCACATGCCATTCTGTGTATTAGTTGTGATTTGATGCCCCTTCGATTTACAGTGGATTTACAGTGGATCATCAAAACAATTTGGGTAGTCATGAAGTAAACAACCAAACAATATATTTATTTACTTAAACATTTACTCACGTTTACTAGTCCCTGTGTACAGAATATTTAAGTATCATTGATTAATTGTGTAACAAGCAATTCACTGTATAACCCTAATGATCTGCAACCTTTTTATAACAATAAGTCGCAAGGAGGGGGAGACTTTTTACATGTCTGACTTCATTATTATTGGTATTGTTGTAAAAAATAGCCAATTGCCTCTCCAGAAAAGTTTTATATTCTCTAAAAGTAGGACAATACAGGCCAAGCCGAGGTCAGGGGGGCGAGCGAGGTCAGGGGATGTAAATTTTGACCTTTTGTTCTAAATTGTCTATCACAATAAATGTTTTGTAGTCATGAGAAAATTGGGGGTAAATTTGTAAGAAGGTTTCATCATAATTCTGACATTGGTATTTATAGATTAGTTTTTGAAAAATACTTCGGGATCGACAGTTTTTACATTTAAAAATCCATAACATAGTAAAGAGTGGCTTGAGTTTCTCGAAATAAAGCATATTGAAAAGATAGTGCAATATACAAAATTATAATTTATCAAACAAAGCAATAATCATCTTTCCAACTTCAAATTCCAAATCACATTTGTTTTTACGCCAAAAGTCTTATATACAGGGTGTCCCGAAAGTATGCCCCCCCCTAGGCAGATATATACCAATGTCTCCATAGTATGTGTCATATATCATTTTAAAGCTCATCCAAAGTTACATTGATTTGCCAAGTATCATGGTTCAATTCAAAAATGGGAAAAAGTTACAGGCATTTCAAAATTTAGTGTTTGGCCAAAATTAAAGTCAATTTTACACCAGAGTAATAGTTGGTGTGTTTCCCTAGGTCATGTTAAACAGCAGCAATGCTTTCCATATATGACCTTAAACAAGCTTCAAATACGGAAGTGGCATTTTGTAATCATCATAAAACCTTTTAAGGCATTTTAGAAGAATTTCCTTGGAGTATCTACTCTTAATATCCTCTTTTTAGAACTCAATATTCATCCTATCTTCGTTAATAGCACCCATATTTTCGGTCACATTCAGGTCAGGGCTGTTGCCAAGATACTGAAATGAACTATATTTTTGACCAAACACTAAGTTTTGAAATGCCTGTAACTTTTTACCATTTGTGAGTTGAATCATGATACTTGGCAAATCAATGTAACTTTGGACAAGCTTTAAAATGATATATGACACATACTATGGAGACATTGGTATATGTCTGCCCAGGGGGCATACTTTCGGGATACCCTGTATGTGGCAATATTGCAAAATAGTACTTTTGAAAACAATCGAGAGACAGACATAAGGGTTAAGTTAAAGGGAATTTCCTACTATACCTGTCATGGTATCTGACTCGAATTAGCCGCCTGGTGAAGAAACTGGTTACTACCTACTCGCATCTGAGTTATTATTTTACAAGTAATAAGTAAATTGACTTTGATGTATTTTTATAAACATTGCAGCATTTGTATTGAAGACATCTTGGTGGACGACCATTACGTGTGGGAGTGTAATGGTGTAGATTGTCTCATCAGGGAATCGATCATAGACCATGTAAATGGAGGCAATAACGGGTTAGTGTCATATTTTGCAGTTTTAATCAACACAATGTTTAGTACTAGTTACAAACTTAGAATTGCTTTGCCAGAATAAATGTTTATTATACGAACTGAAGCATCGTGAGTGTAAAAGAGATGTTATCTTGATTTAGATTATATCTATGCTACCTTGCTGTTTGAAGGCTACTCTTTAGTATGGTGAACCACCCACACAACCCAACGTTCATTTTATCATAATATGGGGTTTGGGATATACATGTATAGGGTCTATTTTTCTTATGACAGGTATACACCATCTTCGTTCACTCGGCTCCCGCCTATGAACGCAGTGAAGACCGAGCGTGCGAAGATGGGAATACACTATATACACCTGTTTTCTTAATAGGTTTCTTAACAGTTTCTGCCATTTCCCTTTGACACTTGTGGTTAGATATATATAGATATAAACATTATTTAATTTATTCAAAATAATTTCAGAATATATAACCACCTTATCCCCATTTGTTTGTCTGATTGACTGAATAATATGTCAAGCTCAAGCCAGTACTATAATTTGAGGCATGGCCAATATAACTGTTGCTTCTGAAAACTGTATAATTTTAATTTGGACCTATAGTATCTGTTAGCCGTCGACAGACAGAAATCCCTTGGGATTAATTCACCCCATTTTAGGAACAATTCTTAAACTATTTTATACATTTACTGTGGAATTGTGTTGAAATCCCTTAATTTTTAATACAGTCACAGTGAAAAAACAATATGGACGCTTTTCAGCCCGTCTTGTCTATCTAACTTTCTAAAATATAATTCAAAAGATTGATTTAATGTAATATTTAGTACCCACCAATCTGCAGATATTTGGTAGTATTTCTTAGATGTACTTATAGGTGGAAAGCTGATAGCTATTCCTTTCTGCAGGATAAGACTTTGACATCCGGAATGGAGCATAGACTGGGGACATTTTTGCCAGAGAGTGATGGAATACCTATGAGGCCAAGCCAAGTAAGGGAAGAAGAAACGTTCCCACGTGGATATGACTTACGCGAGAAGTCAAAAGAATACATTTCTGCAATTCGTAATCAGGGGGATTGTGCATCCTCTTGGGCATTTAGCACTACTGGTTAGTTAAAGATAATACTCAAAGACTTTTCGGACTGAAATATGTAAAAATAGGTTACTTTCTTCTGTCTTCATATTGGTCAAGAAGAATGTTTATTTTCTAGTTTATAATTAGCTGAGTTGAATCTTTGTCGGTGTGAGTGTGCGTGACATTTTTTATGATACGCTGTAATATTTGTTTTAGATGAATATTCTTGTTAAATCTACTCAATAAATGCAGTGATTTATTTTCATTGGAATGACAAAATGATTATGGGGTCGAAACTAGATGTTGAGGTAAGGCTATCCCTGTCCTACACACAAATAAAGCAAAAGAACACTTAATAAAATTGTTTTCCTTCTAGCTGTTACCTCAGATCGCATTGCATTGAAAACGTCAGGTAAAATCAATGTAGATTTGTCCCCGCAACAACTAATCTCTTGTATTGGAGACAAGCAGCCTGGATGTGCAGGGGGGCACATCGAGAGAGCATGGGAGCACATGAGATTTCATGGGTATGTAAACAATTATCAATGAGCTTTTAAAACATATTACAGTTTAGAGTTTTTACAAATTAAACTGAATTATAATCATAACAACGTGTAGTGAATCCCATTTATGCCTACACAGTAACAGACATAAGAAACAACATTCAGTATATCACGATCATATATATAGAGGTCATTTACTGGGAGGGATTCAATATTGGTTTTATTCCGAGGGACAAAATGATATTTCCCGAGGTCTCGGAGGAATAAATCCATATTAAATACCGACCAGTAAATAAGCTTAATAATAAGCTTATTAGATAAGCTCTCTTCATAAAATCATAAGTTCAATATCCATATCTGATTTTTGTATGAAACAAAAGCGGACTATATTATTTAGTCTACAAAATATGACAAAACGTCATGACACTTCAATACGTTTGTTTTTCTATATACACATATTCTCGGGTGTTATTCAACGGGAAGTAGTATTGGATACAATCACATATAATCTATCGATTAATGGCTTCATTATGTTCAAGAAGTAACAATAATAGAAATGGAATCTGGTTGTTCTTGTCCAATATCAGTAGCCATATAGAGTTCAGAGTTAAGTTCTTAGTTTCACATTGAGTAACTCATCGCATGTTGGGCCACTTGAAGTGCATTCATATTGGGGTTTTATGAGATCGACTATATCATAATGCTCTTTGTTGATCCTCGATGAGAAATAATATTTAGACCATTTTTACATGTTCGTTTATCCCAATGGCTTCGATTCAAATTCTATTTTTATATGGGTTCGCTTTAAGTTCAAACCTATATCACAAAATGTAAGACAGTTCAAATCTATAATTCTAAACTTTATTTGTTGAAGAAAGATGCTATATGACTACTTAGCTCACTGTAATTTCAGAGTCGTAGATGAAGAATGTTACCCCTACACCAGTGGCATGGGCAGCTCGGGAAAATGCCCAACAGGACAAACATCATCGGCATCGAAGAATGATATATGTCCAAAGAGAAAACGATCACCAGGGAGCATAGTCTCCCACAAAATACTTCAATCATACAGAATTCCTAGTGATGTGAGTTGTATTCAAGATTACACAAAATATTCAAGAGACTTGTATTGTCTCTTAAACTCTACATGGTCTTCAAGGTTGGATAGAAATATTTTGCCCATGCTTTCTAAAGAGCTTCATCAACGACCTTGTATTGCACATTCACGTTGAAAGGTTGAACGAAGACTGCATTATTATTCAGAAAGTAGATGGGACGAGGACGCTTTGTTAAATCATTTCTCGTTGACCTTAAATCAAAAAACTCCATTAATTTATAATTTTCATGGTCACAATTTCGATATGACAAAAACAATAAACAGCATAAAATGAAAAACATACATCCTTGGTCCAAGGGTATTTCACTTCTTTCCATAACCTTGGTTTGGCGTATACAATTGTTGGGATTGTGCGAGCCCTTTAAATCACCAGCCAATCAGAACTGAATTGTTACTTAATTAAGAGTTCAAATCAACAAAAGATGTTCAAAGGGATAAACAGGCATTATATGTTCACTAATGAGTTTACTGCCCCAGTCTGCACGTATCTCTTGTTAAGAATCGAATTCATAGTAATTTGCATCTCATTAGGGGTCATAAACAGAGGTAGGACAAAACATCCCTATTGAATTTTGTATAGAACATTAGAGTTCAAATCAACAAAGATTTTCCAAAGATGTTCAAAGTGATAAACTGGTATTATATTTTCACTAATGAGTTTACTGCCCCAGTCTGCATGTATTTCTTGTTAAGAATCCAATTCATACGTAATTTGCATCTCATTAACAGAGGGAGGACAAAACATCCCAATTGAATTTTGTATAGACCATTATGATTGGCGAACGCGAATTTTTTTGAATGAAGGATGAAAAACATGTATGTCCCCCGTTGTTAGAGCCATTACCGGACGATCTGAATCATTTTCTCCAGTGACCATGCATATAGCAATACCTTTTTAGATTTTTATACATGTTTCCGGGGGCAAGAAATATACATTTCAATGTTTCTGGTATTATTTATTTCGATTCTTCTAATTTTTTTACAGGAAAGGGAGATAATGAAGGAGATAATCACGAATGGTCCTGTCCAAGCCACCTTTGCTGTTCATGAAGACTTCTTTATGTACAAAAGCGGTATATATAAACATTCTTTTGCGCCAGATGACATAGGTTTAAGTGGCTACCACTCTGTTAGAATAGTTGGGTAAGTTTGTTTAACACTTCTTCTTCTTCTTCTGAATGTATCGACTGTAAGTCCGAAAGCAACTTAGCGCGTTTGGTTTCGAATACAAGCGTCAAGAGGTCACACTTTGGACCACTTATTTAATGAAAAAGCAAGTTTATTGTTGCCGATTTATATAAAAAATCATTCAATTATCAAACCATAAAGAAATTTGTTTAAGATACAAACATTTACAGGCTTTGACACGCTATTCAATGAAATTTTAGGTGAACAAACTTACTGAGGGGCCACACTTTAACGACAACTAAAATAATATAACAAGAGATGCAGAGTTACACAAAATTACCACCCACTTATTTTGGAATAACACGCTAAATAATTAAAGAATCTTTGTGATTTTTATGTAGATAGAGTGTTCAATTAAAAAGAGATAGTTGTACTTGTATGGCATCAGCACTTTTGATATTTAGAGATATCACGATTTCCGTCCAGGCTTGCTTTAAGTGAAATCATCAGAAAATGTTCAAAATACAATTTTCCGAAATCTGGGATATCAATTTTTATTATTTGAGTGATTTCTCGATTGTTTACACGTATTTTATCAATAATATACCACATCTACCCATTTTCCTAAATAATTTTGTCAAATTTGACGACATTTTAAGAAATTCATGTCAAATAAGCATACCAACCTTTTTAATACAGGTTATGACGTGCACGGACCTGGGGACAATTCGGGAAATGCGGGCTTATCTCAGCTTTGAACGTTAATCTCTGCCTTATTTAAAAAGCCAACTATGCGTTTTACATATCATTTTGAAGTATTTTTTATTTGCATTTCAATGAAATTATTTTTCCTTCAAAATTTTGATGGGATCCAACACATTTTTAAAGTTAAATATACTCCGACATCGTCAAATACGCTGTAAGACGTAACACTTTACGCTTACAGGGCTCGTTGAAATTGAGATAACTTTTCAAATAATGATCAAAATCCCACTTAAATTTCACAATTTATTCAATGAAACATCTGCATGTATGACGTCACAATTGCTTTACGGCTACATTTCAAATTATCTTATACGAACGCTTTTAAAATTTTCAAAATTGTGTAAGGTTTTGAAGGCGAATGGGACGAGCAATAAGTTTACCTTCATTTAACCTTCTAATTTAGGTCTGATTTGAAAGAAAATTTAACTGCACAATATTGTCATGGCGAAATTTACAAAACAATAATCGGTTTGTTTATTTTGCAAATAATATCAAAATAAGAGCTGGTTTTCGAGACTTGAAAAAATGTGACGCATCGATTTTTTACCACAAATTCCATACATATCAATTTTTACTAACGCCCCAAGTGGATTTCTTGACCGTTTTTCAAAATTCAAAAACATTTTAGAAATATTGTCCTCGAGATCTTGCTACCCTGTAAATTTTGTAATGATTAGATAAGGATAAAGTATTTTATTTTTAGGTTGACTAAACTTGTAAAAAATGTGACGCTTGTCGTTTTTGACGTTGTAAGGCTGTTTGCGCCCTATACTGCTCATTGTTTTGTTTTGTTTTTTGACGCCATAATGTTACGCTAATTGTCCCCAGTATCGTGCGACGTGTAAGGTATAATATTTATATTCACTGTGTACCGTTTCTATATTTTTGTCAATTTCAAATTTCCAGGTGGGGCTCTGAATGCAGTTCTCAGGGAGAGACGAAATATTGGGTAATGAAATCATTGATTAAATGCCGAATCAGACTTATAAGGCTGACAAAAATGCCAAGTAACATTTACAATTCCATAACCAATTCCTTATGATCTCAAAAACACAAACGCTATATGTTCTAAGTATGGTGTCAGAAATGGCTCAACATTCAATGTTAGTTTCACATTGGATATATTTCAAATAGTCGAAATATATTAAAACATCAAATAAGAAAATATATTTTAAATTAAAAAAAATCTGAAACACAAGCATTTTTTTCAAAAACATCAAATAAGGAAACAAAATTCAAAGTAAATGTTGAGAACTTCTAATTAGAAAAACGTATGTCGAATAAGAAAAAATAATATTAAATTCAACGTTCAAAGCAATAATTACACGACCTCAAACAAACTTTTATCTACTATCTATCTACCTTTATACATATCATGTTTCAACTTTTCATTTTGGTATTTGATATTTACATTTTTCTTATTCGAACTTTTCATTTTTTCTATTCAAACAGTTCGGCATTTCTTATTTTTCTATTCAAACTGTTCGGCCGTCCGGAAGTTATTTTGCGCATGCGCATTCATATTTTATTCCTCGAGTGGGAAAAACTGTCTAGATCTTCTATTATTTTTCTGAATTTACGTACGTGTAATGGTATTATATCGGTAATGTCGCCCTCCAAATTGCCAAACTGTTTGAATAGAAAAATAGCTTGCAAGTGTCGATTTCTTAGTTCAAACTTTTGTACAATTTTGGTTCGAGCATTTTATCATTTTGGTTTGAACTTTTGGATCGAAAATTGAAGGAAGTATATTTAGAATTTTTAGTTTAATCTTTTTGAATCCTTAAAATTAAACATCGAAGCTATTATTGATCTTGCAATGAAATATTTTTTGAGTGTTTGACATCTTTTCTTTTGATGTTTGATGTTTAATTTTCCCTTTTCGAAGCTGTTTTGTCGCAGTTTTATAGATGTGTAATTGCTCATTTAAAAAATCAAACACTGAAGATTTATTTTTAAACAACATAACTAAAATTAAATAAAAACTTTGAAAGTCTGATTTAAAAAGTGTCATACCAAACAAGAAATGTGGATTATGAAACATAGAATTGAAAAAATTGAACAACAATTCAAAAGTTTGAATTAATAAGTGAAAATTCAAACGAGAAAATTGAAATTTCAAACATGAAATTGAAACTATCGAATTAAGACGCTAAAAAATGCCATTACTAAATTTGTGACATCACTTAAGATTCGAACTTAAAGTGCAAAAATTTAAAGTGTTTAAATTGTCAAGTGTTATTCGAACCATGACCATTTTTGCGGTCCATACATACAGTGGGTTTCTAAGGTATAACAAGTTTGAAATATTTTCAGATTGTTGCAAACTCCTGGGGTAAACAATGGGGAGAAAGTGGATATTTCCGAATTCAGAAAGGCGTGAACGAATGTGAAATTGAGTCATACGTGGTTGGTGTTAAAGGTAAGTTTGATCAGACATTTTCTTACCTATACTTATACAAAATATTTTTGATATGAAAAAACATTGAAGTGGCACATTAAATATGATATTTTATAATTGGAATAGTGTGTCCTTTGTTTAATCTTTGCATTGCTGTTATATGTGTCGCATAGATAGGCATGCTATTTAAAGCACTTTGAATAATGGGCCATGTAATGAACGGGTCTAATTTTAATTAATGACGAGAATGAATCCCTGGTATAGATGAATAGAGAGAATGCCCACTCCATTTCCAACTTTACAGTAGCCCAGTTCCCTTTTTAAACTTGGTCACGTGGTAGAGTAGAGTGCTTATTAACCTTTGTTTTACATTAATCTTATAACTAAACATTTCGAATTATTGTTCATTTTGGCAAGCCTCTAGATTCCATCTGCAAATATACAAAAAGGTGTTCTAAACCAGATACAAGTTTCAAATATCACCCGACGTTTTCGTGATTATGAGTCAAAGAAAGCATATTCCGGAGTTTCAAATCTGTAATAATGTGAAACTGCATATCCTAATTTATAACACTAACCTCTTACTGTTTCTCCAGATATATTCTTTGAAAATCAAATTCGAAAGGCGTTATTCAGGGCAATTTGTGCCATTTGTGATGTCACGTCATGGACCAGTCCATTAAAATGGGAGTGGTGTTAGGATTGAAATAAATGTGATTTTTGGATTGTGGAACTGTTGATTTATGGTCCCTGAAAGGGACGATGCAAATCTTATATTCCACTGTTACCTCAAATTCTAGTTAAAAACAAAAGTAACATATTGAAATGAGGAGGGGGAGTATCACAACTGATTTCGGACAGTCATATGTTGGGTTTTGACTATTTTCTGAGGATTTAAACAGGTGCATATGCTAGGCTAATGTATTATCTCCAGGAAAAGCACCTATAAAGATGATTAAATGATTTTGACTTTGAGACAGGAAAGATGCAAACAACCCACCCACATATATATCTGAAATGTCGTCCTGATTTTCAACCCCTTCCAACCCTGTTTTTTAAGTTTTGGTTGCATCTTGTTGCATTTTGACACACCATTAACCCTTTTAAAGGAATAGGTAATTCCTTCAGAGGTTTTAAAGATAAATTATTCATTATAGGTGACTAAAATTAGCTGAAACCAATGGATCGCATGAGTTTTCCGTATAGGAAAATAACAAAGGAAATATTGTTTTCCACTTTATTTAAGAGGAATTACTTAAAACGGATTAAATGTGTCTTAAAACGCAACATATTGAAGCAACAAAAATTGATAAAGCATATTGTTTATTGTTTATTGGAGAACATCTGCCTGACTTCCTAGTATGGCATCAATAAAAACATGTGTGTCAGCAGAAAACAGCTTGACACCAGTATCTATGTCTAAAATTGAGACTAGTAAATTAAAAAGTTCGTCTCTCTCACAGATAAATCTGGTATTTTGGCAATGCAATAGGTAATGCACGATTATGAACTCATTGGTAATAATAATGGTGTCACACATTTTACACTTCTTTTCATATACATTAGGTAAGGATAAATGAATGAGATTGCCTAAATTCCAAGTGCATTTTGGGAATTGTCTACCCAATTCCCACAATGTATAACTATGAAATGCAGTCAGGGACTATTAATCACCAAGATAGTCGAGTGACAGTTGACCTGATCATCTACCTTAGTTTGATTGGCAGTTAAACACCTATAAATATCACCCCTGTTCTTGAAGAAAGTGTGTGCTTTGGAGTTTTGGCTATTTTGAAAAGTGGGCCAATGAATAATATGCATTTTAAAGAATTATCCAACATGAGACCAAAGATATTTTTAAAGAGCTTCTAAATTCATGAATTACTAAACTCAGGGAATTTAAACTGATTGGAATTATAATAGGATGTCTTAATTGTTGTCTATCACTATAATTTTGTGATAATTTATTGATTTTTCCTGAATTTCAGTCAGGCCAACTTTTGTAAAGATGCAGCTGGAATTAAAGGAAATATGGGATCTAACCTTAACAAGCCTTGGAAATATTGTCGCAACAGGTTGGGGGAACACAATGATCTACAACAGCAGATTCCAGCAAATAAAATACATCTACAAGAAGTTCTTATGTGTAGCAAAAACCAAAGATGACCAGCTAGCATTCACAACCTACTCCCGCAGCAAAACAATCCACTTGTACTCAGAGGTTGGATCATCAATTCGTACCATCACATGTGGAGCACCTGTAAGTCGTCTAGAAGGTATAGCCTCACTGTCAGTTGGTGAGTTGGTTGTGACTGATTACGACACCAAGGGGGTGTTTCTAGTAGATTCTATAAAAGGGAACACTACACAGATCTCCCCATCTGGTATGTTCGACTACATGTACCCTTGGTATGTGACAGTTGATATTAATAGCTACATCATAGTTAGTGACTGGAATGGTGATTTCATCAAAGTGATTAACAGAGACGGCCAGGAAATTCTCCATTATGGGGAGACAGGCTCAGGGGAGGGTTATATATATGGTCCCACCGATGTCTGCACGGATCGCAATGGATTTATAATTGTTGGAGATAGACACAATAAAAGGGTACAACTCCTTACACCCAACGCAACATTTCATAGTTTGCTCCTGACATCTGCAGATGGTCTGTGGTACCCACAGGCTGTACATGTAAATGAGGTGGGCGAATTGCTAGTTGGGGATAAAAGTGGACAGCTGTTCATTGTCAAATACAACGACTAAGGTAAATATGAAACAATAACACAACTATAACTAACATAACACCTGATACTACATTATTACATGAATGAAATGTTTTACTTTTAGTTTAAAGGACGATTCTCGGTTTGGAGAACAGTCTCCTGGGCTAATAATTTTTTCATGAAAAATATAGAAATATTACCCAAATTAAACTATGAATATTCATAAGAGGACATTTAAATCTACAAGATGTAAAAATAACAAATTGGTCTGAAGCAGGGATAACGCTCAATTAGACCGATTTAATAAAATACAAGTCTCTATTTGGGGAAAGAAGTCCATCAGTGTACTGCGCTAATATTTTTTGGGGAAAAATCTAGAAAAATTACCCAAATTAAATTATGACTATTCAAAAGAAGACATTCAAATCTATATCATGTAAAAAATCAATTTTGTCCGAAGCAGGGATAATGCTAATTTAGATTGATGAACTTCATTCTCCAAACCGAGAATCGTCCTTTATGAGATTAAATTGGATGAAATACATAAATTGCTGGATATAATCGATCTTAAATTAACAGAATGTAAACAATTAATGTAAATAACTTCAATTGTTTGTTTCTGCCAAATATTTGTTGAATGGGTGATCAAATCTTGAATTTTTTCCTTTGATTTATGTCATTTAACCAAGTAAAATGTATATTTGTTCAAAGTTTTTTTTCAAATAATCATAAAATTGTTGAATTTGATATTTAAAAGTCAATGTTCTGTTCCAGTTTGGAATCCCTAAGTGAGTTACCAACAATGACAATAAATTGGACATTGCCAACGCTAAACAAGAACAACAACAACAACAAAAACAACAGCAGTGACAACAACAAGTACAACAACACAATGATGTATATAACATTAAAATCACAACAACAGCAGTGACAACAACAAGTACAACAACACAATGATGTATATAACATTAAAATCACAACAACAGCAGTGACAACAACAAGTACAACAACACAATGATGTATATAACATTAAAATCACAACAACAGCAGTGACAACAACAAGTACAACAACACAATGATGTATATAACATTAAAATCACAACAACAGCAGTGACAACAACAAGTACAACAACACAATGATGTATATAACATTAAAATCACAACAACAGCAGTGACAACAACAAGTACAACAACACAATGATGTATATAACATTAAAATCACAACAACAGAAGTGACAACAACAAGTACAACAACACAATGATGTATATAACATTAAAATCACAACAACAGCAGTGACAACAACAAGTACAACAACACAATGATGTATATAACATTAAAATCACAACAACAGCAGTGACAACAACAAGTACAGCAACACAATGATGTATATAACAATAAAATCAAAACAAAAAGACCACCAGAATAGGAACAATTAGTTTTAATAAAGGACGATTCTCGGTTTGGAGAACGAAGTTCATCAATCTAAATGAGCATTATCCCTGCTTCGGATAAATTTGATTTTTTTACATAATATAGATTTGAATGTCTACTTTTGAAAAGTCATAATTTAATTTGGGTAATATTTATAGATTTTTCGCGAAAAAATATTAGCACAGTACACTGATGAACTTTTTTCCCCAAATCGAGACTTGTATTTTATTGAATCGGTCAAATTGAACGTTATCCCTGCTTCAGACCAATTTGTAACTTTTACATCTTGTAGATTTAAATGTCCTCTTTTGAATATTTATAGTTTATTTTGGGTAATATTTCTATATTTTTCATTAAAAAATTATTAGCCCAGGAGACTGTTCTCCAAACCGAGAATCGTCCTTTAGCCTGGGATACAGTTTAGAAATGAATAAGAACTTGTTTCTGGATATAATTTATTGTATTGTAAGTAGTTCTATTTTCCAAATTGTCAACTTATATATTTTGTTTTTAATGTAAATATTTGCTATTCTATGATGGCACAATCACAATGTATACATTCAATAGAGTGGATAGCGTGTAGTTAAATGGACACATTTATTTAAATTGAATTGGAATTGAAATTTCTAAGAGCGCCTTAGAAGAAGGCTACATACTTGCTAGCTTGTCTTATGACATGCTGATTAAGATAAAATGGATTAAGCTCATTGGATTAACTTATGCTGTTCCCTTGTAAAATGTAGTTTGTAAAATGTGATTACCTAAGGTGACATTGCATACAATTCATGAGACCTGTGCATACCTGTATATACCAACACGAACTCAGGGCTTATTTTCGGAAAACTGAATTATACTATATATACTGAAAATGTAACTGACCTATTTTAATTGACAAATGTGATTCTGCATTAAAGTAGACGATTCTGGTAATGTAATTCTTAAATGTGATAAAAAACAACGCAAACTGAGGACCTTTTTGAAAAAAAAACTGATCGAGCTTACTTGTGCACAAACTTTTTAATGAAGCTATTTGATCAACTGTAGTAGTAAAATTTTCAGTGTTCTTTCTCTGAAGTTCCTTTACATATATTGTAATATACTCCTATAAGAGATTCTCTATTGTTGGAATTTCACTACGTACTCTTGTACATGTCTCACAGCTCGTGGAGTTTCATTTGTGTTCTTTGCTTTTCAACGCTGTGTAATTAGTTCCCTTTGCAGTTCAATGTATTTATCGTGCATGTCAATTTGATTTAGTTTTAAGATATCTTCTCGTTTCTATATCATTTTCTTGATTATTTTCTTCTTGGTTTTTTCATGGGCTTTCAACTAGAGTTGAAAGCCCATGGTTTTTTCCGTTATAGTATTTTCTTGCAGCGCAGTGATCCTTTCTTGCTTTTTCTGTTTGTTCAGCTGTCTTGCCTTGAAACAGTATGGATGTTATTTATTTAGTCGCAACAGTATTCAGATCAGCAATCTCTAGTTCGTCGAAGTTTTTTCCTTTTCTAAATAATATTCATGCGCTTTTTGGGAGTTCTAAATTTATAAGCTGAAACAATGTATGCATCTTGCGAATGAGTCAGAGTGATAGTTAGGTCATTATTAAATAGTGGTCTAAGGATATCAACGACGTTATCATGGATTTTAATTGAATATAAAATTGTATCTGTCTAAATTTATATATCAGTTGCAGACCTAAAGTGTATTTAACTAGTGCAGCGTTAAGCTTTTCATCAAGAACACTTGCATCTTTGTTATAATAACAATTTTTAATGGGTCGGTCTAGCAGTTCAATGAATATATAAACCGTATACTATAAGTCCTTCGATTATAAGGTCGGGGAAGATTCCAAAGGTTTTTAAAATCTTCCCCAAAATACTGTAGATTGGGTTAATTTGGCGCTACTTAATTTGGCGATTTTGCCATTTTTGGCATATTGGCGGCTATTTAATTTGGCGGATATGCAAAAATGTTAAACTTACACGCTGTTTGCGAATTACCATGTAAATGGGCATGTTTTTCTATACTCATTTTTTGAGGACCACTCGCGATATTCGCCACGTTTGTACATTTTTGTGAGACCATCCTTTACATTTTGCACCTCGACCAATGCTGCTACTATACCGCGCTTTTCCTTTCTAGTTCACTGAGTATTAATGAGTGACTGACCAGTTTTGAGCCAATATATGAGAGACAGTTTTTCATATTTTTGGAAAAAAAACTAAACCGGAAGTGACCATAATACACTAGACGAAATTCATTAGATAATTCCCGGGGATTCATTCTAAATTTTGGCGAAGATTTATATTGGCGAATTTTTCAATTTCGCCAAATTAAAGCGGGCGCCAAATTAACCCAATCTACAGTATTAACATACTATTAAAAATATCTATTTATCGATTCGTAAAATATCAGCATTTCTAAACAAAATTTTTACATGAGAGCACTTTCCGCGAACTTATTGAATAACCAGGTAGGTAGGATTCAGTGCGAAATTTACGACCCCCTGGTCTCATAATGAAACATTGGCGAGGCATCTGCAGAGAAACCTAGCAAGAAATCGAAAACTTTGAGTGTTACCTAAAAGACCCTAAGAGTATGGACAAAATTCGGTTGGCGGTCACTCCCCTGCTAAGCATTGGTAGTTGGAGTGTGGAGAGAATAACCCTATCGTAAGGCACGGAGTTTGGCCTACATGTATTCTAGTACATAGTTCCATGGACATATATATTAAATATAATGTCATTGTTTATTTGAATATTTATTATAATGATCGTAATTTGTGACATACAATGAGGTATAGTGTCATGTTATTTTGTTATATGAGCACGGGGGATTTCTTTTGGTGAATAGTACAAATCTTTTCAGAGATTGAAGTAGAAGTAAAGCGCTGTGTAACATTACTTTATTTTAAAGATGTAATGATAAATAATGATAAATCAAGGTCACTGTAACATTTATTAACATTTAAACCTGCAGGTTGCAACAACCCATCTTATTCATTCGTGGATTTGTCTATTAAGTTAGAATCATCCTTGCACAAATCTGGTATAGTAAGATTGATCATAATAAATACGTCAGCTACTATGAAGATGCAAGTGTTTTTGATTTTCACACAAATGCTGGTCATGCGTGTGTTCACTCAAAGTCAAGAATGTATTGTTACTATACCCAATGGACCAATTCGTGGAATGCAAGAGTCTGTCTCGAGCCTAGCAAGTTTACCGTATTTCAAAGGACGCGATCTTACATACAGAAAATATCTTGGAATTCCCTATGCCGATCCACCTGTTGGAGATTTGAGGTTTGAACCTCCGCAACCACTGAGTACAAAATGGAGAAAGACAAGGAATGCAACAAAATATTCAAACAGCTGTTGGCCAGCATCGTTATCCATTGGTAACCCGGATGAAGATTGTTTATACCTGAATGTCTGGGCACCTGGAAATGGTTCTAGTACAGTCGCCAAGGCAGTTATGGTTTGGATCCATGGCGGAGGGTAATGTTATTATTAATTATCAACATCATCATTTCTATCATCTTAAGATTCTTATTATTATTACATGATATTCCATTTCTATCATTACGTCTTTAATATATTAGTATGTATAATCATCACTATACAGTATCGTTTTTATTTATTCTGCACCTCGTTTAGATACTGCAATATGATTGTTGCTTGTAATTTGACAATACTCTGCTCTTTTCTGAAAACTGCCTTTTGAGAAAAAGGGTCGGATATATTTATAGATTTTTCAGACTGCTGAACACGTTTTCCTTCGAATGTAAACTACACCCCAGACAGAAAACATGACACCATCTTTTTTGTTTATTATAGTGTTATTGTGTATGTTAATAATAAAAAAAACTGCCACCAATGTTTTCAAACTTTGGCATTCATTATATGTGTATTTTGTATGCACTTAAATTGAATAAAGAATAATTGTGAAGGGTTCAAGAATTGCAAATTTTGAAGTTCACATTTTATCGATGATCGCCAGTTGATGCATGTAATTGCCATATAATTTTTCATTAATAATAATATTACAGTTTTATTTGTTGTGCCTCCAAGACCAGTAGACATTTAATAGGCTTTCTACCTATTTACTTACCTACCTACCTACCTACCTACCTACCTGCCTGCATGCCTGCATTCCCGTCTGCATGCCTGCCTCCTGCCTCCTACCTACCTACTTAGCGGAAAGTATATGAAATTATCAAATAACATCACTTCGGGTGATTAGATTACCAAGACTGGTCGAGTTAGATTAAGGATGGAGTTTCTTCCGAAGATTGTTGCTTCTGCGAAGTGTGGAGGCCGGAAAATGATCAAAAAGATGATTAGCAAAGAGGAAAAGTCCGATGGCGCATAATCTTAGTACACGTGCACATAGACCTTTATTTTGATGATAAAAACAACCCTGGATAAACAATTCTATACCACTACAATCATAAAATACTATCACAGAGACAAGTTTCAAGGTTAAAGTGAGTGCTACACGTTGTAGTGCACGTTTATTATAGGGCATTTACACGGGGGTAAAGCAGACCCGAAGATGCAATGAGCTTGCTCGGCGGTATCATGACTGTGTTACTGGTCTTAATGTATAAGTGTGCTCGGCGGTAGGTTCAAACAGCGCGGATCCTCAAAGCATGTGCTCATGGTATATTCGTGTTTTAACACCCGTGATTTAGTCTGCGCTGATGATATATAATTATAATTATATATAGCATCACTTAACATGAAGAAGATGCTGCATCTCAAAGGACGTGATCTTGCATACAGAAAATATCTTGGAATTCCCTATGCTGATCCACCTGTTGGAGCCTTGAGTACAAAATGGAGAGAGACGAGGGATGCAACGAAACATTCAAACACACGTTGGCAACAGCCAGCTAGCATCGTTATCCATTGGTAACCCGGATGAAGATTGTTTGTATCTGAACGTCTGGGTCGCGAGGAATGGTTCTAGTACTGCGACTAAGGCAGTTATGGTTTGGATTCAGGCGGAGGGTTATGGGTTTTGACAATTAATTGACTTCTAATTAAACGATTAAATCCATGAGTTTTCTTATTTCATGAAATAATTCATGAATAAATTCAGCAATTAAGATCAAGATTCGAGTATTTATTGTATAACATATGATTTATTGTATAACATGTGTTTTATTGTATAACATATGATTTATTGTATAACATGTGTTTCATTGTATAACATATTATTTATTGTATACACCCCCAAAGTGCAATTTGATTTTCGACGCCGCCTCGGTGCCAAATTTCGGTGCCGTTTCAACAAATGGGCCGACTAGTCCGGTGCCAAATTTTGGTGTCGAAAGGTTTCAGTGCCGGAACAGCGCCAAATTTTTTCGGTGCCGAATCGGCGCCGAATTATATTGGCTGTGTAACATATTGTTATTGTATAACATATTATTTAATGTATTAGGGTCGTTCAAAAAGTTTTGCACAAAAGCTTCTCAAGAGAAGAGATTTAATCACTTTTACATGAAATTTGATACAGATGTAATATCACCCTTCCTACAAGCATTTATAAAATTTCAGGACTATATTCCTGAGATATATTGACTTTAATATTTGAACCAATGGTCCCATGGTCCATATGACGTCATTAAATTGAATTGATTTTGTGAATGCCTTGATAGGCTGAAATGGTTCGGTCAGTCGTTGTTCTCTCAGCTGTAAGTAAGATTATATTAAAGCTAATTTATATTTAATCTAATAAATAGTTCTTAATATGTAGTCTTCCTTATTAGTATTGTATTATACTCGTGTAGCATTATGTGCAGTTCATAAGTAAACGGCTGAACCATCCTACCTAGAGGGTGTCGAGCCTTTTCATAACTACAGCTACAGGAACCCTCAGTACATTTTCCCTTCCCTTCTAATATTCCATCTTGGAATACTTTGCAATGCCTATTGGAGTCATTATATGCAAAATGTATTAATGCATGAATGTATATGACTCGTGTTATACTGTTTCCCCATTCTTTATCATGTATTCTATCAATGTTTCCTGCTTTAACTTTATTATTTCGAGCCATACTCTCCAATATTTCATGAATTCACGAGAAATTTGATAACGCCATAAAATAAGTTGATTTTTCTAGATGTTTGAAGAGTATGTTTACGGTCATTCTTTGGCATGATCAAAGAAAAGAAAATGGGAAATATTGATATATGATTCACTTTTGCCATGAGAACAAAACTAAATATTATTTAAATCTTAGTTTACAGTTTTTGTAATTAAAGGAGCACGTAGGTTATCGCAAACAATTTCAAACGATTCTAACTTAAATTATGAATATTTTCTGATCATGAACATGGGTGTATCTTTTAGATCCATTCATTATCTTCGAGAAAAGTATGTTGATAATTTAGTTAATCAGTTAATCTAAGTGATATTGAAGAGGCAATGGAACAAACAACATTCTTTTTCAAAAATGTTGACCTAATTTTCACCAAAAATGCAACCTTTTATTATATTTTTGAATGCATAATTAGAATGTGCTTTGAGATATGTTCGATTTCCTGAGAGGAAAAGTTGATTGCTCCAGGGACTTTAAAGATACTGAATTTGGATGACCAAAATGAACTGAAACCAATGGATAGCATGAGATTTTTCAATGGAGAAATAACATGGGGAACACTTATCTTAAAGCAATTAAGTTTTTCTTTCAAGAACTATTTGATACACCAAAATAGAGAATATTAATGCATTAAACATTGCAAAAATGATTGCATTTTGGTGAAAATGGGGTCAACATCTTTGAAAAAGTGTGTTGATGGGTTGATTGCTAGTTAAATATCTTCGAGTTTGTTTGACTTTATTATTACTGTATATAATTTTCTTTGAGATAATAAATTGATCTAAAAGATAAACCTGACTTCATTGTCAAAAATAGTCATAATCCAAGAAATACCCTTCTGAAATTGTTTGCGATAACCTACGTGCTCCTTTAGCATGATAAGTAATATTTTTCTTTATATATTACTAGTTTTCTTTTTACAAAATGATATGGACCATTGCGTTATCGCCTTGGTTACTATAACAACCATAGAATGTTAAGTAGTAGACGTATATACATGAAACCTTGACAGGGTAAGAGAACAAGATGGGGGCACATACCTAACAACTATGAACAAGACTGTTCCATTATTTTTATAATTAGATATGTTTGTGCAAAACTTTTTGAACAACCCTTGTATAACATACTATTCATTACTGCATGTCGCAACCATATACACTTACTTGATAGACATTTGGAGACTCGAAAAATTTTCTTTCTGACGCCGTGATGGTGACTATAGAATCGGGTTACAAAGATACGAGGAATATGATTCCACCATGCTTACAGTCATTCGTAGTGGTAGTCAGCAGTATGAATTACAGACGCATTCCCTGATATTCATTTCAGTTACCCCATGACAGAACCAGAGTAGATCTGCAATATATTTGCGATAAAAAAGTGCTAGAAAAATTGGTTCTAACCATTTATGGTAAATGAGCAGTAAACAAGTGCGAAGCAAACTTTTCCATTGAAAAGTGGGCGTCGGTCACAATGTGATCCAATGGGACGGAAAGAATGGCCGACGGACCAGGCTAAACGCAGGGCCGTCAGATGGGGGGGTGCGATGGGTGCGACCGCACCCCCCTTTGTCACCCCCCAAAATAAATTTGAAAAAAAAATTTTGAAAAAATTTTTTTTTTGAAAAATATTTTTTTTTGTCATTTTTTTTCATTGACTCATACACTTTGATAGTACCCAGAAAGCACCAAATAGCATCTTAAAATTGTAAAATTTTCTAAGGGTATTGGCCACCCCTCACACCCCCCACAAAACAATGGAAAAGTTCTAAATTTATTTTAGAGTTTTGTCTCAGACACTTTTAAAGTGCCCAGATATCATCAAATAGCTCCTTGATATACATGTAGTTAGTGTTTCTGGGAGACTTACTCCCCCTCTTGCATCTTGCACTTGCATAACAACCCCCCCCCCCTCTGGCGCCCCCCCCCCTTGACCCCCCCCCCAAAAAAAAAAAATTGTGATTTTCTCAAAATTCTTTAATTGACTCATACATTTTGAAAGTGCCCAGAAAGCACCAAATAGCGTCGTAAAATTGTAAAATTTTCTAGGGGGAGTGTGCCACCCCTCACACCCCAAACAAAACAATGGAAAAGTTCTGAATTTGTTTTTTGTATTGTCTCAGACACTTTTAAATTGCCCAGACATCATCAAATAGCTCCTTGATAAAGTTAATGATTCTGGAAGACAAACACTTACTCGGCTACTCGCCCTCTGGCACCCTTAACACCCCCCCCCCAAAAAAAATTGAGATTTTTCAAATTTTTTTATTGACTCATACCCTTTGAAAGTGCCCAGAAAGCACCAAATACCTGTACCATCTTAAAATTGTAAAATTTTCTTGGGAAATAGGCACTTTTAGGCACATACACTTTTAAAGTGCCCAAACTTCATCGAATAGCACCTTGATATTGTAAATTTTGATATGGGGGACAAACACTTGCTCCCCCTCTGGCAACCCAGCCCCACCTCCCCCTCTGGCACCCCTCCCCCCTTTGACACCCCCAAAATTTGAGAAAAATTGTGATTGTTTTTCAATGTTTTTTATTGACTTATACACTTTAAAAGTGCCCAGAAGCACCAAATATCACAGGCGTACCAGATGGTTGCAAATTCGCTCCAAATACAACCAAATTTCAAAATTTTCCTGGGGGAGAACCCCCAGACCTCCCTGAATGCTCGGTTTTTATTCACTCAACTCTTATTCCCGTGGTGGTGGCGTACTACTTAGAAACTTACACTTTGAAAGTGCCCAGAAAGCACAAAATAGCATCTCAAAACAGTAAAATTTTCTAGGGGGAGTGGACCACTCCTCACACCCCCCACAAAACAATTGGAACATTTGGAAGTTGCATGCATTTGTTAATTCCAAACCAATATAGGGGGTAACTGCCCCCCCCCTCTGTCTTACGCGATTTGATTTACGCGGCAATAAAATGACAATTTTATAGTAGTAAGCTAAAAACCGCACCCCCCTTGGAGAAAAGTGTCTTACGGGCCTGAAACGTTTGTTGAAAATAAATCAGTGAACTACCAGCACCATTTGTAACCCCGTCATAAAGGGCCGTTGTGGTCTGAGAACATTCTTGAAAAATGAAACACCCAAACTCCCACAATGCTTACAGTGATTTGTGACGTAGTGGTAGTCAACATGAACTACAAACGCGTTCTCTGATCCATATTTCAGATATTCCTATGGCAGTGCAGAGGCGTACGATCCCACCATGCTTACAGTCATTGGTGATGTAGTGGTAGTCAACATGAACTACAGACTTGGTATATTTGGATTCCTCAGCACGGGAAACAATGTTGTACCGGGTAAGGCGTCGACAAGCAGATATTAATTTCTACATTGTGTCAATTTACATGTATTTATAGGTTCAATGTAAGGACATATTATCCAAAAGGGTAAACCCAATATACAAACAAACTAAGTGGTTAATATCAAACACACGTGCCAAAGGGAAACGACCAAAAGTTGTAATGGAACCTAGCAAGAAAAGGCTCAAAATGTAAACGTTAAATGTATACCAGATATTAAAAACAAAACCCATATATCCTAAAACATGAATTAACTTGAAAACCCTTTCCCCCAACATTCAAGAACCAATGTCACTATCCGAGAACAGAACCCGAATGGACATGTCATCTTTACTGAAGATATGACAATACACGTTGAAGAAACAATAGAAATTAATAGGCAATACTCATAAGATCAAAAATAGTTGTAGATGCAAGTGTACATAGAATATATTGAGCATTCAGTCTCAAACGATGCGGGATAGAATCTAGTTCCTAAGTCCATAGTCGTTTAAAAGGGTCAGTATCCATTCGCAGTGCCGTCGCCATAACCCATTTTTTTAAATTTTAATATCATGATGATAAAAACTTAAATATAAGTTGTGCTTCAGAAAATATCACTAGATAATATAATTTGACTGACTCCAGGCAACATGGGACTTCTCGACCAAAAAATTGCAATACGCTGGGTAAGGGACAACATTGCCTTATTTGGTGGTGACCCGAAGAAGATTACCATATTTGGGCAGTCGGCTGGAGGAGCAAGTGTCTCTCAACATGCAACTTCTCCGACAAATATTGGAGTTTTCCAGTAAGTTGAATTTCAAATCAATAATTTGTGATTAAGTCTTCCATTATGGAACGGATTTCGTTTCTCAGTTTTGATGCGTAACCTTGAGTGCTACCAGTGTTGTTATACAAATTCCAGCCTTTTACATAAATAATATGTATCTAAATACATAATCTTTTTAGAGACCTACTAAATGGTTTTTTGTGTTCTTAAAGAGGTAATGAGGATTGACACTGGTCCTTAACTTTTTTTGAGGGGTATATGTTTGTGCAAGTGCCAATTCGAAAATACCAAAAATGGTTACACAACACAATAAGGAATTTTTTTAGAATATACCATTTATACACCAAAACATGAAAAGATACTGTCTAAATCCTCTTTCTCCCTGAAATGATATCCTTCAAAAATATTTATATGTAAACATAATTTATGCAAGACAGGCAAGAACCATTCTATTTTGACACGATTATACTTTAATTACAGAAGAGCCATATGTCAAAGTGGAACGATGTTATCAAGATTTGCACTGAACAGAGATATATTACCATTCGTAAAAAGGACGGCGGCAAAGGTCAGTTGTGATCTTCCCAAAATGGTAGAAATGGTAAAATGCCTTCGGAAAGTAAAGGCAAAAGATTTGCTCACTGCCGCGCTACCTCCCCCTTCACTACTTGGTGACCTTTGGAAGTGGATGCCTGTTGTGGATGGAAATTTCATTGTGGAAGACCCCTTAGACATGAAGAAGAAGAAGAGAGGACCCGTCATACGCATGCTTAAATCAATTGATTTGATGATTGGCTTCAACAATCATGATGGATTCTCGAACGTTTGGGTATGGGCGAAGAACCATTTACAGAAGGATGCCCCTTCTTTTCCACAAGCTTGGGATCATACAGCATCATTTTTATCAGCATTTCGAAATCTTGTAAAATATTATACTGATACCAATTATGCGGGAGTATCTACTGTGGAAGATGCATTTTCGTATGCATACCTTGACCCTGATCTTGGAAATGACACTGGAAATGAGAAACTTGCTGAAATCACGCACGATTTTATGACTGATGCTCGATTTAAAATTCCAACAATTGAATTTGTGAAGATGCATGCAGCACAAGAAGGACGTACATATCTGTATGAGTTCACTCAGAAGAACACCGGTGCTATTGGGAAACCTGAATGGTTGAAGGGGGCCGAACATAGTGATGATCTTCCCTATCTATTCCCCGATGTTGCAACCTTCCTTGGCAGGCCTAAATCAGAACAAGGTCTCTCACACAACATGATTACATATTGGACTAACTTTGCAAAAACTGGGTAAGTCCCACTGGCGGACCCAGAAACTGACAAGGGGGGGGGGGGGTTGAAATGTTGACATTGAAAAATTGGAGCCCAAAAACCAAAGGTTTGGCCCTTATTTTGAAAATCTTAGATCCATTATTTGATAATTTGGTTTAAAAAGACCCAAAAGGCCAAATTATGCCAAAAGGCCTATTTTTTGAGTCTCTACAAAATTTTGAGGCCCAAATTATTTTGGGCCCTTAAAATTCTTCTGGGCCCACAAAGTTAAAAGGCATGAAGGGGGAGGGGGCATGCCGCCCTCCCCCATGGACCCGCCTATGAGTCCTGTCTTCGAGTGTTCCCCGTTTGTCGACCTATTAATAAAGATACCTGTATACAATTCCAAGCAAATCTGCGGTACATTTGTTGATTTTTAAGTTTAAATATCCTAAATGTCGTCCAGGATTTCGAACGAGCTATCAATGTGTTGAAACACTGACAAAACCAGATTATTTCGCGATAAAAATGAACGAGGGGATGTTTATGAGGCTCGACTTAGGGGACAATTGACAACGCTATACGGACACATTTTAAAAATGAAACCATCTTAATAGTCTTGTAGGATTTCCAACTAGCTACTGATGTGTTGACAGACAGACAAAACCAGATTTTTTGCGATAAAAATGGCCGTCATTTTGAAATGAGGCGAGCTTTAGAGACGCCAGTTGTGGGACAATTGACGACGCTATAAAGACACACTTTAAAAGTGAACCCATCTCAATTGTCGTGTAGGATTTCGAAATAGTTACCGATGTGTGAACAGACAAAAATTTTTTTTTCGCGATAAAAAATGGCCGCCATTTTGAAACGAGGCGAGCTTTTGAGACGCAACTAAGGGGATAATTGACAATACTATATAGACACATTTTAAAAGTGAAACCATATGAATTGTCATGTAGTATTTCGAACTAGCTACCAATGTATTGACAGACAGACAGATAGACAGACAAAACCAGATTTTTTCCGCGATAAAAATGGTCGCCAATTTGAATAAGGCGAGCTTTAGAGACGCCAGTTATGGGACAATTGACGACGCTATAAAGACACACTTTAAAAGTGAACCCATCTCAATTGTCGTATAGGATTTCAAAATAGTTACCGATGTGTTAACAGAAAAAAAAATATTTCGCGATAAAAATGGCCGCCATCTTTCTTCTTTCTCTGTCTTGATTGTCTTGTATTTGATTGTGATGTTAGTCATTTTCATTTTCGGACAGACGGACAGACAGTCAAGTGGATGATAACAATAGCTCACCCATGTGAAGAGCAGGACTTTGTCTTAAAATGTTATTTGACGCCCATGTTTTTATTGTTGTGTTGTTTTGTACAGAAAACGTTGACAGTTTTATGTTTTTAGCACTCTTCTTGAATAATAGACCCACATTTTCTTAACCATAGAACCGGAATATATTATCAAATATATTTGTCAATCTAATGGTAAAAATGTTTTAGAGTATCTACTGTACACATGTACACAGCCTATGGCGTCATGAATATGGTCACTTTATTCTAGCTTCTTTATTTTTAAGACGCAAATGAGTCAGAAAAGATTTATGAAATTTTCAGAAATCCAAATGAACCAGCTTCCAGCCAAGGACTTCCAGAATGGCAAACCTTCACGACAGATAGCGGAATGTACTTGAAACTATCAAATAACATTACTCTGGATGGTGGCATTACAAAAACGGGCCGAATTGAATTATGGACAGAGTTTCTTCCGAAGATTGCTGGTTCTGCCAAGTGTGAAGGTCGAAAAATAATGAGAAAAATGAATAGAAAAGAGGAAAAGTCTGATGGCGCATAATCTGATTTTATCTGAAAGACAAATGCTGCATTTTCGTATGCACGCGTGCAATATACTCGTGCAGCACTTAATGAGCCTTAGCAGCAGGTATCACGAAAAGGAACAATAACAGCTCATTCAAGCGCACTTAAACCGTTTAGACTCGTTTGGGTCAAGCGTTTGTGCATCACAGAATTGCAACAAACGTTTGTGTCTTTGCGCGCTCGGATGAGTCGTTTTTGTTTAAAACATGCAATTTACGCCATGAGGTCCATAGATCTTTTTCATGATACGGCCCATCAAGTGCTGCATGCGCAAACGCACCGCGTGTAGTTCCAAAATACAGCCTAGATGTGTTGACATGACCAGCAGATAATCGTATTCATGTTGCACATCAAATTAAAAACATTATCTAAGGCCAAGACACACAAACTTTATATCTTCATAATTAGTTGAATTATTGTAATTTGATGGCAAATCATATGAATATGAATAGTACCTGCCGCGTGTCCCGATAGCTGTAAGCTATCGAGTTAAGGGCAGGGCTCCACTATAAAAGCAGAAAGTCAGTTAGAAAATTATGTAATAGCGTTTGAAAGTTTAAATGTCCATAGAAACGGACACTTCAGACCTATTTTTCCAGATATATCTATATTTTTGCATAGAATCAGCTAAACTTTGTCACAGTTATTCATGAATATATTCTGAATCCACTGGCAGTTTTAAATTTAAATATCTATCTATGGGGTTGTCTTTGTATGCTGATCTAAGTAACAGGTTAATCAGCCTATTTAGCAGAACGTACATGTAACAATAACCTACGATCTGTTCCCTTATTCATCACCACATTGGTAATTGATCGTAAAGTGACATAAGTATCATGTGATCACTATTCAATGTTCGTCGACTGACAGGCTGTTTCTTATTCCAGCTTCAAAAGTTATGAAAATTAATAGGTCAATCCCATAAGCAGTAGTTGCATTCGCCACGTGGATCGTGAATACAAGCTTTGATATTTGCCTTTGGATGTCCTTATAGCAACCATTTTGAATGAACTCGTTGAGCTTCATTTTTTTATTATCTTAATCTATTTTTTAACAATTCTATTTTACATTCATGTAAAACACATTCACGTATATAACCTTTGACTATTCTATTTGATTTCTTTGAAAAATATTTTCAAGGGAAAACCAATTTTAAAGGAAATCTCTGTTTTTAATGAAAATCAGGTTTCCAAGCATGTAATGAACCATCTGATCCACATGAGAATACTAGATCATTATGTGCAGAGTGCCACGTTTGATGTAATACTTTCACACAGTCATCTTCCTCATTGCACATCCAATGGCCTTCATGTTTGAATTTTGACCTCAGTCTCCTTGGTGATTTGACCTTTGTACTTGAATATGACTGGTCAGTTGTAGCATTTAAACTTAATACCAATTGATCAGTTGTGACATCAGAACTTAAGTCTGATTGGTCAAGTTCTAATTTAGATTCTGATTGGTCAGTTCTGATGGCTATTCCAGATGGATGTGTGTCTTTAATTCTATCTGGAATTGCTGATTTGTTTATTTGAGTATTCAGTCTGTCATTTGATTGGTTCATATCATAGATGTAAATGTTTCCATCAAATCCAGACAGCGAAATAGTGTGGAGAGATCCAGGTTTGAACTGAAAAAAGAGGAAATGAAATATAGAAAATATGAACGGTAAAATGAAGTCTGTACACCTGTACACTAAGTTGGTATTAACAGATATCAAAGGAAAATAGCAAAATGTATACAGGTGCCGCCTTTTCTAGAGAACTAGTCAAATGAATATTCAATTGATCAGAATTAATGTATATTAATATTAAAATGAACACATTTTATTATTTGATTAATTTTCAGGAAAATGTTCATTAGATTCATATATTTGATTCAAATAAATTAATATAAGATTCAAATGAAAGAAAATTTGATTAAAACCAATCCATATTTAATTAAAATGAATGCATATTTGAGTACTTTGAATGAATATTTAAGAAATAAAGAATCTTGTATCATTCTTTACTGGAAATTCAAAACATGAGGATTAAGCCATAATCATAATGCACAAAGGGGAAGCATGAGTGGTGAGTGCATTATTAGAATGGGTTAGTACAAATGCACAAAGGGGAAGCATGAGTGGTGAGTGCATTATAAGAATGGATTAGTACAAATGCACAAAGGGGAAGCATGAGTGGTGAGTGCATTATAAGAATGGGTTAGTACAAATGCACAAAGGGGAAGCATGAGTGGTGAGTGCATTATAAGAATGGGTTAGTACAAATGCGCAAAGGGGAAGCATGAGTGGTGAGTGCATTATAAGAATGGGTTAGTACAAATGCACAAAGGGGAAGCATGAGTGGTGAGTGCATTATAAGAATGGGTTAGTACAAATGCACAAAGGGGAAGCATGAGTAGTGAGTGCATTATAAGAATGGGTTAGTACAAATGCGCAAAGGGGAAGCATGAGTGGTGAGTGCATTATTAGAATAGGAAGTAAAAATGCACAAAGGGGAAGCATGAGTGGTGAGTGCATTATAAGAATAGGTAGTAAAAATGCACAAAGGGGAAGCATGAGTGGTGAGTGCATTATTAGAATAGGAAGTAAAAATGCACAAAGGGGAAGCATGAGTGGTGAGTGCATTATAAGAATGGGCTAGTCAAATGCGCAAAGGGGAAGCATGAGTGGTGAGTGCATTATAAGAATGGGTTAGTACAAATGCACAAAGGGGAAGCATGAGTGGTGAGTGCATTATAAGAATGGGTAAGTACAAATGCACAAAGGGGAAGCATGAGTGGTGAGTGCATTATAAGAATAGGTAGTAAAAATGCACAAAGGGGAAGCATGAGTGGTGAGTGCATTATTAGAATAGGAAGTAAAAATGCACAAAGGGGAAGCATGAGTGGTGAGTGCATTATTAGAATGGGTTAGTACAAATGCACAAAGGGGAAGCATGAGTGGTGAGTGCATTATAAGAATGGGTTAGTACAAATGCGCAAAGGGGAAGCATGAGTGGTGAGTGCATTATAAGAATGGGTTAGTACAAATGCACAAAGGGGAAGCATGAGTGGTGAGTGCATTATAACAATGGGTAAGTACAAATGCACATAGGGGAAGCATGAGTGGTGAGTGCATTATAACAATGGGTAAGTACAAATGCACAAAGGGGAAGCATGAGTGTCGAGTGCATTATAACAATGGGTAAGTACAAATGCACAAAGGGGAAGCATGAGTGGTGAGTGCATTATAAGAATGGGTTAGTAAAAATGCACAAAGGGGAAGCATGAGTGGTGAGTGCATTATAAGAATGGGTTAGTACAAATGCACAAAGGGGAAGCATGAGTGGTGAGTGCATTATAAGAATGGGTTAGTACAAATGCGCAAAGGGGAAGCATGAGTGGTGAGTGCATTATAAGAATGGGTTAGTACAAATGCACAAAGGGGAAGCATGAGTGGTGAGTGCATTATAACAATGGGTTGGTACAAATGCACAAAGGGGAAGCATGAGTGGTGAGTGCATTATAAGAATGGGTTGGTACAAATGCACAAAGGGGAAGCATGAGTGGTGAGTGCATTATAAGAATGAGTTAGTAAAAATGCACAAAGGGGAAGCATGAGTGGTGAGTGCATTATAAGAATGGGTTAGTACAAATGCACAAAGGGGAAGCATGAGTGGTGAGTGCATTATAAGAATGGGTTAGTACAAATGCGCAAAGGGGAAGCATGAGTGGTGAGTGCATTATTAGAATGGGTTAGTACAAATGCACAAAGGGGAAGCATGAGTGGTGAGTGCATTATAAGAATGGGTTGGTACAAATGCACAAAGGGGAAGCATGAGTGGTGAGTGCATTATAAGAATGGGTTAGTAAAAATGCACAAAGGGGAAGCATGAGTGGTGAGTGCATTATAAGAATGGGTTAGTAAAAATGCACAAAGGGGAAGCATGAGTGGTGAGTGCATTATAAGAATGGGTTAGTAAAAATGCACAAAGGGGAAGCATGAGTGGTGAGTGCATTATAAGAATGGGTTAGTACAAATGCACAAAGGGGAAGCATGAGTGGTGAGTGCATTATAAGAATGGGTTAGTACAAATGCGCAAAGGGGAAGCATGAGTGGTGAGTGCATTATAAGAATGGGTTAGTACAAATGCATAAAGGGGAAGCATGAGTGGTGAGTGCATTATAAGAATGGGTTAGTACAAATGCATAAAGGGGAAGCATGAGTGGTGAGTGCATTATAAGAATGGGTTAGTACAAATGCACAAAGGGGAAGCATGAGTGGTGAGTGCATTATAAGAATGGGTTAGTACAAATGCACAAAGGGGAAGCATGAGTGGTGAGTGCATTATAAGAATGGGTTAGTACAAATGCACAAAGGGGAAGCATGAGTGGTGAGTGCATTATAAGAATGGGTTAGTACAAATGCATAAAGGGGAAGGATGAGTGGTGAGTGCATTATAAGAATGGGTTAGTAAAAATGAGTTCACAAAATGTTCACTAAATCATTCAACTCGAATTTGAGTTATTAAAGATTACATTTCTTTATAATGGTGGTCATTTTAAGTTAACATTAATAGTGAACAAACCTTAATATTGAGCAAGTCACCCCATTCAGTGTTCAATCCAGTTTCAAATGAGTCAACATCAGAAGAACAATATCTTAAATCATTAAGCAGTAGTTTGCCATTGTTTGCAATCCTTGCAATTATATTTGCATCACCAGGGTTACCATTACTATGGGAACCAGATGTGATTGTGCAGTTCCTTGACACTCCGAACGCCCAATATTTGTTTGAAATGTTACTGTTTATTGTTTGTTTAATTTTGAGCTTGTCTCTAGTATCCAATACTACAATATTACCAGTTGCTAAGCAACATGTTGCTATGGTGGAATTGCTGAGAAATTCCAAGCCACTGATGTATTCAACTGGTTCACCATGACCACCTGAAAACATAAAATAAGGATTATAAACTGAGAGAATCAGATAATGCTAAACAAAAAATTGTTTCGATTTTAGAATATTTTTGACTCATGTCATCCGTTTTCATCTCTATTTTCTAAAGATCACAAAAGTGCATACTTTATTCAAAGAAAACTAAAGATTTTTACAAGAATAGTTGTAAATTAAAGTACACACGTATGCCCAGTAAAAGAAAATGTTATATGTCCAATACAAAATAAGATATTTCACTTTTTGTGATTTTGTAACATGGGTCTATGGGGAATTAACCCGAACTAGAAGTCACATTTTCCAAAAATATTAAATTCTCAAAGTTGATGAACAATTTTCATTTTTTTATGTATTTTTACATGTAGATTTCAAATATGACGTAAATCAAGATCATTTCTACTCGCATCTAGTCTATTTATAAAATATTCGTTCAGGAGATATTGTATTTATTGAGATTGTAAGGAATAGATAGGTAGGTCAATTATACATGTTGCTTGAAATTTGTTACCCCTATAGATCTGATTCTGCCTTTAACAAAGGAAATAAATTGAATAAAATAATGGTTTAGAATGCATTCTGAAAGTGATAATTCACTCAAAGGCACAAGAAAAGCAAGCACCTATATATATTCAGACTATTTTGTAGCTATTGATTCTCTTGACAGTATGCTATTTCCCTCTGGCCCTCCAGACCCTCTGAATAAAACCCATATTGAATCCCTACAAGTAGATAACCTTTACTTACCTAGTTTTTGATCCTGGATATACCCTTCCTTACTCATTGCCAAGGAAATACTTTGAGTTTCTAAGTCTGCGATAGTAATGTCAGCCAATCGACTTCCAAATACAGCTTCATTTTCCTTGTAGTGGTTCACAGCAATATCCGATGGTCTAAAGTAATTAAAGGTTACACAAGAATATGATTTTTCCTTAATTTCAAAGATATTTTCAGAAAAATGTATTTTTTCTTTATCCAAATAATTTAACCGAAATCATGTAGCAATTGAGGTCTTCGGCAATGGCAAGAAAAAACTTGAGGTCATATATATTTGACATGAATCATAACATCCAGTTTGGTTTTACCTTTGTCTGTATGGATGAGGATTCCTGAATGTAAAGTCTTCATTAATAACATCTGAAAGTGGAATTATATAACATCCTTTTAATGAGTAGAATTATATAACATACTTTAATGAGTAGAATTATATAACATCCTTTAATGAGTAGAATTATATAACATCCTTTGATGAGTAGAATTATATAACATCCTTTAATGAGTAGAATTATATAACATCCTTTAATAAGTAGAATTATATAACATCCTTTTAATGAGTAGAATTATATAACATCCTTTAATGAGTAGAATTATATAACATCCTTTAATGAGTGGAATTATATAACATCCTTTAATGAGTAGAATTATATAACATCCTTTAATGAGTAGAATTATATAACATCCTTTAATGAGAAGAATTATATAACATCCTTTTAATGAGTAGAATTATATAACATCCTTTAATGAGTAGAATTATATAACATCCTTTTAATGAGTAGAATTATATAACATCCTTTAATGAGTAGAATTATATAACATCCTTTAATGAGTAGAATTATATAACATCCTTTAATGAGAAGAATTAAATAACATTCTTTTAATGAGTAGAATTATATAACATCCTTTTAATGAGTAGAATTATATAACATTCTTTAATGAGTAGAATTATATAACATCCTTTTAATGAGTAGAATTATATAACATCCTTTAATGAGTAGAATTATATAACATCCTTTAATGAGTGGAATTATATAACATCCTTTAATGAGCAGAATTATATAACATCCTTTAATAAGTAGAATTATATAACATCCTTTTAATGAGTAGAATTATATAACATCCTATTAATGAGTAGAATTATATAACATCATTTTAATGAGTAGAATTATATAACATCCTTTAATGAGAAGAATTAAATAACATTCTTTTAATGAGTAGAATTATATAACATCCTTTAATGAGTAGAATTATATAACATCCTTTTAATGAGTAGAATTATATAACATCCTTTAATGAGTAGAATTATATAACATCATTTAATGAGTAGAATTATATAACATCCTTTTAATGAGTAGAATTATATAACATCCTTTAATGAGTAGAATTATATAACATCCTTAAATGAGTAGAATTATATAACATCCTTTAATGAGTAGAATTATATAACATCCTTTAATGAGTAGAATTATATAACATCCTTTAATGAGAAGAATTATATAACATCCTTTAATGAGAAGAATTATATAACATCCTTTAATGAGAAGAATTATATAACATCCTTTAATGAGTAGAATTATATAACATCCTTTAATGAGTAGAATTATATAACATCCTATTAATGAGTAGAATTATATAACATCCTTTAATGAGTAGAATTATATAACATCCTTTAATGAGTAGAATTATATAACATCCTTTAATGAGTAGAATTATATAACATCCTTTTAATGAGTAGAATTATATAACATCTTTTAATGAGTAGAATTATATAACATCCTTTAATGAGTAGAATTATATAACATCCTTTTAATGAGTAGAATTATATAACATCCTTTAATGAGAAGAATTATATAACATCTTTTCAATGAGTAGAATTATATAACATCCTTAAATGAGTAGAATTATATAACATCCTTTTAATGAGTAGAATTATATAACATCCTTTTAATGAGTAGAATTATATAACATGGTTAAATGAGTAGAATTATATAACATCCTTTAATGAGTAGAATTATATAACATCCTTTAATGAGTAGAATTATATAACATCCTTTTAATGAGTAGAATTATATAACATCCTTTAATGAGAAGAATTATATAACATCCTTTAATGAGTAGAATTTTATAACATGGTTAAATGAGTAGAATTATATAACATCCTTTTAATGAGTAGACTTATATAACATCCTTTTAATGAGTAGAATTATATAACATGGTTAAATGAGTAGAATTATATAACATCCTTTAATGAGTAGAATTATATAACATCCTTTTAATGAGTAGAATTATATAACATGGTTAAATGAGTAGAATTATATAACATCCTTTAATGAGTAGAATTATATAACATCCTTTTAATGAGTAGAATTATATAACATGGTTAAATGAGTAGAATTATATAACATCCTTTAATGAGTAGAATTATATAACATCCTTTAATGAGTAGAATTATATAACATCCTTGAATGAGTAGAATTATATAATATCTTTTTAATGAGTAGAATTATATAACATGGTTAAATGAGTAGAATTATATAACATCCTTTTAATGAGTAGAATTATATAACATCCTTTTAATGAGTAGAATTATATAACATCCTTTAATGAGTAGAATTATATAACATCCTTTTAATGAGTAGAATTATATAACATGGTTAAATGAGTAGAATTATATAACATCCTTTAATGAGTAGAATTATATAACATCCTTTAATGAGTAGAATTATATAACATCCTTTAATGAGTAGAATTATATAACATCCTTTAATGAGTAGAATTATATAACATCCTTTTAATGAGTAGAATTATATAACATCTTTTCAATGAGTAGAATTATATAACATGGTTAAATGAGTAGAATTATATAACATCCTTTAATGAGTAGAATTATATAACATCCTTTTAATGAGTAGAATTATATAACATGGTTAAATGAGTAGAATTATATAACATCCTTTAATGAGTAGAATTATATAACATCCTTTAATGAGTAGAATTATATAACATCCTTGAATGAGTAGAATTATATAATATCTTTTTAATGAGTAGAATTATATAACATGGTTAAATGAGTAGAATTATATAACATCCTTTTAATGAGTAGAATTATATAACATCCTTTTAATGAGTAGAATTATATAACATCCTTTAATGAGTAGAATTATATAACATCCTTTTAATGAGTAGAATTATATAACATGGTTAAATGAGTAGAATTATATAACATCCTTTAATGAGTAGAATTATATAACATCCTTTAATGAGTAGAATTATATAACATCCTTTAATGAGTAAAATTATATAACATCCTTTAATGAGTAGAATTATATAACATCCTTTTAATGAGTAGAATTATATAACATCTTTTCAATGAGTAGAATTATATAACATCCTTAAATGAGTAGAATTATATAACATCCTTTTAATGAGTAGAATTATATAACATCCTTTAATGAGTAGAATTATATAACATCCTTGAATGAGTAGAATTATATAATATCCTTTAATGAGAAGAATTATATAACATCCTTTAATGAGTAGAATTATATAACATCCTTTAATGAGTAGAATTATATAACATCCTTTAATGAGTATAATTATATAACATCCTTTTAATGAGTAGAATTATATAACATCCTTTTAATGAGTAGAATTATATAACATCCTTTAAATGAGTAGAATTATATAACATCCTTTAATGAGTAGAATTATATAACATCCTTTTAATGAGTAGAATTATATAACATGGTTAAATGAGTAGAATTATATAACATCCTTTAATGAGTAGAATTATATAACATCCTTTAATGAGTAGAATTATATAACATCCTTGAATGAGTAGAATTATATAATATCCTTTTAATGAGTAGAATTATATAACATGGTTAAATGAGTAGAATTATATAACATCCTTTTAATGAGTAGAATTATATAACATCCTTTTAATGAGTAGAATTATATAACATCCTTTAATGAGTAGAATTATATAACATCCTTTTAATGAGTAGAATTATATAACATCCTTTTAATGAGTAGAATTATATTACATGGTTAAATGAGTAGAATTATATAACATCCTTTAATGAGTAGAATTATATAACATCCTTAAATGAGTAGAATTATATAACATCCTTTTAATGAGTAGAATTATATAACATCCTTTAATGAGTAGAATTATATAACATCCTTTAATGAGTAGAATTATATAACATCCTTTAATGAGAAGAATTATATAACATCCTTTAATGAGAAGAATTATATAACATCCTTTAATGAGAAGAATTATATAACATCCTTTAATGAGTAGAATTATATAACATCCTTTAATGAGTAGAATTATATAACATCCTATTAATGAGTAGAATTATATAACATCCTTTAATGAGTAGAATTATATAACATCCTTTAATGAGAAGAATTATATAACATCCTTTAATGAGTAGAATTATATAACATCCTTTAATAAGTAGACAAGAAAGAAATATCATCGAAGTAATTTCATATGTGGCCCTCATGCAGACATATTTGCTAAATAAGAACACTTTATTTTTTACCATGCACCCGATTAAACACCCATGCACTTAATTGCATTGGACAACAGTGCAAGGAAATGGAAGTAAAAGTCAAAACGCAATTAAAAATATAAGTATTCATGATTGCTCACCTCCTGTCTCCTGGCCTAAACGCCAAAGTATCATAGTATTACTGCTCTGCTCATTAGAGAGAATGTATCTGAAATATAAATGTTTGTTCATATGGTATTACTGCTCTGCTCATTAGAGAGAATATGTCTGAAATATATATGTTTGTTTATATGGTATTACTGCTCTGCTCATAAGAGAGAATATGTCTGAAATATAAATGTTTGTTCATATGGTATTACTGCTCTGCTCATTAGAGAGAATATGTCTGAAATATATATGTTTGTTTATATGGTATTACTGCTCTGCTCATTGGAGAGAATATGTCTGAAATGTATATGTTTGTTTATATTGTATTACTGCTCTGCTCATTGGAGAGAATATGTCTGAAATATAAATGTTTGTTTATATGGTATTACTGCTCTGCTCATTGGAGAGAATATGTCTGAAATAAATATGTTTGTTTATATGGTATTACTGCTCTGCTCATTGGAGAGAATATGTCTGAAATATATGTTAGTTTATATGATATTACTGCTCTGCTCATTGGAGAGAATATGTCTGAAATATATATGTTTGTTTATATGATATTACTGCTCTGCTCATTGGAGAGAATATGTCTGAAATATATATGTTTGTTTATATGGTATTACTGCTCTGCTCATTAGAGAGAATGTATCTGAAATATATATGTTTGTTTATATGGTATTACTGCTCTGCTCATAAGAGAGAATATGTCTGAAATATAAATGTTTGTTCATATGGTATTACTGCTCTGCTCATTAGAGAGAATATGTCTGAAATATATATGTTTGTTTATATGGTATTACTGCTCTGCTCATTGGAGAGAATATGTCTGAAATATATATGTTTGTTTATATTGTATTACTGCTCTGCTCATTGGAGAGAATATGTCTGAAATATATATGTTTGTTTATATGGTATTACTGCTCTGCTCATTGGAGAGAATATGTCTGAAATATATATGTTTGTTTATATGGTATTACTGCTCTGCTCATTGGAGAGAATATGTCTGAAATATATGTTTGTTTATATGATATTACTGCTCTGCTCATTGGAGAGAATATGTCTGAAATATATATGTTTGTTTATATGATATTACTGCTCTGCTCATTGGAGAGAATATGTCTGAAATATATATGTTTGTTTATATGGTATTACTGCTCTGCTCATTGGAGAGAATATGTCTGAAATATATATGTTTGTTTATATGGTATTACTGCTCTGCTCATTAGAGAGCATATGTCTGAAATATATATGTTTGTTTATATGGTATTACTGCTCTGCTCATTGGAGAGAATATGTCTGAAATATATGTGTTTGTTTATATGGTATTACTGCTCTGCTCATTGGAGAGAATATGTCTGAAATATATATGTTTGTTTATATGGTATTACTGCTCTGCTCATTAGAGAGCATATGTCTGAAATATATATGTTTGTTGAATGTGAATTTGTTACCTGTGAAGTGAAACATATTTTCAAATGTCTAGTTAAGAACTAAATGAAGTTCATAAGAAGAACTGTCATATTTTCCTACCTTGTATCTGGAATGTGACAAAGTGCAGTTATCCTATCTCCATGGAAACCACCACTGATCACCTTGAAATCTCTGTCATTACATAAGCCCTATAAACAATGTGAATATTCGTATCTTTGTATTCTATCCATAATCTTTGTATTTGTATCCCTAGTGCTTTGGATAACTTCATATAACCTTACATATTTAATTACAAAATGGACTATTTATTTATCATTTTATTTGAAAACTTCCAAATGAAAATACAAACTCGTAGATTTGCCCTCTATGCATTTTGTACAATTTATGTGTGTGTTGATGATTCAGCTGTTTCATTGATCATTAATTACAGTACTGTTTCATGCTAACACAATATTTCCTAACATTTGCTAATGCTCGTACATTTCGAAATTCACTGAACTTCCAGATTCTGGAAACATTAATTTTTCTGATATTCCCAAATCTATTAGGAAGTCTGCAAATGTGAATGAAATACAACAAAATAAAAAACTCACATCTTCTTTGTCATGTAATAACTTTTCTGGAATAGAAAGCTCAAGGATCTCACTTTGCCTTGTGAATTCATCAAAAGTTGTAACACAAATGCCTGGAACACAATGGTAAACATAAAATTAGCGAAATGTTGTCATATTCATCAAACACAATCATAAACATCACATTAATACAGATGTCATCATATTCATTAAACACAATTGTTAACATAAAATTAATATATATATGATATGTATGATTCACATATATTCAAGAACCAAAATTGTAAACATAAAACAAGGCATTAAATTGCAAGGTGTCATCACCTGCCATTTGTTACAGATGCTGACTGCTGACCACCATCCATAAAAAGGTGGAGACTATAACAATATGTCACCACCTCTAGTAGTGACATAAAAATCTAGTAATAAGATATTTGAGCAATCTTTTCAAAAATAATGACAATGTTTCCTGTTCCATACTTGTTTCATTTTATGAGGGAGTAGATTTTTTGCCAGAAAAAAGTTAAGAAGATTATTCTGATCATTGGAATGATGATGGCCAAGACAATGAGAAGTTTTTCAAAACTTACTCCCAACATGCCTCAGTTCCTCCTACTTATTACAACATTTCACACATTCACATGCTAATGTAATATAATATAAAATAATATAATATAATATCATACAATATAATATAATATAATCTAATATAATATATAATATAATGCCCTCTGGTGACTAATAAACTTACAATTTTCATCAACTGGCTGGAGAGTTTGTGGTGGATTTTGCAGCTCAAACATATGCAAAGTTTTATATCTGAAATGATAATAGAAAAGTTAATAACATGCATGCATTGCAGTTGATACACTTTGACAGTGATTTTTATGTGACTCATTTACTCACAGATGGGAGTCAACCATCATGAGAAACCATGACATCTCAAATCTTCTCAGCCCTGAGATGCCATGATATAATGAGCTTGATTTGGCGATCCAGGAGAGCCCAAAATTAAGGATTTTTGAGACCTTTCATCCAAGCTCATATTTCATCTAATTGGGGTCATAAAACCTATGTTACTGTGCCTGTTGTAATATCTGCTGTTAAATATAATGCCTATTATGTAATGTATTGAGATAAGGTTGATGATTACATGATAACAATCAGACTTATTGACAATTATAACTCTTCCCATGCAAAGTGCATGTTTTAAATTACTCTTGATTTAAAAGATGGCGACACTTCTATAAAAAAATGAATGTAACACGTAATACAAACAACTTCGCTATCTATCAATGACATTGATAAAAACTTGATATATAAAGCTCACAGTGACCACTATCAATCTTCATTATTCAATATTAGAATGAAAGTGCAGTTACTCTTTTGATTTCCGGTTTGGACTCCTGTTTTTGTTTGGTCATAATCACTGAGTTGGTGTATATTTCACCTTATTTTTTAACTTCACTTGAGTCTCAATTATTTTGATACTTAAAACATGGTCAGAATCGCTTGCAAATTGCAGATTATGAGCTTGAAGCACACATTTCTTACTTTTTTGGGCCAAAACTCTGCTCATGGACATGGCCTCATATCTATTTATTGATCGCCAAAAAATGTTAAAAAAAATTCTCTGACAAGTTACAACTAGATAATGGCAACTCCGCGGAGTAGCAAATCCCAACGAACAAAATATCAATTACCGAATTCCAATCAATTATACTCATTACTATGGTTAAAATTGAAAAAATTAGATTTTAGAATTGCGAATTCCTGCAAAGCAGCCATTTTGAATTTTTTGAGGTACAAATCTGAAAAATAATACCATAATTGTGATCTACTCCAAAATTCCTTCAATTTGAGTATAATATAGCCATACTTTAAAGGGATCGAAAAATTATTGCGAAAATCATAGATTACACGGCCATTTTGAATTTATGAGGCTCGAATCAGAAAAAAGATACAATATTTGCAATCTACTCTTAATTGCCTTTCATTTGAGTATAACAAAGCTATACTTCAGAAAGATCTAAAAATTAGCGAAAATTTCTGTTTTCCTGTCCCCCCATATACGGCCCCTGGGGGTCAGGATGAAAAACATGGAATAAATGTGAAATAGATGAATGTTGTGAATATACTACCAAAATTTCAAACAATAATATTAATTACTTTGGTTAGGTTTAGAATGAAAAATTTATGATTTTTGCGAAAAAGTCCCGTCATTTTCAAAGCGGCGGCCATCTTGAAAAAAATTTTTTAAGCGTAAAACTATTCACCAATATACATCTTTCCACAAAATATGAAGAAAATCCGTCAACTAGTATTTGAGTTATCTTCCGGACATATGGACGGACTGACTGACTGACTGACGGATGGACGGACGGAGGGCTTCACTTTATCCCTACCGAACTTCGTTCGTTGGGATAAAAATATGAAAGTTAAATAAACATAGAATATCACTGATCAAAGCCACTGGCATGAGAAAAAAATATTTTGAATTTACTTTTTATCTAAGTTACCAGACTTCACACATGCTATCTATTGCAAGACTTATGCCTGGCACAACCGTCTGACCAAGTGTTTTTAAGTTTCACAAGGATCCTGCCATGACCGTGGTATTGTTATCGTGAAAGCCTGGTATAACCGTTACAATGCTATATTATATTGCAAGGCCTGATATGACCGTAACAATGCTATATTATAATGCAAGGCCTGTCATGACCGTGGTAAAGCCTTATATGGCTGTGGCAATGGTTGTAAGGCCTGTCATGACCGTGGTAAAGCCTTATATGGCTGTGGCAATGGTTGTAAGGCCTGTCATGACCGTGGTAAAGCCTTATATGACCGTAACAATGCTATATTATAATGCAAGGCCTGTCATGACCGTGGTAAAGCCTTATATGGCTGTGGCATTGGTTGTAAGGCCTGTCATGACCGTGGTAAAGCCTTATATGGCTGTGGCAATGGTTGTAAGGCCTGTCATGACCGTGGTAAAGCCTTATATGGCTGTGGCATTGGTTGTAAGGCCTGTCATGACCGTGGTAAAGCCTTATATGGCTGTGGCATTGGTTGTAAGGCCTGTCATGACCGTGGTAAAGCCTTATATGGCTGTGGCATTGGTTGTAAGGCCTGTCATGACCGTGGTAAAGCCTTATATGGCTGTGGCATTGGTTGTAAGGCCTGTCATGACCGTGGTAAAGCCTTATATGGCTGTGGCAATGGTTGTAAGGCCTGTCATGACCGTGGTAAAGCCTTATATGGCTGTGGCATTGGTTGTAAGGCCTGTCATGACCGTGGTAAAGCCTTATATGGCTGTGGCATTGGTTGTAAGGCCTGTCATGACCGTGGTAAAGCCTTATATGGCTGTGGCATTGGTTGTAAGGCCTGTCATGACCGTGGTAAAGCCTTATATGGCTGTGGCATTGGTTGTAAGGCCTGTCATGACCGTGGTAACGTTCACGTTCTTGAATGAGATTAGAATTATAGTTTGTGGAAATGAATTATGAATTAAAGTAGTAGTAGTAGTCTAGATTTACATATTTAAGGTACACAAAGGATGAAATTGTTCATTTCAGTATTCTCATGCTACTAAATGTCACTTAATATAACCATTATCACGGTCATATTGTGTTTTAACATTACCACAGTCATGACAGGCCTTGCAACCATTGTCACAGTCATATCAGGCTTTAACATTACCATGGTCATGACAGGCCTTGCAACCATTGTCACGGTCATATCAGGCTGTAACATTACCACGGTCATGATAGGGCATGCAATATAATATAGCATTGTCACGGTTATACCAGGCTATCACGATAACAGTATCACGGTCATGGCAGGATCCTTGCGAAACTTAAAAACACTTAATAACATGGTGACGGTTGTGCCAGGCATAAGTCTTGCACACGGTTATGGGAAGTCCTCCATATATATTACTTATATTATATGTCAGGTTACGCAGCTTCCATCCAAAATAAAAAATATGTATTTTTAAAATAAATTATTTGTCTAGTTTTCGTTAAACAAATACCCTGAGACACATAGGGCCTGTAGAAAACACTAAACAGAAAAATAAAAAAAATATTCATACCTCCAAATCTGCTTTATTGGTCAGATAATGCACCAAATCATAATGGTTGTTCAAAATAAAAATTTAAGGGGACGGAGCGCCTTATCTCGCGAGAATAAAGCAAATCACCCAAAGGCGCGTGATTTTTTCGACCAATCAAATAGCTTGAAATTTACCAAACCATTTCGTCAAGTGTTTCAAAACGTCATGACACATGCGCAGTAAAAATTGTCAATTTCTAAGTGGACCTTTCAATGGCCTGGAGAAATTTTACCCACGAGAATTGATGATTACTGAACACATATAGGCATAAGAGGTGAGCGACCCAGTTATTTTTGCGTATAAATGTTTCAAGAATAGCATGATATCAAATAATCTGTACATTATGCTACGATTCATTCAAAAATTGAATCTAGAGGACAGGTGACCATGTTTTTTCATATTCTTTTAATTTTTAGTAGCATAACCTGGTGTATATACCTCCTAGATGGAGGACTTCCCACTATCCGTGGTCTTGCAACAGATACTGTAGGGTCTCGGACTTCATTATTAGATAGATGGTGCTGGCTGTGATAAAGCTTGACAGATCGAAATATTTCAGAAGCTTTCAAGCTTTCAGAAAATATATTGTTAATGGGGTTGCAGGGTTAATTTAAAAAATTGGTTGTCCATTTTGCTTATTAGGCTTGCTCTAGACTAAAGTCCATTTCACTGCTTCATTTCGTCAGTAGAACGGCAAAAATAAGAAATTGGGAGACCATTGTGCAATAATATATTGAAAAGTATATTCATAATGTACATGAATGACATTTGTATATCTTGGATTGCTTCTAGTTTTGGTTATAAAGTGTGTGGCCTCTTATATTTGGATGTTTCTCTGTCATGTTATTTTCAATAAGATTAACATGGCTGAAATTCTTCAAATTACAAGACGGCACAGGCTTATTGCACAAAAAACTTAAAAATCTTACAATGTCATTGGCGTAGCCAGGAGGGGGTGCGATCGCACCCCCCCCCTTCATTACCAATGGAAATATGACCATGATGATAGAGGAAGAAAAGAGCCTTAAAATGCTTTTTATTTGAAGCTTCTAGCTCAATTTTGAAGGAAGTAACATACATTTTTATAATTCAAAACAAATCTTACACGTTTTCTAATGATCTAATTATGTTGTATATTCGTATATTTCGTTTTTTGGGTACCCGTTTTTTTCGACCGGGTATCAAGTTTGAACCCAGCATGGAGGATTTACTACCCAGTACCCGGTTTTTTTCTACAAACCCTATCTAGAAAAGTAACCTCATTTCCTATAATTTGATGTAGATTAAGGTACAGCTGGAAAGTAACATTTTGGTAAAAAATTGCTATACCAGCACATGTTATTTTCTTGTACAAAATAAAGTATAAAGACATTTGTCAATTGCCTTGCTTTTTTCAGGAAAGTATCATTACACTGTCTTCTTTAAGAATATCTAGTAGGAGTTCAATGGGAACTCCAGGAAATTCTGATATTTCACAATTTCTTTTTTTCCAAATTTTCTTTCAAAGTTTCCAGACAACACAGGAGCTACCATTGACCTGTTTCCAGGTTTACTAAAAGTAGACAGTATAATGATACTTTCCTGAAAAAAGCAAGGAAATACACACATGCCTTCGTACTTAGTTTTGTACCAGAAAATAACATGTGCAGGTATAGCAATTTTTTACCAAAATGTTACTTTCCTGCTGAACCTTAATCGAACCCCTATATCATGGGCTCTCAATTGAAAGCCCATGCCTACAGTATATGAATAGGTACATTTTAATATATAACATTATGGGGGTAAGCGTTTCATAGTTGGTCACGACGCCAGAAGTGCAAAGTATTGTTCCGAATTTTTGAATTTCGTGTTAGATTACGGTACTCACACCTGAAGCATGGTTTTTGTTTTTGATAAATTACAATGAAGTATAATAATATTCCTATGCGTATTTTGTGAAATTGTGTTGACGTTTATTTAAGTTACAATGTAACGGTGCATTATATTTGATTTATCAGTATCTGAAAGTTTGATTTAAGTACTTTTACACGCTTTTACATTAGTCCCAATCACGCAAATCCCGTGAATGTCCCGGGACATCCTGCAAATTTAGGTGGAAGTCCCGCCAAATCCCGCAAATTTAGGGCACTTTGTCTAAAAAATCTGTCCCTCTATGAAGTTTTTGGTGGTACCCCTGTTAACTGTCCCGCAATTAGGGTGTTTGTCCCTCGAATGGTCCCGCGAATTTGATAAAAAATTGGCCTATTAGCACAATCACGCAAATCCCTTAAATGTCCCGCGAAATCCCGCGAATTTAGTAGATGTCCCGCAAAATCCCGCAAATTTTGGGCACTTGGTCTAAAAAATCTGTCCCGCGAGAAAATCTTTAGGGGTTGACAGTACTGGTGACAGTCTAAGTAGTTTTAAATCATCATACTATGCCTACATGTATGTCAATAACTGCAATTAAATAGGTGTGTTTTTAATATAGATCTATGTTTTAATGTAAAGGGTCCCCAGTGCACAGCAACAAGCCTGCACTACTGGTAAAGAGGGGTGATGTCAATGCGGTAGCCTGACAGTCTCCCCAGGTAAAATGAGTTGTAAACCATAGATCTATTTTTAAATGTTAAGGTTTTAAATTATATTCTATTCAAATTCTATCACTGTTAAATTATATATCTGCTTTATATGGGCTTATTAGCCTTTTGCAGATTATTGACATAGACATAGAATGAAGCAGTGAAATGGATTCTAACTTAGTCTAGGTCTATTGAGTTCTTTTTCCTACGAATTCCTGTGATAAGAGGTGACTTGTACAGGCGATAGGGCTCACCGTTAGATTACTTCTGAGATATATTATTCAATGATACGCTTAGAATATTTAGGTAGCTCATACTTACAGTTTCATCGACGAATAAAAGAAATCATCAGAATCTTGACTTTCCATGGGCGCAGCCATCTTTGTCCTTGACCCTAAGTCCCTGAACTCATATTCATACGCAAACAACTCCACATTGCGTTAATTGCCTCACTTTGTATTTCTCGATTCTAATTTGTTGTTTTAATCTAAGGCACACTTTTATAATACTTAGATTCTTATGTTTTTAGTTTGTCATAAAAGAATCTGTCATTCCAAATTACGAATTATATTTCGCGTAGGAACACTCAACTCACGGTGATTTGGTAATTCATTCAAATAGCTGTCTGAATATTCTGCATGCATCGATTGTAATACATCAAGACATCACATACAACGTTCATGTAAGTGTTCTGAATTTTTTTCGTGGATTCTTGTGCTTTGTTTGACTACTTATACGGACAAGGTCATGTACATCACTTTTCATGTCACGTCACCTGAACAAATTGCTGTCAATCAACATCACATTGATATTTTCATACATTGTATCAATCACTTTATCATTAGACTATCCAGTCGAGGCTTGCTTTATTGACTGATTTTCCTGTGATATCAATTTAACATTACTAGGCCACATACGTACATTGCTTTTCATATCAATAATGATCACGCATGACTGACTTCTTACACTATGCTCGTTAGTTCCCCTGGGGCGCCCTCGGGCCATTACATGTATATTGGTGTAAGATGTGGGATCAAAGCATTGGTTGTATCCTTTGTGTCCGTGTGTGTGTGGTAGTCACTGCTAGGAAAGCAGGGCTGACCACGAGGGCGTGGTCCTTTCAAAGGGGGAGATAGTGTAACGACCCTTGATAGCAAGTTGCTACTACGGCCCAGCTGTAGTGGCATAAGCCTTTATAGCTCAGAAGTTTTAAGTCAAAATATTAGTATTTTTCATGAAGTTCTTTTGTCTATTATAACATAATGTTAAATTGACATGAAATGTGATGTGCATGTGTGGTGACATTTAATTGACCTGCAAGGCAATGTCGATACAGTGATATGAAATTGAAATGAAAGGCAACGTACATGCGTAGTGATGTATAACTGACATGAAAGGCAATATCCATGCAGAGTGATACTAAATTGACATAAAATGCAATGTACATAACCCTACTATCACACCAAACTGGTTCTCACTCACGTTCTCGAAAATGGGCTTAAACTGTGCACGAACGGATCTGACCTACTAAGAACCCACTAAGAACCGTTTGGGATCTGTTTACAAACTTCATGAAACTACTAGAACGAGTAGGTCCTCCAGAACTTAGAAGATGCTCAATACGTTGCCGAATTGGTTTTATACTGTGTGCGAACTGAATGAACGTAGCTACAACGTTCTACTGTTTGTTTACGAACTTTATGGACTTTCCCAGACAGGGAATGTGATTTAGAATTTTGAATTGATTCAAAATTTGATGGCGACCATACCGTTCTGTAATCAGGTCATGATGACCTTCTAGACTAAGGACGAGTTATATGACGTTGCACGTCCGACGTGGTGCGATCTGAACAAACTGCGAATGAGATGGACGTATTGAAGACTGTTTATGAACGAAGTAGCTAATTATTTTAGACATATTTCATGACCACAGCCAGATTGAGCCCATCTTACAACGTTTTCATAAGACTGGCAAGAACGGGTAAGAACTTAGTTTGGTGTGATAGGGGGGTTAGGAGTGATGCTAGATTTACATGAAAGGCAATGTACTGTACATGCATAATGATGTTAAATTGACATGAAAAGCAATGTACATGCGTAGTGATGTATAACTGACATGAAAGGCAATATCCATGCGGAGTGATATTTAATTGACATGAGGGCGCCCCAGGGGAATGACTAACTAACGAGCATAGTGTAACAAGCCAGATAAAGAAATTGAAAGAAAGTCTGCTAAATTCAATGCCCCATGTGGGAATCGAACCTAGGACCCTTGGACTCAAAGTCTGATGCTCTACTACTTTTTGCAAGGCCTGACTTCCTCGCTAACATGCTAAATATAAGAGTTAGCTGACGTTTGGGAGTCTGACTTACCTTCTAAAGGTTAGAACCCGAATCTTAATGAAACCATATCACTTTTGTTGCGTCGATGATGATGCATAAACATAGCATTTGATAAAAATTAGTGTAAATGCTTTTCCGACTTTTTCATTTTTCATCAATGTTGACTTTCGGGAAGGCGTTGTAGTTATCACGAAATAACGCATTGACCCTTGAACTTTACTTTGTTGACGTGTCAACCAAGCATGTCTGGTGTGAAAATTAAAAGAATATTAAGCAATATTCTACATCCGCCAAGCTAAGTGAAGTAGCCAATATAAAATTACCAATTTCGAGTGAAGTACGCAACGAACAAAACTGCGTGATCTACAGTCCCACTATTTGTCTGAACGAAATGCTACGTAGAAATATGAGCCGTCTGCTGTATTAGTCGATTAATAGAGTAAGACCTGTTGGTGATGCTTTATAATTTAGACCAAAACATTGAAGAACATACGAACCTGTAAATCGTGAAAACAACGAACAAATATTCGGTTTTCATATATGTTCGGTAATTTTTCGTATTGAAACTTCCGCAACTTACAAGGAAATCATTCATTTTCTCGGTCAATGATTTACCTCTTGGATGTTGTGGCAAATGCTCCATGGTTGACGGAACAAAGGTGATATGGTTTCATTAAGATTCGGGTTCTAACCTTTAGAAGGTAAGTCAGACTCCCAAACGTCAGCTAACTCTTATATTTAGCATGTTAGCGAGGAAGTCAGGCCTTGCAAAAAGTAGTAGAGCATCAGACTTTGAGTCCAAGGGTCCTAGGTTCGATTCCCACATGGGGCATTGAATTTAGCAGACTTTCTTTCAATTTCTTTATCTGGCTTGTTACACTATGCTCGTTAGTTAGTCATTCCCCTGGGGCGCCCTCATGTCAATTAAATATCACTCTGCATGGATATTGCCTTTCATGTCAGTTATACATCACTACGCATGTACATTGCTTTTCATGTCAATTTAACATCATTATGCATGTACAGTACATTGCCTTTCATGTAAATCTAGCATCACTCCTAACCCCCCTATCACACCAAACTACATGTAAGTTCTTACCCGTTCTTGCCAGTCTTACGAAAACGTTGTAAAACGGGCTCAATCTGGCTGTGGTCATGAAATATGTCTAAAATAATTAGCTACTTCGTTCATAAACAGTCTTCAATACGTCCATCTCATTCGCAGTTTGTTCAGATCGCACCACATCGGACGTGCAACGTCATATAACTCGTCCTTAGTCTAGAAGGTCATCATGACCTGATTACAGAACGGTATGGTCGCCATCAAATTTTGAATCAATTCAAAATTCTAAATCACATTCCCTGTCTTGGAAAGTCCATAAAGTTCGTAAACAGACAGTAGAACGTTGTAGCTACGTTCATTCAGTTCGCACACAGTATAAAACCAATTCGGCAACGTTTTGAGCATCTTCTAAGTTCTGGAGGACCTACTCGTTCTAGTAGTTTCATGAAGTTTGTAAACAGATCCCAAACGGTTCTTAGTGGGTTCTTAGTAGGTCAGATCCGTTCGTGCACAGTTTAAGCCCATTTTCGAGAACGTGAGTGAGAACCAGTTTGGTGTGATAGTAGGGTTATGTACATTGCATTTTATGTCAATTTAGTATCACTCTGCATGGATATTGCCTTTCATGTCAGTTATACATCACTACGCATGTACGTTGCCTTTCATTTCAATTTCATATCACTGTATCGACATTGCCTTGCAGGTCAATTAGATGTCACCACACATGCACATCACATTTCATGTCAATTTAACATTATGTTATAAGAGACAAAAGAACTTCATGAAAAATACTAATATTTTGACTTAAAACTTCAGATGAGTTCATTTTTGCAATATGCACTGAGGGTAGAAAGTGAAAATACAATATTTTTCAGGTCATCTTTATTTCTATAAACTTCTCCTTGTGATGTCTCCTGATGTATCTGAAGACATGATTCAAAAGAGTTCAAAAATGCAACTAGGGTTAATATAATTCATATCTTGTTCTCTTTACTAACATGTAATCCATAGTTCAAATAAATGAAGGAATGCAAAGTCCTTGTATCATTCCATAGATTCATGTCATAAAGTACAGTGAAATGTTTAAAAAAGAATACCAATAAAGGATGAACACCATCATGTCAATTGAATACCTGTCTATGTTGAATACCAATATAGGATGAATACCAACATGTCAGTTGAATACCCAACTGTGTTGAATACCAATGCAGGATGAACACCATCATGTCAGTTGAAAACCTAACTATGTTGAATACCAATAAAGGATGAACACCAACATGTCAATTGAATACCCAACTATGTTGAATACCAATAAAGGATAAACACCATTATGTCAGTTGAATACCTGTCTATGTTGAATACTAATAAAGGATGAACACCATTATGTCAGTTGAATACCCAACTATGTTGAATACCAATAAAGGATGAACACCAACATGTCAGTTGAATACCCAACTATGTTGAACACCAATAAAGGATGAACACCAACATGTCAGTTGAATACCCAACTATGTTGAATACCAATAAAGGATGAACACCATTATGTCAGTTGAATACCCAACTATGTTGAATACCAATAAAGGATGAACACCAACATGTCAGTTGAATACCCAACTATGTTGAATACCAATAAAGGATGAACACCAACATGTCAGTTGAATACCCAACTATGTTGAATACCAATAAAGGATGAACACCATCATGTCAATTGAATACCCAACTATGTTGAATACCAATAAAGGATGAACACCATCATGTCAGCTGAATACCCAACTATGTTGAATACCAATAAAGGATGAACACCAACATGTCAGTTGAATACCCAACTATGTTGAATACCAATAAAGGATGAACAACATCATGTCAGTTGAATACCCAACTATGTTGAATAACAATACAGGATGAACACCATCATGTCAGTTGAATACCCAACTATGTTGAATACCAATATAGGATGAACACCAACTTGTCAGTTGAATACCTGTCTATGTTGAATACCAATAAAGGATGAACACCATCATGTCAGTTGAATACCCAACTATGTTGAATACCAATAAAGGATGAACACCATCATGTCAGCTGAATACCCAACTATGTTGAATACCAATATAGGATGAACACCATCATGTCAGTTGAATACCCAACTATGTTGAATACCAATATAGGATGAACACCATCATGTCAGCTGAATACCTGTCTATGTTGAATACCAATAAAGGATGAACACCATCATGTCAGTTGAATACCCAACTATGTTGAATACCAATAAAGGATGAACACCATCATGTCAGTTGAATACCCAACTATGTTGAATACCAATAAAGGATGAACACCATCATGTTAATTGAATACCCAACTATGTTGAATACCAATAAAGGATGAACACCATCATGTCAGTTGAATACCTGTCTATGTTGAATACCAATAAAGGATAAACACCATCATGTCAATTGAATACCCAACTATGTTGAATACCAATAAAGGATGAACACCAACATGTCAGTTGAATACCCAACTATGTTGAATACCAATAAAGGATGAACACCATCATGTCAGTTGAATACCTGTCTATGTTGAATACCAATAAAGGATGAACACCAACATGTCAGTTGAATACCCAACTATGTTGAATACCAATAAAGGATGAACACCATCATGTCAATTGAATACCTGTCTATGTTGAATACCAATAAAGGATGAACACCAACATGTCAGTTGAATACCCAACTATGTTGAATACCAATAAAGGATGAACACCATCATGTCAATTGAATACCTGTCTATGTTGAATACCAATAAAGGATAAACACCATCATGTCAATTGAATACCCAACTATGTTGAATACCAATAAAGGATGAACACCAACATGTCAGTTGAATACCCAACTATGTTGAATAACAATAAAGGATAAACACCATCATGTCAGTTGAATACCCAACTATGTTGAATACCAATAAAGGATGAACACCATCATGTCAATTGAATACCTGTCTATGTTGAATACCAATAAAGGATAAACACCATCATGTCAATTGAATACCCAACTATGTTGAATACTAATAAAGGATAAACACCATCATGTCAGTTGAATGCCCAACTATGTTGAATACTAATAAAGGATGAACCACGCCCGGTGATCGTGAATATGGGACGGAGGGGGGGGGAGCAGGCAGTCTCAGTCTCATCTGAATACTCACTAAGAACAACCATCTAAATCTGATATGAATAACTGTCAATTGTTCAATAGCTTTCCAAATTGAGAATTGTCTCGTGTCTTAAAGTTCTGTAAGTTAAACATTGTTTAAAGTTAGATAATGTCCAATATGAATAACTCTCTTATGTCATATGGCTGTCTTAACTAAAAAACTGTCTTAATTGAAATCCTTGAACCTGTCTAAGTTTAAATCATGTCTTAAGTAGAAACTTGTCTAAGTTGAAATCCTGTCTATAAATGCACGTTTATTGTCTGTCATTGCATCGTTTCTTATTTAATTCACTGTTTTCCCGTCAGTGTGAAAATCCAAGTTAAAATCAACTTATAACAGGTTTTACTGTATATCAATGTGCACTTTAAGACATTTAGAGTTTATTTGAGTATATATGATAGCATGTCAATAAAGAACTTCACTTCTAGTGTTTATCTGAACACTGCAAGGTAAGTGAAGATTTCAGTTATACTTAGAGTAAGGGCAGATTACTTAAAGATTCAATCAGTACATCTTTATTCTGAAAATATGGAAGTTAAAGGCGGAATCAGATCTATAGGGGTGAAAACATTACAAGCAATGTGTACAATTGACCTACCAATCTATTCTTTACAATCTCATATACAATATCTCCCAAAAGATTCACATCGTCGATTCCCACGCTCAATCACTACGTTCTATCCCGTGGGTTCATATGACAAACTTGAGACCCAGGTAATATGTGGCGTCTCATTAGTAGAAATGCTTCGCGGAGTGCGCGGGATAGTCCGTGCGCCAATCACAGTTGAGGGAATTATTTAAATTAGGCCCCTAAATCAGCATTCAGAAAATAAAATGGAGGAACTGTTTGAAAAGATTTGCGGCAAATTTCGTCTGAATTCTTTACAACCCTATCAAAAAGAAGCGATATAGGCGATAACGGAAGGCAGGGATGTATTCGTGTCCCAGAAAACTGAACAGGGAAAGAGTTTGATGTATCAAAGTTTGATAGAAGTCAGTTATTACAAGGGCAAAATTTTAAACCAGATTATTATCATTGTGGAGCCCTTCCTATGGATAATGATATTCAAGATAGCGCATCAGCTGGGGTTTGTTTATTTAGTGTATATCTAATAATTTGCGGTGAATCAAGGTGAGGATAGGTCCGAAGCTTGATGAAGCAAGATGAAAGATTCAAGCTATGTTATAAATTGGTGAAGTTATAATGGATTCAAAGTGCAAAAATGAGTGAGCAAAAAATTCTCCCAAATAATAAGAATGGTAACCATTCTTATAGAAAAATAATAAGTTATTGTAAATATCTTTAGTTTTCCTGAAATAAAGTATGAACTTTGGTGATTTTAAGAAAATAGACATGAAAAGGAATGACATGAGCCAGAAATATTCTAAAATTGAAACATTTTTTTGTTGGGCTGCTCGCTAGATCTGATTCTCTCTGGTACAGCTTGAAAATAACTGTAACGACCCTTGGGCACGCTTGTCGGGGAGCTGTAGTGTACCGAGCCAGATACTAGACTCGAAAGAGAATGTGCTAAATTCAACGCCCCGTACAGGAATCGAACCCAGGACCTTCCACTCTCAGAGTCAGACGCTCTACCCCTGAGCCATAAAGGCTAGCCACTACAGCTGAGACTATAGTAGCGACTTGCTATCGAAGGTCATTACATAACATTTTGGTAAGAAATTGCTATACCTGCACATGTTATTTTCAGGTACACTATAAAGTATGAAGGCTTTTAGAATATCTGGTAAGAGTTCAATGGGAACTCCAGGAAATTTAGATATTTCACACTTTCTATTTTCCAAATTTTCTTGCAAATTTTCCAGACAACACAGGAGCTACAATTGACCTGTTTCCAGGTTTACTAAAAGTAGACAATGTAATGATACTTTCCTGAAAAAAGCAAGGAGATATACACATGCCTTCATACTTAATTTTGTACCAGAAAATAGCAGGTGCAGGTATTGCAATTTTTTACCAAAATGTTACTTTCCAGCTGAACCTTAAATTCTTTATGACCAAAGCCAAAAGGGCAATATGGTTTTTAAACAAAGAGGGCAGTTCAATCAATCTGATTTTATTTATTACTTGGTGGTACTTTTAAAATCCACATTTTGCCCTTCAAAGTCTTTTCTAAAACAGTAATACTGACAGATAACAAAACTACATTTTCTTAGCCACCATTTTTTTCACTTTTAAGAACTTTCAGAAAGAGAATTTTTTCATGTTAACCAAATATATAGTTTTTCCTTTGATTTTGTAGCCGTCACTATCTGTGTATATCTGAACACCTTCTAATCTGAACACCTTTCAATGTGAACACATTTCATTGACTCACACATTAATAAGCCTTGAAATGAATATTGAACAAATATTTCACTCTATTGAGGTGAATACCTGTACATCTTTCACAAGTGATATTCCACGAAGCCCGAAGGGCAAGTGGAATATCACCTTGTGAAAGTGCTAAAGGTATTCACCGAAAATAGAGTGAAATATTTGTTTTATTATATCACTGTCTAGCTAAACATCCCTAATATTATTAAGTCATAGGTTAACAACATTGAAATACATATTTCTACTCGGTTCGTCTGTCATTTTGACTTACACTGAACTAAATTATTTACACTGAACAAAAAAAAAATCTTTGAAAATTCCCGGGAGCGTGGGATATCGCTAGATATCTCACGGTTGTCTTATCTGATTAGCATTGCCATTGAATATCGCCAGATATCCCACGACATGTGACCCGGTTTTGACCAATCATACTGTCGCTAGCTAGATAGTGATATAATAATGGTTAATATTAGGATTAGAATCTATATTATTAGTTACAGACTGAGTCCCATTAAAAATGAGAATGAATTTAAATGTTTACTTGACATGCTCATGTGGCATGTGCATGTGACATGCATGTTTATTTACTTTAAATGAAAGTCTTTCTTAAAATGTCACACTGACCAGGTTACCTTCACCTAGCATTTGCAAACTCTTTCTTCACTTGCTTCAATGCGTTCAAAATAATTAATCGTCTCATTATTTTTTTATGTTGCAGAAAGCTTCTCCCAAGCTGATTAGCTAGTCTTAACTGGCAAGATGGAAGATGTAGGCGTTACAATCGTGATTGGTTTCATCAACATTGTTGCGACAATTGTGGATTTTGTGTTGTATTTACCAGAATTGCTCACTGGGGGATCTGAGAAAAAGAGCTCTTCACCATATGTAAGTACAGTTAACCTTGCTACAGGTAGGAGTAGTTCAATTGGGAGAGGATGAATCTGAATAAATTTAGGCCGATTCACGACTTTGGAAAAATAGTGGCCAAATGTTTCACTTAAGAATTTGCAAAATCATGTATTCTTATTTTTGACAAAATACCAGCTTTCCTCAGAACAAATTCAATGCTTTTGCTGGCTTCATATCTGAATGGAAAAGTTCAAATTTACTTTGAAATTAACATGTTTCTGAAGTGTTTCTGAAGTGTTTCTGAAGTGTTTCTGAAGTGTTTCTGAAGTTTCACTGACAACAAAATAAAGATGTTTTTATATTCTTAGGTGATTCTAGTCTCTGCATTTTCTTATATTGTGTTTTAGTGTTGAATTAATGTAAAGATGTCACCCCTGTGCATTATATATGCCCTAATGACACATCAAATACTGTGCCATAGCCCATTCCATGCCCCTAATGACACACCAAATACAGTGCCATGGTCACTATGACACACCAAATACTGTACCATGCTCCTAATGACACACCAACTATTGTTCCATACCCCTAATGACACACCAACTATTGTTCCATGTCCCTAATGACACACCAAATATTGTTCCATGCCCCTAATGACACACCAACTATTGTTCCATGCCCCTAATGACACACCAACTATTGTTCCATGCCCCTAATGACACACCAACTATTGTTCCATGCCCCTAATGACACACCAACTATTGTTCTATGTTCCTAATGACACACCAAATATTGTTACATGCCCCTAATGACATCCCAATACTGTTCCATGCCCCTAATGACATACCAACTATTGTTCCATGCCCCTAATGACACACCAACTATTGTTCCATGTCCCTAATGACACACCAAATATTGTTCCATGCCCCTAATGACACACCAAATACAGTGCCATGGTCACTATGACACACCAAATACTGTTCCATGCCCCTAATGACACACCAAATATTGTTCCATGCCCCTAATGACATCCCAATACTGTTCCATGTCCTAATGACACATCAAACACTGATCAATGCCCCTAATGCCATACCAAAAACCGTTACATGGTCAGAATGACCATCGTGATAAACCATGACAACTAATTTCTTATTTAATTTATTTAATTTAATTTCTCAACTAATGCCTAATGACACACAATGACATACTTTTTTACATAAATCTCAGACCAAGAATGCCAGTTGATGAATTCAGGAATATATTGGTTTGACAATATTCTATACACAGAGAGAGTATTTGCCTTTGGTTTAAATATTTCATTTAATTTCACTCTTATTGTTACTCATTTATTTTATGGACTACATATTGATAGAAAACATTTTATGAATCAACAGATTTTTAATGGCTTTATTGCCTGCTAGTGTCTTAACCAGCATGGTGGCATAGCTAAGTTGCATTAAATTGACTTTTAAGTATCCTACTTTAAGTACATGTAATTGCAATCTATTCAGTATATAGGCACAGCACATATTTATAATGTGGAAGAGGTTGAAGCCATTGGAATCCTGTGTTTGATTAAGGCGGTTTGGTCAAATAAAGTTTGCAGTTTTTATTTAACAGAAATCTATAACTTGATTTAGTTAACACACTGGAAATGGAGAAAATGGACAAATCAAAAGTTCGGGTATGTATTATGATAATTCAGATTTTGGTTCATATGAAATAATTTCATTAAAACTTCTCTCAAAACAAATGAAAACATTTGGCTAAATTATTTGAAATTCCAATTTTAACGAGTGAGCAGTTGAAAACTCTCAAAACAAGCCCTTTTTGAAAAAGAAGTATCTGAAAATAGTATGTTGCCTGCTAATGGAACCTACTGTTGAAATGGTTTTAAAGTTTAATGGAATACATTAGGGTTATCTGTGTTATGGGAGGTTTTGGATATGGGGTATATCCTGAGACAAGTTATTATATGAAACCCATGTTTGAAATGGCTTCAAAGTTTAATGCACAGAATACATGTGACTTATGTTAAGGGAGGATTTGGATATGGGGTATATCCTGAGACAGGTTTTTATATGAAACCCATGGTCGAAATGGCTTTAATGGAATACCATCTTTTTAATTTGTAATATTTAAATAATCAGACATTTCCATGAAGCTACTCAAGATTTAGCTATGAACTATGGGAACTTCCTTCTCTTCTCTTGTAATATTGATTATGTCTGATGTTCCCTCCAATGCAATTTTACAGATTCTGATTGGTTCTTTTCTAGTTGCCATGGTAGTCAGTCTCAGATGTAAACATTGATTAAAAGAATTGAACTAATTCTAGTGATGAGGTCACAATGTACATTTGTAGGCAAAACATCGAAGAACTCAATCATTTGAAAACAAAATGAACACAATGAATGATAATTACAGACACTCATAAAAGGGAATAAATCAGTATTGACATTCCACAAATTACAACTGATGTGGATACAAAGGAATTACAACATGCAACTCTGTTAAATGATTCATAGTTCTTAGCAGCTTTCATGTAAATTGGCCATAATTGCTTGGCTATCAACAATGAGGTTGCCATAAATTTTGGATGTTGATTGTTTCACTGCTGTGGTACCTTTCATCCAAATTTTAGTACAAAATATTCATTGCCCAGTTTCCATTGTTGAAGATTGAAGCAAATGTGACATGGTATTATGCCTGGGTCACGTTTGCTTCAATTGCTTCGGCCGATTGAGTATTCTGGTCATAACTGAATATAACTGTGAACAGGATACTCAATCTGCCGGGTGCCAGCCAATGAATGGGAGCAAATGTGACCCAGGCATTAGGTACAGCATAATGTTCTTACCCTTTGGGTATCAGTAATCCTTGTACATATGGTACTGCCTTAATATAGTATACAATACAGGAGTATCAGTACAATACTGCCTTTAACATTTCAACATTGAAAAGCAATATGGGAAACTAATACTCATTTTATATCCATTTTCCACATATATTGTGAAGATATGTAATTTTAATTAAATTTCAGATGGATTCAATTCCTTGTCTTTGGCTCATGTCATTATACCACAGTACCACATCGTTGTAAACCAATTGTATTTACATGGACAAACTAACCAATAATATTGATATTTAACCAACATGAGTCTTCTCAATACAGTTCATTCATAGTATTAGCATATAGCAAAGCATGCTTTCTAGCCGCTATACTTAACGTATTACTACTCCTGATTTATAGCTGGATATTTTAGTATTATACACAAGCAAAACAGGAATAAAGTACCTTTGCCAAATGCTACAAAAACATGGGAAACACTGGATATAAAGCGCTGCAGGATGAGAGGGCTTTTGTGAGTACATGAGGATATTTTCACATATTTGGGCAATTTTCACTCATTAGGGGATTTTTGGTGATGAGATAAATCAGTCTTAATAGTGTGGCACAACATGGAATTTGAGATTCATATCATCTTTTTTGTTTTGGTTTTCTGTGAACATGTACTGATTTTCCTCCCGAGTGATGCTGAATATGAATCAATTTGATCAAAATAGTTTGTTCTTGTCATTCATTAAGTTTGTAAACTGATTGTAAATTTAGGCTTATCACATCTCGTTATACCTTTTTATCCACAATCTAAACAGTGGCAAATCATGCAAGAATCACTTAATTTCTTAGATATTGCATGTAAAAGCTGACTTGATTGACTTGATTTCCATTTTTCACTCAAATTTCTCATGTCAGTGATTTAAGACATACTATTAATATGATTAGTTCACCTTTTTACATGACATCATAGTGCATTTATTGTGTTAATGGTGTAAGACATAATATTAACATGATTAGTTCACCATTTTACATGACATCGTAGTGCATTTATTGTGTTAATGGTTTAAGACATAATAATAATATGATTAGTCCAGTCATTAAGACATATTATAACATACCTATGATGATGTATCGTGTAAACTGTTCACAAGACAGTGGGCCAATATAACTTTTGAAAAGCCCGCGACCGCTAACTTTCTGATTGGTCAAGCGCTGGGACTACGTCATACATTAGGCCTAAGTCAAATTGACTCGTACATTCGTAAGATACAAACATGGGAATAAATCATCATTTCCGAACCATTGATATTTACTTAGATAAGAAAACGGTACTCTCTAACCAGACTAGATCATCATAGGTATGTTATAAATTGTTCATTTCACTATAGTTGCACATATGTCCTCGGTTCTCAGTGATCATTGTCCCTCCCAAGGTCGGGCCATATGTAACTGAAACCCTCTGGCATATATGCAATGATAGTGACATAACCTCTAAATAGTAATATGATAAGTTCACCTTTTTACATGACATCATAGTGAATTTCTCATGTCAGTGATTTAAGACATAATATTAACATGACTAGTTCACCATTTTACATGACATCATAGTGCATTTATTGTGTTAATGGTGTAAGACATAATATTAACATGATTAGTTCACCATTTTACATGACATCATAGTGCATTTATTGTGTTAATGGTGTAAGACATAATATTAACATGACTAGTTCACCATTTTACATGACATCATAGTGCATTTATTGTGTTAATGGTGTAAGACATAATATTAACATGATTAGTTCACCATTTTACATGACATCATAGTGCATTTCTTGTGTTTATGATTTAAGACATAATATTAACATTATTAGTTTACCGTTTTAAATGACATCATATTGCATTTCTTGTGTTAATGATTTAAGACATAATATTAACATTATTAGTTTACCGTTTTAAATGACATCATATTGCATTTCTTGTGTTAATGATTTAAGACATACACTGTACTATTAACATGATAAGTTCACCTTTTGTTAATGAAATCTTGTGTTAATGATTTAAGACATAATAATATAAAATGATTAGTCCAGTCATAGTTTAGGATCTTAGTAATATTAAAGAGTTCATGTAGACATTTATTTTTCATATTGTTTCAACATTAGAATACAGCTTTTAACAAATTGTTCCAATTGTG